AATAACAAGGTTTTACGTACAGACGGCGTAGGTTTTTCTACATGCAGGTTTTGTTCTACAATGAAGAATGTTAACTAATTTTGAATATTAGCTCTTCATATTTTGTCAAAAATAAAAAATATAAGTGAAAGAATTTCTTCAATACGTCAATTAGTTTCTGATTTATAGAAGTAAACGTGCAATGCGGACTCGTGTGACGGTGTGACGTCATAGTACAACACTCGCTCAGCCCGGTCGCGCTCTCAGCACGGAGTCGTCTTACGTTTCATTAGAAATTATAAATACTTTCAAAAATAACCAAACCAAATACTAAGAAATCATGTGTTGTGTCGAAATGTACAAATACAACCACTAAAGTAATAGTTATTTTTATTATAACCACAAAAACATCCAACAAATTTAATAGTCGTTGAGTTCTCTCTTCGACAATATTTACAGCCTCTGTTGGCGAAACAATCTTCGCAAGTTATATTTAAAATTTCGTGGTCCTTTTCATTACATTCTATACTGCAACGATAACGTGTGGTACGTACGCGGTGTTCGCGCGTGATTCTACATTTGACCGTACAAACATCACTTGCTCTTTTTACTTGTATGTAACCGATAGCATCATCACCAAAGCTGTCTCTTGCAGACCTGGAATAAGTAATAAATAAAACGGCCTATTAATAAGACAAATCAAAATTAAAAAAGGTCATCTGTTCAACCCACTAAATTTGCAATAAATCAATATATATGTTTACTTAAATTTACTAAAAGAGGTACCTATATTCACATATCTACATATGTACCTATAGACATAAAACTCTAACACACAAGGAACATAATACTCTGCTAACACACATTTGTTGTCTATAATGTAAAACTTTAAAGTTTGGTACTTCTGCCTATTTGAGTTGGAATACTTGCAATACCACATCAGTTGGGTATTTTTTTTAGAACACTTTAAAACAGATAAATAATTTTCTAAATAGCAAGAAGAGTTAACTTATCTTTGCATTTTTATTCCTCGCATTTCGGCGGCAACGAAATCACTAATTGTTGATAAATAATAGGCAACCATTAGTGCATCTATTTTAGGCAGAACATCCGATTGCCTTTTTTCGACTCCTTTATCTATTGCATAATTCATTAAGAGGACTATTACAAAATGATGCCGCTCAACTTTAGGTTTAATCGCATGGATTTACGCACACACACAGTAATACACGCACACAGACGCAAATAACCGTGTAGCGCAATCGGTATGGTTTTAGTATGAACCATTTTGATCCTTGTAACATTTTAATTAATAATGTGATCTGTTTTTACTTAACTGAGTAACATAAACTATTTATTGGATTTTTTTAAATAACGTGATTTATATTAATTATCAAAGTGCTAATAATCATCATCTTTTTTTTTTTTATATTATTCCTAGAGGGTTGAAGTCAGGATGCTGGCCGATTATATAACTAAAAGCCAAAACCTTAAGTAATATGAGTAACAAATAATTGGGATAAGGACAGGAAGATGAAATTACTATAATATAAATGTACTAATTAATTCTTATTATATATTAATTAAATTTATTTATTAATAAATACAAGATAATTTATTATAAGAGTCGGATGCATTATTGCCATATTCACTTGTTCTAAATATTAAACTTAGGCAAATAATTATTTTATTTATATATAATAGTTGTGTTTTCATGCCTTTGTTTCGATTTAAAGTTCCCATCCTTATATGTATATTAGGTGTGGCCGCGACTTCGTCAACGTGGTATAATGAAATTTACCAAATAAAGGAAATATATTTAGATTATAACCCAAAAAAAGTTTCATTGTTTCACTTAAACAATGACGATACTTTTATACAACCTTTCATCTCCGCTTTCAATCCCTTACAATTTTTCGCACTGTAAAGTAGTCTATGACCTTTCTCAGGGTATACTATCTGTGTATATGTATATCTATCTATATAGACTATCTGTGTATATATATGGCAGTGAATTTACAGGGTACAGGGGAATAACACCTCAGGAATAAAACCTCACATTCTCAGGAATGGCAATGCATGGGGGGCCGTCAGCTTGTTTGCCATTCTAAGTTGTATAAAAAAAAGCTTCAACTGCTATCATTGCTGTTCCTGCATCATTGACGTCGCCGCATGATATTGGCTGATATTGCAGCTTCTCGTTCTTGGTTGGCCGATTCTTGATTCTTGGTAAATAATTACGTGTTAATATCAAAACTTTTTATAGATTATTACAAGACGCCTCATTGCTTATATGGAATGAAATCACCATGAGCTATAGAGACTTTGGACAGAACCTTAAAAGACCTTAGAAACACCTCTGCTCTCATTGGCGGGATTACTTTTATACTTTTGCTGCAGATTTCTGAAAGACTCTCTGTGTCATTAACATCGTCTCCCTTATGGACTTTAATTGAAAGTTTAAAACTACTGACAAATTTGAGAGCCCATTTTTATGGAAGCACAGATAGTGATTTCCTACACTAACTGCGCAAATTTGAGGAAGGAATTCTCAAAACCATGATCCAATCATGAAATTTAAGCCCGCCGAACATGTGCAATGGCGTCCTATTGGATATGTTGCTTACTAAAGAATTGAAAGACAATTTAATTGTAGACCATTATAACCGGTACGTTAGCTGGGCAACTAGCTCATATACCAAGAATACCGATGATTCCAAATGATCTGCCAATACCATTTTAAAGTTAAAATTTCTTCTACACATGTAATAGTAAATGTATGTTTTGATCTTAAAAAACTACGCAGATTTTGATTCGTTATTATTTAATAGACAGAATAGATAGACTCAAGAGGAAGGTTTATATATAACGTCCCAATACTGTACACGGATCTTTAAATGTGCGATAATCTATATATCCCATGTTCACGCGGGCGAAGCCACCAGCTGAAAGCTAGTCTCTAAATAAAAACATTTATAATGTTGTTGACTTATCACCCAAAGACACATACTTATTAGACTATTTGACATAACTGTACAGTAATGAAAGTACAACGAGTATAATAACACAATGGTTGCAATTTAGAAATATCTGTATTGTGTAAAATAAAATAAAGTAAATTGGATAAAATATCTCTAAACATTAAGGAATATAATTTATATATAATTTGGTAATTTATTTACAATCCACATTACATACTAGATTATCATCTAGTATCATCTAGTATCTATAACACAAGACAAATGTACGTAAAAATAATAATGGTATTTTTATAAACAATAACCCTATTTTAATTTAGAAAAAACTACAAAATAAACATAAAGTAAATTTCGTTTACATTTTTCTCCCAGATAAGCAGTTTTTTTTTTAAATACTAAAATGGTTTTTTTTATTTTTAACAATTAATTGCCATTAGTGTGACTAAATACCATGCTCTTGTGCTTTTCATAGTGCTGCAGGGTAGGTAGGTTTTATCTGTAGCATAACTGTACTTTTGTCTTGGCATGCTAAAATAAATATTATATATAAATTAAACAACAACTTTAAATTAATATTCGTAGAAATATAAGTATGTATTAGCAAAATTAATTAAATATTACTTAAATTATCAAAATTGTTTAGTCGCACTATAGTAATGTTCACTGACAAATGAATGAATGAAATGAATGAATGTCTTATCGTAGCGGTGTCGTAAAAAATGGCATAGGTCCTACCTCGACGAGCGCTAGCGCAGCACTGAGAATTTACTTTTGGCGCAACGGAATTTATACAACTTTAAATTATTATTATTGTTTATTTTTTTCTTAGAAACTTATATATTTTTTTTATATTTCTAATTTACAAGTATATTAACTTTATTATTATGTTTTTTTTATGCAAAAATTTCGTTGTATTTATGAGAAAATTAGAAATGATTATGGCAAAGTTTTGTTGAAATTTCGGGTTCAATTATGATCAATTTTTTAGATATTTAAGTTGAAAATAAAAAAAAGGACGATGCTGTCTCAATTTATAAAGTAATTATCAAGTTTTAGTAAAGATATCATATCAATTTACGTTTGTTTATTAATGAACGACGACCCCAAACTTCTGTCTCTTAGCGTTTTTGAATAAACTATTTTAGAAATTAGGAAGACTAATAAAGAGAAAATTAACATTTCAAAGATGTAGTTTTTAAGATAAGATATCTATCTATATAATTCAGGAATCAAAATGTATATCCGACTCTTAATTTCTTAGAACCAGAACCCCAAAGACCCCACTTTTACGCCAAAAAATGTGAAAGGCCTCTTATGCGCGGATGAAAACAAAACAAAATACTGCTCAAACTCGGCGACTCGCTATTAAGCGGAACGGAGCTTTGTAAAATGACGTCACATGTCACGTGACTGTTAACGGGACTCGAAATTTATCGTAAGTTTAAATGCCTATAAAATCAAAACTAATGGGTATTTTTGACTAAAACAAAAACTATTATATTTGTATACATACAAGCTTTATTATACCAAACTTTCAACCGATTTGGCATACCTATTAACATTCTTCATTAGAATGAAAATTTCACATTATTGTCATAATACTTACTGGGACTAAGAAAATATAAGTCAGCATGTAGTTTAAACAAAATAACTCTTAGTAGACTATATTAATTATTATATTTTTGGAATATTCTAAAATAGGTAGTTAATTACGATATAATCATTAGTAAGTATAAATCAGGATTAAACTTAAATTTACCCTGAAAGTTGCATCTAGTTGGTAGTACCGTAATAGCATATTATGTTATCTGTGGTAATACTAACAGCCAATGGTTGACTTATAAATAAATTTCTTTGAATCACTTATTCTGATTGTATCACTTCATAAACTTTCATTCGTATCATCGAATGTATTTTTATTATCATTCGCTTTCATTCAATCAATTTCAGCTCTCACTGTCATTTCATTATTATTATTCTTGCTGTTATGTATTTTCAAACAATTAAATAATAAAACAAAATAATTATTCTCAGTGTAAAGAAATGGAATATATTATTAAAGAATTAGGTATTAATAGCGATAACATATTTCCCACTGCCTCATCAAGGCTTTTTTCTGTAGTCGTGCACAATAATTGGTTAAAAAAATGGATGAAGAACTTAAATGTTGATAACACAGTGAACAATGTCGATTTTGCCTTACAAGCTGGAGAAAGTGTACCATATCCTTGGCGTAAAATATTTGTAAGGGTATGTAATATTTTTGTAATACTATAGGGTACATAAAAAAAAAATGTCATGTGAAAGATTTTGTTTTTTATAATATTTTGTATTTATATATTAGATTAAACTATTGGTATACTGAAATAAATGTATTAATTTTTTAGGTATTAAACAAAAAGGTGTCGAAAGTCTTACCACTGCCACGCTACAAAGCAAATGATAACAACACTGAATCGGCTCTTACATTCTCACAGTTGTTGCAGTATGCTTCTCTGAATAATCAGATTAACCTATGGAAAGAATCATATAAGAAATATTGTCAAAACAATGATAACACCAAAGAGAGTACAATTGTCAATCTTCTAGAACATGACCAACTCCTCTCGGAAGTAGTCTTAAGGCTGTATGGCTGTAATATTATTAGAATTAAGTGTGATGGAGGGAAACATATTGAGTACAAAGAAATAATACCTAACAAATATGTGTCTAAGTCATATGAAACACATGTCAATTTATTAGCTGCTATGTTTATATTGGAGACTGATAATAACTTCTATGTAATGTACCATGGTAATTATGAGAATAATCTCTTAGATTGCCTTAACTTTAGTCCGAGCCTGATCGACAAGAATTATGCCAGAGGAATGTTTATAATATATCAGTTGTTGAATGTGTCCAAGGCAATGTCTGATAGAGGATTAAGTTTAGGGACATTGACCCTACAAGATATATATTTATCTGAGAATCTTTGGCTGCAAATATTGCCTATTGTTACAAACAATGTCCATTGTTTGGATGCATCATTAATATATGAGCAGAATAAAAGTAAACAAAGTACACCATCTGTGGCCAGTTGTCAAGGCAATCAGGCAAAAAGAGGAGAGGAATGGTGTTGGAGAAATGAAGCAGTAAAGTTGGAGAAACTGTGTATGCTATGGGTTAGGGGCAGGATATCAAATTTGGACTATCTGCTGCACCTCAACATGCTAGCAGGCAGACAGGCTAATGATCTTCAAACCCACTTTCTAGTGCCTTGGGTAACTGATTTCCATTCCAGATGTGGTTAGTACTTATAGTTGATATTTTATAGTAATATAATTTGATTTTTTTTTTAAAACATTCAATATATTATGAAGTTTAAATGTATTAATAACCCAATAATAACAAACATAACAATAAGGGGATATATGAGTACAGAAGATATGGGAGTTATGTTATGATGTGGTCTGTTATAAACCATTTAAAATTGCAAATTCCTAATAAATAAATAAATGCCACATACCCATTAAAACAAGTAAAATAGCACAAAGTATTGTAAACATACCATAAATTATTATTTTTACATCCCTTTGTCTATTTGTTTTTAATAATATAAGTTGACTAGCTACTCGCCCCGGCTTCGCCTGGGCGTACATGTATTATATATATATAAACCTTCCTCTAGAATCACTCTATCTATTAAAAGAACCACTTAAAAATCTGTAGTTTTAAAGATTTAAGCATACATCGGGATGGACAGACAGCGACAGGGACTTTGTTTTGTACTATGTAATGATGATAAATTATAACTCATAATTATTTATGATATCTATTCTATCAGTCTTTGTTCCTCAACTTTAATGTTATTTTTATCTATGGCCAATTACTGATAATGACATTATATGATATACAGGGAAGAATTGGCGGGACTTAACTAAGTCAAAGTATCGACTCAATAAAGGTGATAGACAGTTGGATATGACATATGAAATGAACTGTTCAGATCAGATACCTCATCATGTGTCAGATGCACTCACCGACATCACATGTTATGTGTACTTGGCTCGCAGGTGTGTTTTATTTTAGTTAATTACCGACTACGCATTTTACACAAAATCTTTACCACAAAAAAATAATAGAAGCTGTAATGTTTGTATTTTTTTTGCAGAGTTAAATTGTAAAAAGTTGTCTACTGTAAGTTGAGCTAAACGTTAAATGCCAAACTTGTTTTCTAAACTGTTTCTGGGGGGAGGGGATTGTTAGTAATGTGGACTTATAATTCCATTACTAGTAATATACCATGTCAGGTTGATCTCCACGTTCCCCCTGGAAACCATTGTGACAAATTCACCAAGATTTGTCACGATGGTTTCCAGGGGGCTAACTTACCTGACCGCAAGATCATCTTATCATCCCCCACTAGTGCCCCGCCAGCGTAAACCGATAGCGCAGGCGGGTGCACTATTCTATTATCATCCATAAAAAACTGTTTTGGTTGTAAGATGTGATGAGGTAAAATTAGGGGTTAGTAGCTGCTCATGTATACAGCTGCTTGTTACTGGTTAGCATGAAGTGGGTAGTCGAATAGTTTGCCTTTGTAACTATTTATAAAAAATAAAATCGTTTAGTAAGTGATATATAATAGAAAATTTAGGGATAATTAATTCTGTCATACTATATTATATGGTATACATGCATGTAATTTTTTTTTCAGTAATTAGAATGAATTAGAATGTCCATAAGTGGAAACAGTTGCCTATATACCTGAATAGTGCTGTGTACATCACGTTATCATCTGATGCCTGTGATATACCTTACATTTTCCTATTGTTATTTAGTATATAAGATCATTATATCTATGTACATATTGTCAGTTTATCATCATCATTTCAGATTTCAGAGTACTAAAATAGCCTGCCTCTATAGTCTGTAATTGCACTGTCATATCGCGCCCTTCAACCGAAACACAAATGCAAACTTTTTGTACAGAATATATATGGTAAGGAATTTTTGACACTTGAGCATATAATTTTTTTTATCACGGGTAGTGATGACGTCAACTTGGGCTAACAACTTCAAATTGGAAGAATTGACAAAAAGCCTAATGGAAAGTTATAAAAGTGGTTAATTAAACCTTTTCATATTATCTATCTATTAGTGTTATTTTATAAATAATAAATGTCATGAGGACGGACATATCTTTAATCTGAAAAACAAGCGAATAATAAAACTTAATAGTATCATTGTTATTATGCTGCAGAACGCCAAAGGAGGTACTATGTAAATATGTACGCAACAACTGGGTGCCAGCCGAGTACCCAGCATCCATTCAGCGAATGCAAGAGTGGACTCCAGACGAATGCATTCCAGAATTCTACACTGATCCAACAGTATTCAAGAGTATACATGAAGATTTACCGGTAATTATTCACTCACTTAAGGTGTTACACTTGTTGCGAGGTATAATAAAAGAGCCTTGGGGGATGGGGGATTATTAATAATGTGGATTAATAACCTCATTGCTAGCAATGTACCATGTCTGGTTGACCTCCATGCGGTTTCCCCTGGAAACTATCATGTTAAATTCCTTGTGAATTTGCCACGATGGCCTAATTGACCTGACCTCATGTTCATCTTATCATCCTCTACTGGTGCCCCACCGGCGTATACCGTTGGCGCGGACGAACGGGCCATCCCATTATCATCCCTCAAAACAAAAACGGTTGACATTTTGGAGGTGCAGCTTTCCTTCCCCAAAAGCTGCACCTCCAAAATGTCAACCGATACCCATAATGAATAGTTGCAATGTTTTTTCGCAGGATTTGGGTATACCGTCATGGGCAACATGTGCTGAAGATTTTATTACGAAACATAGAGAAGCACTGGAGAGCACGCATGTATCGGAAAATCTACATCATTGGATTGATATTACGTTTGGATATAAGTGAGTCATTTCGTATATTTTTATAATTATATTACGGGCTGAATGCTCGTTTGCCAGAATCGTACTATAAAAAAAATGTGGGTGCATGGCAGGTTGTCGGGCGCGGCGTCGATCAAGGCGAAGAACGTGTGCCTGTCGCTGGTGGACGGGCACACGGCGGCGCGGCGCGGCGGCAGCCTGCAGCTGCTCGCCTGGCCGCACCCCCCGCGCGCCCCGCGCCCCCTCGCGCCGCACCCCCCGCGCCTGCACTGGACCGCGCCCCGCGACCGCGAACGGGAACCCAGTTAGTAATCCACATTCTTTAAAAAAGGAATTTATAGTAATCGGTGGCCAATTCTTTTCGATTGAAGTTAAGTAGATAAAGGCATTTAATTTAATTAGTAGTTATATTATTTTAACATATATTTGCATTTTAACAGAAAAGGCAGCCAAGGATACTCTCAGTTCGGAAGACATATCCGACGACGAAGAGGAGTCCACCTGTGTCCCGCAGCACGTATCCCGGCTCAATGTACCACAGCGGGTTCGATCGCGGCACAAGAGTAGCACGAGGGCCCGTTCTCTTTCCAAGAGTCAAGCTGTCGATGATTCTGCAACAACCAACGAGAGTAGAGCTTCCTCTCATTCTAGACACTACAGGGTCCAGCGATCTGAACTAGGAAAAGGAGTCATATATCTCCCCAAAGAGTTTAACTCGGTTTCCTCATTACAAGCATTGGAATCTCTAGATAATTTCCGCACAAAGTGTTTTTTTAGTAAAGCAGAAGACAAGGAGAAATGCAAAGAAAGTATGAAGACATTGAACCTTTTTCCAATGCAGGAGGAGGCGAGAAAAAGTGGTAATGTTGACGCAAAAAATATTTCAGACGATACAGCATTCACCAATCACATGTTTTTGGCTTCGTATGACCAGAATTATCTAAAGAGATTTACTCAAGACGCTCATTTAGAAAGTGTGCTGAAAGAAAGAAAGAACAGAACATTAAGTACTAGGTATACAACAGATGCTGCGGTGTACAAACAGTTTGTGGCTGAAACTCGCCGACAGGACATGTTAGTTATTGGATGCCTTATTGTTGAGATATTCCTTCATCAGTACATGCGTCCACTAAGAACAAACAGCAACAGTTTTGTGGAGCGATACAACAGTTGTAGAACAGTGTTAAAATACAATTTCAACTCGCTTCCCAAAAGTGTTAGTTATGTTGCATCCCTCCTTCTAAATGTTACTCCTCCAAGCTTAAGTTTCAAGAATGAGTTGAGTCCTAAAAAAGAAGAGCCTTTCAAGAAAATCGTGGTGACAGATAAGGGATTGCCGCCTCCGACACCGTCGCAATTGCTTCAACCGTTGTTAATGCAGCATTTGATCCCTTTCCCGCCAACCTTTCAGATTCTATACAAGCTGCTCAGCACATTGCATGAGTACGAGCTAACGAGTAATGAATTGAACATATTATACACATACGAGTGTGATGGTGTACAATGTGAGAAGTATCAGAACGTCGACAAAACAAAGTTGTATTTTAGCCAAAAAATTGCTGAAGGCAAAATTCAAGCATGCGCAACATATTTAGATGTGCTGTTAGAGCAAATAAACCATTACAGTCAATTCGACGTACTAGACATTTTCCTTGCTCATTACATAGAACTTCTAAGAAATAAAGAAACGTCAGTGTTAGCTGCTTGGTATCTGTTCGACACCGTAAGCAAGGCTTTAGGCCCGGCCGAGACGAAGAAAAAACTTTTAAAACATATACTTAACCTTTATGAGGAAGAAGATATGATGTCAGATAAGCTAGATGATAAGGTCGTTGGTGACGACACTGTGACAGTAAGTAATAGCACGCCGAGCAAACAAAAGTTCGTGAAACTGTACCACAACATATTTTTATTACAATTGATGGTCAGACTTGGCCTCCAGTGTTTCTTGGATAATTTTACTCAGCATCTGGTTGAGGCTGTTGGAGGATACAAAGATGACAACTCCGAGGCGAGTACTCCTGGACACTTGTGTCATAGTAGATCAATGGCCAACAAAAAACCTAGATACTCAGATGATAATGTTAAAAATGCATTGTCAACTACCGCAGACATATTTTCGCCAGACACTTCGTATGGATCTGAACACGTGGTTACACCGGGTATTGAGAAGAGTGCGATAGAAATAAACGAATCGGTAAAAGAAAAGGATGCTGATAATAGAAGTGAAAATGACTTATTTCATTTTGAGAGTGATAAAGAGAGACTACCATCTCATAGGAGTAGAAGCAAGTCCCCAGCGAACTCAATAGATTCCACTAATTCTAATAATTACCAAGAAGCTGCTGTTAAGACACCATCACCTTCGGCTGATTTTATTTCTCCTACAAGTGGGAAGAGTTTTCCATTGGCTGCTGGTCCGTCCAATTTAAAAAGCCTTAATATCGTATTAGCTAAGGATGAAAGTCCCGAATCTATAATAGAAACTCCACCCAGAGGACCAATGTCTCCGATCATAGACATTCCTTCAAATCCTATGTTCACCAGTTATATTCATTTTGGAGAAGAGGATTCTACACCTGATGAATTGGAAATACTGAAGAAATCTCACCCAAGGGGAGTAAAAAGTCTCGAATTTAGTAAACACTTAAAAAATATAACACCATGTGCATCTAGAAGCTTAAATGACGACGAATTACAAGCATTTAAGGAGTCAAATTATTGTAAAATCTCTGATATGAGTTCAGAGAGTCTTATATGGCTTGCACACAGACTGGGCCCAGTACTTACTTGCAGATATATAACAAGAAATTTGCTTAAAATGTTGACATTATGTTATATTGGAAAAGATAACCTATCTCCGTGGGAGGGTGATGACAAAGATGAATTTGACGAAATATCAGTAGTGAACAGTCGAGTGATGGGTGATAGGAATGCAATGAAGGTTATAAAGTGCCTCACTTCTATTGTAGGTAAGCATTTTTCAAACCTATTTCTTTTTTTTTTATTATATACTAGCTACTCGCCCCGGCTTCGCACATGGGTGTACATGTATTATATATATAAACCTTCCTCTAGAATCACTCTATTAAAAAAACCGCTTCAAAATCCGTTGTGTAGTTTTAAAGATTTAAGCATACATAGGGACGGACAGACAGCGGCAGCGACTTTGTTTAATACTATGTAATAATGATTAGTTCCTGGAAAATAAATTTCAGCATGTTTTTGTGTGGATTTTGGTGGGGCAGAAATGTGTTTTGGTTAGATTCAAGAATTTTTTAAAATTTGTCGAAATTTTATAACGAATCAATACATCACAAAATTGAAATTTGAATTATGATTATAAACTACTTATTTGTTACATGTAGCGATGTACGGAGAGCAGCTGATAATCTTCCAATACTTGCCTCACATGGGCGAGCTGATAGCGTCCTGCCGGCGGCGGTTGTCTGCGCCCCTAGAGGGAGGAGTGGTGGCCTGCTTGCACCTCGTCAAGTATCTCGTGCCTTATATGACAGATGTTAAAGTTATGGAGCAGTTACAGGTGAGCGAATATAAAGAATTGCGTTAATTATGTCACTATTTAACGACTTCGACAGTTTGACACAACATTTTGTAGTTCAAGAGTCCAGAGCGATCTGACATAACTTATTTTCAAATAGATAAAATATACAATCATACAGCGAGCTATACAAACACGCAGGTATACAAAGCATTTGAGACGCTACGGAGAACCTAAGGTTTTATCTACTTGAAAATAAGTTACGTCAGATCACTCGAGGATGTCACTCTATTACTTCAACATCTTACTCTAACAATTCAGGATACGTTTCCAAAAACGATAATCCAGCCGGCGCTGCGGCTGGCGGCCACGAGTCGCTGCGCGTACCCGAGCGGAGCCGTCGCGCGCGCCGCCCTCGCGCGCAAGCTGCTCGCCGCCCTGCGCGTGCTCGCGCTGCGGGTCGGGCCCGCCATGACGCGCCACCACCTGTGCGCGCCCTCGCTGCAGAGGTACGTGGTGCGGAACTTGTCGGGTGTACTGCTCGCCGCCCTGCGCGTGCTCGCGCTGCGGGGTCGCCATGACGCGCCACCACCTGTGCGCGCGCCACCACCTGTGCGCCGCGTGCTCGCGCGCTGCATGACGCGCCACCACGTGCGCGTGCGGAACTTGTCGGGTGTACTGCTCGCCGCCCTGCGCGTGCTCGCGCTGCGGGTCGGGCCCGCCATGACGCGCCACCACCTGTGCGCGCCCTCGCTGCAGAGGTACGTGGTGCGGAACTGTGCGCGCCACTCGCTGCAGAGGTACGTGGTGTCGGGTGTACTGCTCGCCGCCCTGCGCGTGCTCGCGCTGCGGGTCGGGCCCGCCATGACGCGCCACCACCTGTGCGCGCCCTCGCTGCAGAGGTACGTGGTGCGGAACTTGTCGGGTGTACTGCTCGCCGCCCTGCGCGTGCTCGCGCTGCGGGTCGGGCCCGCCATGACGCGCCACCACCTGTGCGCGCCCTCGCTGCAGAGGTACGTGGTGCGGAACTTGTCGGGTGTACTGCTCGCCGCCCTGCGCGTGCTCGCGCTGCGGGTCGGGCCCGCCATGACGCGCCACCACCTGTGCGCGCCCTCGCTGCAGAGGTACGTGGTGCGGAACTTGTCGGGTGTACTGCTCGCCGCCCTGCGCGTGCTCGCGCTGCGGGTCGGGCCCGCCATGACGCGCCACCACCTGGCCGATCCATTGATGCGGTTCACGTTACGGCACGCATCATACCTTACAGGTTTTCGTTCAACCTACCACACAATTGCTTCAATTGTAATCCCAAATGAGGTAGTCAAAGGTAGTAATTAAGTTTCACCTGTTTTAATAGATTAAATGAAATAACTTATGTAGGTATTTATCACTGTTTTGTCTATATACATCGTGATAGTAGAAAATAATTGTTCATTTCGTAATTTCAGATTTTTCTTGGCGTTCGACAAAGCAACTGGAAAGATTGATAATTGGCCGAAGCAAGAGGAGAGCAATGTAGATAAAGTATGTCATCAATATACAATTTATATTTAATAATTGGGTAACTCTACAGACGTCATTCGTAGTGATTACTCGAACTGACAAACGCGCGAGAATAAAGTCACTAAGCTTGCTGAAATAGAAATTTAACTTCGTTCCGTAAAAAACCTTCTACTAAGTGTTGCAATACAATAAAAATGAGTTATATCATATTGTATTTAAAACTAATGTCCATTTTGCACTCATTTTTATAACTACGTACGGAATTGAATAATGAACTTACTATGATTACGTCCGTGACATAGTCCGTGTATTTATTTATTTTTCTGACCCTCCTACAGTTCGTCCGGAAAACGACTGTATCTATCATTGTACACAATATAGTGTATTTAAGTATATTATACATTTAATAATAGTTAAACTAATATTTAAAAAAATCCCTGGTATGTGAGTTAATACTCATTTAGAGCCTCAAGGACACGATATGTATTTAGTGTAATAATTTTTTTCGGCGTATTCTATGACCACTTTCATCGACATATTTATTGATCTTACATCTAGATCTCTGAACAAGAGGGTCTCGATCAGAAAAAGGAAGATTTTCTGGAAATACGTCGTGACGGCACAACGGCTGAATGGACAGTACGTGCTGGACTAGTGGTGCGCGCGGATCTGCCCGACCTGGCCTGCACGCCGCCCGACGTGTCCGACCGGCCGCCGGACCCCGCCACGCTCACAGTGAGGACTCACATCCCTAATTTATTACTTTTTATTTTATATATTTACCACGAAGGATGCTACCCGTCGTTATATCGTGAACGAGTGCTGCTTATAGGGACTGGTCTGCTCTAATCACTACGTCTGATTTACTCTTATTTAGGTACTCAACCAGTTGGTTTGTTTAATATTTTGACTTTAATGAATTAGTGCTAGTTGGTAGTTTGTATTCACACATTTCAACATAAATGTAAAGTTACAACAAAATTATTTAAACAAGTTACATTTCCGAATGAGCGGTATATTAAAAGAATAATAATTATGACTATTCAAAAGTGCGTAAATTAAGTTTATTTGAATAAATTATATTATATACTATTCAGAATGGATCAAATTGCACACAATGTGCAAATCAAATTTCAGTAGATTAGGAGTCCATCGTGGACAAACAACGTGGCACGTAATTTTTATATATAAAGATTGACGGCGTCGGTGCTCTAGCGGTTTTCCACATGGCCTTTCTTCCGATGGTCGCGGATTCCTTGATCGATACAAACATTTGTATTCTTGCGTATGATTGTTTATATAGTTTTCGGTGTTCTGGATGTAGTAATTAAATTGACGTGAAGATGGCTTGTGTGATACAATAGGCGAAGAAAGTTATATATCCGCGTTTTATAGATTTCTTGTATAAACACAATCTATGTAGACTAAACTTTATTGTGATCGTTTTATGAGATATAATTGGTTGTAAGTAATATGTTATGGCATTATAGGCTCAAGAGGAGTTGCTGATGGTGTTTGACGAAGAATTAGCTTACCACGCATACACTATGTTCGCGAAATTCGTCGGCGTCGAAGCTATGGACAGATGTTTGAAGAACAGTGACACAATACGCGCCTTGTGTAGAAGTTATGAACAAAACCATTCCATAGGGTATGTTATTATAAAAATATATTGACGGCCTCGTTGGTCTAGTGGTTTAGCATACAGCCTTACTTCCGATTGTCGCGGGTTCAATTCCTCGCACGGCACAAACATTTGTATTCATGAGTATGTTTATCGTTCTGGGTGTTTTCTATGTATATAATGTCTATATATATATATATATAGTATTTACGAAAATGTGTTTGTATCAGTTATCTAGTACCCATGACACAAGCTTTAGGTAGCTTAACTTGGGTCTGGATGGCGCTGTGTGAATTGTCCTGAGATTATTATTATTATATTAATATATAAATAAAATAAGGATAAATATTTATGTAAATGTTTAAAAAAAAAGGAGATGAACTAATAAAGTCTAGGTTAACTTTTTTATACTCTTATTGAAATTTATAAGGTGCTTTGATAGAAGGATATCTGGATTCATTTACCCATATTTATTTTCTTATCTAGTGTACATCACAAGTTTTTTTATGTAACTGAAACAAGCACAATGTAATCGAAAACTTGGCATTTTATTAATTTAATATTCTTACTGTACAGGTCATTTAATAATAAATTAATTGTAAGTTATAATTATAACTTTATAACATATTTTTTATTATTATTATAAAATAATGATAAAAAATTAAATATCACGTTTCGTTACACTTTGTAATACATTTTACAAGTTTATAATTTCCTGAAATAATAATTTCAGCACCCCTATTCAAATGGACCGCACAGATAAACGCGTCCAAAACTCACTCAGTGACGAGCCAATCAGCCGCAAGAGCATAGACATCGTATCACCAAAACCGGACGTTGCGACAGATCATATTTCCAGTTCAAACAGTTTCGGCTCTAACGTTTTCCTAGTGGGGAACAGGATAGATGTCGCCAGTGATGCCTGTGAGACCGCCGAGTACCAGAGTGACGCTTTCGACGTTGTGGCATACAAAATGGATAATGGAGTTAAAACTAACAGGTGAGAATTATGTATACACATAACAGATGACAATTATATATACACTTTTCATTGCCTCCAAGTCGCATATTCTGTTTTCTATTTATTACAATTGCATTTAAAACGTACGTTGTGATACATAATTACTATTTATTCATCCGAACAATATATGTATGAGTCTACTGTGACACACACAATCTGGATGCTATGATGTATAAATGATAAGTTCGGGCTGCTTTCCAACTTAATATATTGAGTACACGATGATTGAGTGTGGACTGATGCTTGTTTGTGAGTATTTGATGTACTGAAGGGAAAATGGTATGTGTGGGCGTTATATGGACGCGGAGCGGTTTAAAATTCTGACGGCTGTACGGTGACGCACCGTACAATATAAATTGTGTAGGATAATTTACAAGGTCTAAAACATAATAGTAACTTAAACAGTAAATTTTGGTATATCAGCAAGTATAATGCAGTAGCTCAACTGGAGTCTGGTCATCATTGTAATAATCATTCATGGAATAGTAAAACTTATATAATAAAAATGTCCACAATCTAGTTTCTAACAATGTGAAATTGTAAATAGTTTTTAATTGAAAGTATTTTAAATAAAATGTCTAAAAGTTCCACCAGATGGTTAACAACAAATCATTTTTCCAAACTTATTTGACATATACATAAAACAAGTACTTAAAATGAAATAAGAAAAAAATCTTTACAAGAACTTCCGAGTATAATGTCGGTAAAATCTCTTCGTATAGCAAATAAGGTGATATGCTTCAAACGGCTGAATTTTTTTTAAATAATAACTAAGAGCCGTCTAAAATATGTCAAAAAAAAGAAAGAAAATGAATGAAATCAGTAGATATAAGAGCGTGTTGCAACCACATAGATATATTCGTTTCTATAACTTCCCTTTTTCTCGTCGGGGTTATAATGAATATGTGGCGCCCCTGCTACCTTTCGTGCATTATTTAGTCAATTTGAAGGCTAAACTTCACGCCTGAATGAATTTCAATTAAATCTAGACTACTAATTAGGCTATGCCTTCGTAAGCGACGTGTTCCATGGCTCAACCAAAATTAAAAAAATAGTGCCCATGTTTTGTCTCTGCGTGCGGTGTCATAATAGTTTTGAACATAAAACCGGCGCAACGGACGCCGCGCCCCCAGTCTGCACCTAGGTGTTCGCGATGCTGAACGTCCCATTGTATATTTTTTTTTATAAAATTTTGTGTAGCAATAAATGCAATTTATTGTAAAAGTCTTCGTTTTCCATACAAACTGTCCTACCATATCCTGCACCACATACAGTCTTAATGGCTATTTTTTAGAGTTTAATATATATGTCAGTTTTGACAGACATCTGCGTGGTGACTGGCTGATATACTGGGAGCACGAGATCGGTCGCGCAGACAAGGACACCCGGTTTAATCTGAAGCAGATCAAGCTGCAGACGTTCACGGGCCACACGCAGGCGGTCAAGTCTATATATTGTCTCGACAACGAGAACAGTTTCATGAGCGCTTCCAAGGATAAGACGGTCAGACTGTGGTCTTTGAGGAACCAGGTCAGTTAAAGATTGATGACAGATGTCCACCATTATATGTTATTAATGTTCTAAATGTGACTCTTTTGATGTCTGTTTTTGTAATTGGAATGACAGTCCACCCTAAGGTAAACAATATATATATATATATATACAAGCTGTGTTATATATATAAACAGGACCACGACGATGTATTGTTATTTGATGCCCATTAACTTGGTATAATGCGTACTATAATAAGTAAGCAAAATATTTAGTATAATAAATTGTTAATTAAATTAATAATTTAAGATCTCAGGACAATTCACACAGCTCCAGGTAGTGACTAATATAAATACATAGACAAGTTAAGCTGAGCTACAAATGTGCTGTGGGTACTACTGATATAAATAGTTAGATATATTTTTTTTGTAAATACATACGTATATAATACTATAATATAAATATACATATATAATATTTCTATATTTAACTAGCAGACCCGGCCACGTGTTGCTGTATAAAATATTAAATAATATTGCGACCATAAATTGAGACGTAAGCTATCCTATCTTCAAAGTTGGATCAAATTGCACACAATGTAATTTTTATATATATAGATATAAATAAAATAAAGTTAATATAAATATTATGTAAATATTTTAACAAGCAAAAGGAAATGAACTAATAAAGGCTAGATTAACTTTCTTTAGTAGTTTAGAAGTCCATTTCGGACAACAATGTGTGTGACAACGTGACACGTAATTTTTATATATAAAGATTAATCAATAAGTTTATACTCTAAATATACGTAATCGTGTGTGGTTGTAGGGCGACGGCAATGCATCGACAGGTTGCAACTGGGCGTACACGGGGCACAAGAAGGGCGTTCTGTCGCTGTCGTTCGTGCCGGCGCTGCGACTCGCAGTCTCCACAGACTCTGTGCTGCACATTTGGGACCCATTCATGGAGACTGTGGTCTCGCAGGTAAAACAAAACGCCTACGTCAAAATAAAAAAATATATAGAAAAATTCTTTATTCAATTAAACTTACGTTCATAATTTTTTTTTAATATACTGCTCATTTGGAAAGCTCTCATCATAAGAAAACGAGCAACAAATTTGCGTGTTGCTGCTATTTTAAATAATGTTGATGTAATTTTTAATTCTGTAAGGGAGTGGCAGGCCAGCTCTCTGCCACTTTGGATTCAAATATACCCAGCATAATGTAATATCAAGTATTGTGTTCACGATAATCTCGACAGTTGATAGTGCTTCTACAAATCATCTCTCAATGATAACCCCATATGGGATAACAGTCCTGATGATATGTTATTGGTATGTTTTTTTGTCATATTTGTCTACCTATATCAAGTAAGATAGTGAAAGTGCAGGATAAGAGGCAAGACATCATCGTCTTCCGGAATGGAAACGTATTAGTTGTATCACGGGAGTAGCATTATAACGTGATGCTGTTGAAATGGATGATAACCAAAATTTCCATTCCAATTAAATAAAATAATACATTGCCTTTACACGTACACTTTCTCACACCTGAATGGGGTTTTTTGTGCATATAAATGTAGACAAGGAAAACGAGAAAAAACGCGCTCGCCACGAGCTCGCGCATTCCCGCGTCCTAAAATATTTAATATATATTTAATTATTACAAGCACGCGCTTGTAATAATTCAATATCATTGCAAAATGGCGGATATTTGATTTGTGAAGATATATTTATAGAGTTATTATTAAAAACTTTTTTAGAGAATAATAACTGTGTTTAAAAAAAAGTAAAATGATCTATCAAAGACGAATGGGATACGAGCAATCATCAAAGACAAATTAGATAAAAACAATCACTAACGTTTGCGCCTGAAAGACTTGCGCTAAGTTTTTGCGCGTGCGAACGAATGTGTCGTTTAAAAGTGCTGGAGCAAGTATGGAGCGGTGTAAGTTGATGGCGTGTGACTTTATCACCGACAGCTGGATAACATGAAGTCGGCGGTGAGCTGCGTGCGCGCGCTGGGCGGAGCGTCGGCGGCCGTGCTCGCCGCCACCACCGACGGCGCGCTGCGGCTCGTGGACGCGCGCGTCGCACGCCGCACGCACGACCTCAAGGTAACGACATCGAGGCGGCGGTGAGCTGCGTGCGCGCGCTGCTCGGTGGTGGCGGCCGTGCTCGCCGCCACCACCGACGGCGCGCTGCGGCTCGTGGACGCGCGCGTCGCACGCCGCACGCACGACCTCAAGGTAACGACATCGAGGCGGCGGTGAGCTGCGTGCGCGCGCTGCTCGTGGACGCGCGCGTCGCACGCCGCTCGCACGACCTCAAGGTAACGACATCGAGGCGGCGACGGCGCGCTGCGGCTCGTGGACGCGCGCGGACGCGCGCGACCTCAAGGTAACGACATCGAGGCGGCGGTGACTGCGTGCGCGCGCTGCTCGGTGGTGGCGGCCGTGCTAACGACATCGAGCGCGGCGGTGGACGCGCGCGTCGCACGCCGCACGCACGACCTCAAGGTAACGACATCGAGGCGGCGGTGAGCTGCGTGCGCGCGCTGCTCGGTGGTGGCGGCCGTGCTCGCCGCCACCACCGACGGCGCGCTGCGGCTCGTGGACGCGCGCGTCGCACGCCGCACGCACGACCTCAAGGTAACGACATCGAGGCGGCGGTGAGCTGCGTGCGCGCGCTGCTCGGTGGTGGCGGCCGTGCTCGCCGCCACCACCGACGGCGCGCTGCGGCTCGTGGACGCGCGCGTCGCACGCACGACCTCAAGGTAACGACATCGAGGCGGCGGTGAGCTGCGTGCGCGCGCTGCTCGGTGGTGGCGACATCGAGGCGTGGACGCGCGCGTCGCACGCCGCACGCACGACCTCAAGGTAACGACATCGAGGCGGCGGTGAGCTGCGTGCGCGCGCTGCTCGGTGGTGGCGGCCGTGCTACATCCATGCATACCCGTGGTGCACCGAGTAGCGCGTTCAATTGTGACGTGACGTCACCGCTTGCAGTCACGAGCGGAGCACATGTATGCGAGCCACATCGACACATATATATGTGCCTTGTTTCTTCTTTTATATATGTACTATATTATTATTCGACTTCAATTTCAACTACACACCCACTAATTTACACACTTATTTAGGTTGAGACATTTTTGCTTTTTCACTACTTACCGAGTAGAGACGGGCTCCTCTTGTCCCAACTAGTTACATATTACTAATTTACTCACATTTCAATAAATAAAAGTGTTTAGATCTCATCCCGAAATCTTCTACTGAGTGAGTATGGCGTGTCATTAGATTATTTGAACATGATGGGAATAGAACTCGTTATCGGTGTTACAGCTACCGGCGAGTGCGACGACATTCGTGAGGTGCGTGTGTGTTTGCGCGAGCGCTCGCTGGGCGGCCGTAGGTCTGGCCAGCGGGCACGTGGCGGTCGTTGACCTCCGCACTGGCCTGCCACTCGCACACTGGCGCGCCCACGACTCCGAGGTAACCACTTACTCCTGTTTTTTAAATTCTGTTTATCTTTTAAAGAAAAGGCAAAGGGAACTTTTTCCAAACTGCCACGTCTGCATGTTCACTACTCATTCCTTTACCAAAGGTAGACTGACGTATACCTAAGTGGTCTAGCGGTTTAACACACCGTTTTACTTTTGATGGTCGTACGTTCGATTCCCTGCACGTTGCAAACATTTGTATTCATAATTATGATTGTTTGTATTGGTCTGGGTGTTTTCTATGTATATTATGTATGTGTTTAAAAAGAATATCTAAGTATTTATATTAGTTGTTTAGGACCCAAGCTCTGCTTAGCTTAGGACTAGATGTCGTTGTTTGAATTGTCCAAAGATATTAAATTATATTATAAGAGGATAACTGTACATATACGCCAAATAAAATATAGACAATTAATATTTCTAAACTCATTGGGTAAACTGAAAAAGTCCCGGTTCGCTAGTCATCCAATATACAGTAATTTTTACAGTTTCTTCTATTCAAAAGAGAAGACCTACCTCTCTAGTGTGGTGAATATTTTTTGTTACTTAAGTTATTTTTGACATAGGTTCTCAGACTTGCTGCTGTGGATGACTACAGACTTCTAAGTTCCGGTTTGGATCAGGTGACGTCACTGTGGCGACCCGACGACGGCGTCTTAATAGCGCATCTTAAGTGAGTGATTACTTTTTTTTATGGTGGTTTGTAGTGATTAATTCAGAATGGAATTAAAGATAGTTTTCTTGAAGAAAACACGTGGTATTCGTTGCAAGGGTTGAGAAGAGTGACTTTTAAAATTCGAATGACAATATAAAAAATATAAGGTACACAGATTATAAATAAATAATAACTATAAGTTGTCTTGTAGCACAAAACTAACGGATTTGCTATTTTTAATCTAACAGGCGTTTTGCAATTAAAAAAATATTTAAGTTTTTATATCGGTTGTCTAGTACCCATAACACAATCTCTGATTAGTTTGAACTAGATGGCGCTATGTGAATTGTCCAGGGATGTTACTATTATATATTAAGTGGGATAGTTATTTATCGATATCTATACTAATATAAAACAACAGGGCGGATAGTATAGTCCAGATTGACGATAGATATAATACCGCCTTACTTCCTACAGTCGCGGGTTCGATTCCTCGCACGGTACAAACACTTGTATTCTTGAGTATGATTGTATCAGTCTGTGTGATTTCTATGTATAATATGTATGTACTTACGAAAAAAAGTCTATGTATTTGTATTATAGTATCTATGTATTTATATTATTGTATGTAGTTGTTTAGTACCCATAACACAAGCTTTAGCCAGCTTAACTTGGGTATAGATGGAATTGTCTGTGTGAATTGTCCTGAGATTATTATTATTACTATTGTTTTGTTAATATCAGGTTGTAATTATCCTGAGATATTATTGTATAACATTAATATGTTAAACATCAGGGGCAGCACAGAGCCGGTCCACTGTCTCTCTGTATACTACGACGAACTCATATCCGGCACTACCAACAACCGAATCGGCGTCCACACTTCCCTCGACCAAGACGCCTCATTTTCCAGCACCAAATTACGTTCGGACACGTTCAAGGGTGTTTTAACGTGCATGGCAGTGTTGCCACTTAATAGGCTGTTGTTACTTGGAAGTGATAACGGCACTATTAGTCTGCTCTGCTGATTTTTATTTCTAAGTCGGTTATATTATATTATTCTCATTATTAATTGTATATGGCAAGACTAAGTTTTAATTAATTGTAAGGAACCATAAAGACAATTTGATGCTCACATTTATAAAACGAATGCTAATTTTAATTGTAGTAATATTACGCATGCCAGAGTTTGTAGACATGAATGGATGTAAGTTACCGTTTCACACAAAAGGAGCTGTTCAAGTAGTACTAGATTAAGGATAGAACATGTCCTACTGTAATAAATAATACTTTATACCTGGATCTGACAAGTTAAGAATAGGCCTACAGCCACTGCATTTGTTCTGTTATGGATTTAGAGTGCCTTCTGCACTAGCCCCCGTTTTTATACGATGAAGCTGTAAATGTCAACGGCCAATAATTTTGTTTAGGTTGTTGCGTTTTAGAAGTAAAAATTATAAAAAATACAAACTACATACGGGTACAAAGGAATCGTTTATTAAAGAAAGAAAATTGAGTATAGTGTTATAAACTAAATATTAATATGTAATTAATATTTATACTTATCGTGGGTCACAACATAAAAGTGGTTAAGAAACGATGATCTTTATTATAGTAAAAACCTCAGACATAAAATCTAATATAACCGACTGGAAATATAATTCAAAATAAAAAAATCGCATAATAAATCTATGATCTCAAATTTCTCTAACACAATTTTATTGGTGATATTTCAATAGGGTATATATTATTTACTAAAATGCCGTCATTTATTTACTGAAAATAATTAGTCTTAATTTTTTTATTAATTAATTAAAATTGTAACATCTTTCCAACTTTGTAAAATGTATATATTTCTTTTTAATGTTATTTATATATTTATAACATATGTAGTATTAAAAAGTAACCATTTAATACATAAAAACAATAATCTACAAATTATGTTCAATTATTATTTAAGTGTTTTATCACATTCTCTCAAATAAAGAAAATAGTTCGGATAATAAAGACAAAATAGTGCAATAGCTAAAATTAAAAAGATTGATTAGTCTATTAAGTCTTTGTAGAGATAGTATGTAAAGTTATGCATATAAATATATTATTTTTTGTGTATGGAAATATCGATATCAATGATACACTTCACAAAATTAATTTTAAATGCATGTACCAAATATATATTTGGTACATCCATTTAAAATTAATTTATAATGTATTAAAATAAACAGTGTTGCAATACTTGTTAAATTTTTGCAATAATAAATGAGGAGTTTTGGAAAGTTTACAAATCACAACTTGGCTAGTAACTGCTAATCTCAAATAGTTCTAAGTCCATGAAGGTGCATTAGGTTAGAACACATTTTTAAATATTAATATTGTTTATACTTAAATGTAATTGTTAATTTGTATATTCGGATGTAATGATGAGTATTTTTAACACCAATCAATGCAATGTAAGGACATAATATGTAGGTATGTTATTGTAGACTGAATCCTAAAATTTATATTCCATTAGCATTTTTGTATGAATTACTTATCCACCCCAGCTTCGCACGAATGTACATGTATTATACATATAAAGCCTCTCGAATCACTCAATGTAATGCGAAATGCATTAAAATCCGTTGTGTAGTTTGAAAGATTTAAGCGAAAAGACAGCGGAAGCGACTTCATTTTATAATATGTAAAGATTAATATATATATATATATATCTAAGTATTAATATCAGTTATCTAGTACCCGTAATACAAGCTCAGCCTAGTTTGGGACTAGACGGCGCTGTGTTAATTATTCAGAGTTATTATTATTATTACGTCCACAATAATTACCACGTCATATGAATACACCCTTCAAAATATATATGAATAATGTTACATTTATTTTTCTTGAAGTACAAAAATGTTATTACCAAAGACATTCCATATAAGAAAGCATAATAATATGTTAAACTAAGTACCTTTTATTTTAGGTTCATTAATCTCATATTTAAGACTTTTCTATTCATATTATTATCTGATTCCAATCTTGTATATTGTAATTAAATATATAATAAGAAATAAGGAATAGACACAAATAAAAAAATACTCATTGTCATTTAGGTTTAAACATGGCCGAGATGTTTTAGTAGTTAACAATAAATAAATAGAATATTAAAAGACCCTATATATCTACATCGGATCACATGCACCAAGTTTCATAAAGTGAAAGAAGTGGTCTTAATTAAAACGAACTGCATATATTTAACGTAAGTGGATATATAAACACTATATTGTATTTTATTGTAGAATATAGAACATATTATATATGTAAAGTAAACAAAATATAGATTTCTTTATTAATTTGTAGAATATCATAGTATTGGTAATCTTGATACTACATATACATATATGTTAAAGTATAAATTTGTATATAATAATCATTTCGGTATTTATAATATAAAAGAATTTCATGTATTTCTATATATAATAGCATGTAATGCAACAGATATATAGCATCGTTAATGCTCATATAAATAATGTGGTCTTGGTTTCTTGTCATATTTGTGAAAGTGCAATTGTTTATAAAAAATATATATCTACTAATAATAGTGAACATAATATTATTGTTAAGTGAAAATAAAAATAATGGTTCCTACTTATTTTCTGTTGTTATATTATATATCTGCATGTATAACATAGTATGTAATTTTAATTTATGTGAAGTTTATAAAATCTTATAAAGTTTTGTAAATTTCACTGGTTTTCGATATATAAAGCAGCTCATAAAAACGCAAATAGTGAAGTTATATTTAGGATTGCAATTTTTTTTGTAAAACCAACTGGTCGCATGGCCAGTAGGCAGCGCGCTGATTTAAAAAATAAAATAGCGGAGAAGCTACCAATATGCATCACAGTTTTATGGTTGAGTTTTTTTTTAAATCAAGTGTGTTGAAAAACGGCGTACGATTTACGTGCGTATTTAACACACTCGGCTGTATTACGCCCTCGCCTCCGGCTTGGCTGTAATACCGCCTCGTCTGTTATAACCATCATAATGCACTTAAATCGTAATATGTTCTTTACTATAGTTTAAGTTTAATATTTCTCAATATTCCAAAACTGCTCAAGTCTAATAACATTTGTATATAAAGATCATGTACAGGAATGGTGTATTGTGTATATTTGAATTATAATTAAGTTCTAAGTTTTAAAGTTTCGTGTTTAGCACATATTATTATAATATAGGTTATCTGGCCTTAACTTGAAAGATAAAATAGTAAGTAAAGTATGTATTTCAATCGATGTAGCTAGATTGCAACCACCACTAGCTGTGTTTCAAACTGATTGTCAATGATCATGAAAAATAAAAATTAATAATTCTGTAAAAACAATTTCAATATAATACAATTTAACATGACCTAGTAAGCATAGAAATACCTGTGATCAGGGTCAACTTCTTTTTATTTTTTTGTTACCTGAAAAATACTTTATTACTTTACATTTCATTGATTATACATATGAAATATATATTATATCTTAACCCTACTTTACCTACTACATTCGATGCTAGTAAGCGATATGAAAAACGATTGTAATAAAAGGGTTAAGGTTATAAATATTTTTTTATTATATTGGGAACATACTGTTACTTTCATATATTTAATAAAATTAACCTTCCTCTTGAATCACCCTGTTTAAAAACTAGAAATCGTAAAAGATCTGAGCGAAATGTCAGCAAAAGAAACTTCATTTTATACTATCTAAGATTTCGTGTACCTATTTAAGTCCAATCTTGAGGAATTAGTATAATGCATTAAATACTCATTGTAATATTTGTACCATATTGGTCTATTAAAATAACAGAAACATTATGCCTTTCTGTACATAAATTGATATTCGATAAGATCTCAATCCACTATGAATATCGGTTTAAGAGATAGTTCAGAATGTATTTGTAAAGTAAAGAATAAAATTATGAAAAAAATATATGTAAAGATAAATATATATATATAATTCATAGATTAAGTAAATTGCTAAGTTTTGCCTTGATTATGTAAAGTTGTAACATTGTAAACGCGTGCGAAATGACTTAATGAACTGTCTCGTTAAAAATATATTGTTGTTCTATTGAAAGTGATTTATATGAATTCTTCGAAATAAATAAAATGTTTCTATTTGTATAAATTCTAATAATATAGTATAAACATTTTCTCTTCAAAAACTAATAGATTTGTATAAAAATATATATTTTAGGCTGCTGATATATAGTCGGTTTGTCGTCTGGTTACATTAAGCAATGGATGTTGATGAAACGTTACGAATGAGTCCAATTATCATATTTATTTACTATGTCTCGTCTTCTTCAGAGATGGTCGGCGTAGCAACCAAATCGAACTGTATATAAACAGAACTAATAACGCATATCTAGCTTATGTTGTCTTCCCAAAACGAAAATATTTTACAATAAAAAAAGAATATTGGAAGCAGTTCACTCCTGTCGGATAAGCTCACAAAACCTTTTTATGATCAATTTTTTTTTTATGATTATTTCAGACAGACGTAAGTACATGCGATAAATTATTACGTTAAGATGAATTGATTACACGTATCTATACCACACGACCAAGGCAATTCATTGGGTCACTGCGCTAGACTTACAATGTAATGTACTACAAATTACAATGTAACAAAGGTATTTTTTGTAATAAAAGTATTTTTAGAGATTTATATGTAGTTTTATTTTCAAGCAACGATGTATTGCCATAGAGGGATTAATATGATTATAGTTGATAGTACAATAAATATGATATAATCCGAATAACTTTTAACTGAAGCATAGACAGTAATGTATACTAGTTTCAGTGAAAGGCAGGCTAGCATGGCAAACGGTCAAATATAATAAATGAAATCTGGCAGAAAAGAACGGGTCTCAAGTGGCAACCGCATACAGACAAATGCAGTCAGGGACGACTCGTCCCACGTTAACGGTCTCAAAAATGTTACAGGCCAATTGCTGGCGTAATATATATCCGTATCACCTACAGTTATCCATATAGTAGTGGATGATAGTTAGATGTGATGGTGATGATGCTAGATTTAAAATTGAAATCTTGAGATGTAGTTATAAATATATACAAAATATCGGTATAAAATGAAAAAAAAGTTATTATTCTTTTTTTATAAAGACTCTTTAGAGGTAAGAATTATACAAAGAAAGAAAAATATCAGTGACGTAGTTTAAACATCAAGAATAAATAATTTTAATTTCAAGAAGTTTTTAGTTACAATATAAAAAATGCCGCACCCCACACATCGCCGTTCAAGCACTTCTCTTGTAGGTCCGCGGCGGCCCAGCCTGTTGGCTCACGGCAGCGTCGATATCTCGGAGCTCAATCTGCTCAAAGAGGAAACCCATACCGGAGATCACTTTCTAACCCCAGCACAACTGGAAACTGTTTACCGTACCAACATCCAGTCTGGGCTTAGTGAAAACTTCGCTAGGGAACTTCTAGAAAATTATGGTCCAAATGCCCTTAAAGAACTTCGAGGCAACAGTTACTGGAAAATATTCAAACATAACCTATTCGGTTGGTTTCAGTGTGTATTGTGGGTCGGTGCGATACTCAATTTCATAGCATATTTTTGCGCTAATAAAATTGATACAGGTGCAGAGGGAGGGGGAGGCCATTCAGATAAAGAATACCTCTACTTGGGATGTGTCATTACAGCTACTATACTGGGCACTGGACTGTTTGGATTTTATCAAGAAGCTAAGAATATAGCAGTCATGAGCGGATTCGAAAAGTTAGTGCCGCCTAATGCAATCGTTATACGCGAAGGTGTCAAGCAAATAATACCCAATAGTGAAGTTGTACTAGGTGATATAGTAGAGATGACGGGAGGTGAAGTAGTGCCAGCTGATGTACGCATATTGTCTTGTAGTAACTTCAAAACGGATATGTCCTCGTTGACTGGAGAATCAGAACCCGTGCAACACAAACCGGAATGTACTCATGCAAATCCTCTAGAATCCAAAAATATGGTGTATTTTGGATGTCCCATAGTTGAGGGTGCTGCTAAAGGAGTGGTAGTTGCTATAGGGGAGATGACTCAAATAGGAAAAATAGCTGGACTTGTAACTGGTTTAGAGAAAGAAGAAACTCCTATCGCCAAAGAAATAACACATTTCATTAAGCTGATATGTGGGGTGGCCTTCGTATTTGGTATAATATTTTTCTTAATGGTATATTTTATTCAAAAAAGTTGGTTATCAGCTTTACAATATATGCTCGGTATAATTCTCGCTAATGTACCTGAAGGTTTGATTGTCACATTAACAGTTTGCATGACACTATCTGCTAAACAATTGAAAAAGAAGAATTGTTTAGCCAAAACATTACAAGCAGTTGAGACTTTAGGATCAACTTCGTGTATATGTTCTGATAAAACAGGAACACTGACAGAGAATCAAATGAACGTGTCCCACCTTTTCTGTGACTTCAAAATTTATGATAACAATGATCATAGTCACGTATCTGATCCCTCCTATTCATGCTTATGCTTAGCAGCCTCTCTGAATCTGAAAGCTGTATTTGTACAGGATAGTATGAATTTAGCTGTTGACAAACGGAAAGTATTAGGCGACGCATCAGAATCAGCTATATTAAGATATATGGAGATTAATCGATCAGCAACTCGAACTCGTGAAGAGAATCCTAAAGTTGCTGAGATACCTTTTAGTTCTGCGTACAAATATCAAATAACTATCCATCTTATGCAAGTTACACAAAGTTATTATATAATTATGAAAGGTGCACCAGAAATTATAATAGAATATTGCGTTCGAGTTCATACTGATGAGGGAGAGCAACCGCTGACACCTCAGCTTAAAAAAGAATTAAAAGCCAATTTTATTAAACTTGCGAACATGGGCGAAAGAGTAATAGGTTACTGTGATCTGAAATTGCCATTAAATGAATACCCTATTGGATACAAATTTGATACTCACCAGAAAAATTTTCCTCTAGAAGAGCTTGCCTTTGTTGGCGCGATTTCCATGATAGACCCTCCGAGACAAGATATTGAAAAGTCCATAGCGCTTTGCAGGCAAGCAGGTATTAAGGTGATAATGGTCACAGGTGATCATCCTGTTACAGCATTAGCTATATCTCGCAAGTGTGGTACAATAACACAGCCAACAGCATATGATTATGCTTTTGAACATCACATAGAGCTAGCTGATGTGCCACCTCATATCAAAAATCAATTTAAAGCGACTGTTATAACCGGAGATGAACTCCGCAAAATGAGTGTAAACGATCTTAAAGCGGCACAAACTAAATATACAGAAATCACTTTTGCGAGAACTAGTCCTCAACAGAAACTGTTCATAGTTGAAACTTATCAGTCTTTAAAACACGTGGTCGCGGTTACCGGAGATGGTGTTAATGATTCACCCGCTTTGAAGAAAGCAGATATTGGTATTGCTATGGGTATAAATGGAACGGAAGTGTCCAAGCAAGCTGCTGATATGATTCTTCTCGATGATAATTTTGCATCTATAGTCTTAGGCATTAAAGAAGGCCGTAGAATCTTTGACAACTTGAAGAAAACAATTGCTTACACTCTTACCTCAAATACGCCTGAAATGATGCCCTTTGTACTCTACGCTTGCTTGGGCATGCCTTTACCGTTAACATTAATGTTGATTCTGGTGATAAATGTTGGTACAGATTTATTACCCGCAATGAGTCTTGCCTATGAGGACCCAGAAGAAGACATTATGTCGATACCACCACGAAAATCGGCTGATCATCTAGTTAATAGAGTACTTATTTTCATGGCATACTTTCAAATTGGATTAATTCAATTTTTTGCTGGGATGTACGCTTATTTCATAGTGTACGCACAGGATGGTTTTTATCCTTCCAGCTTGATATTTATTCGTAGTGAATGGGAATCTAGGGCAAATGTCGTCAAGGATACGCTTGGACGACCGTGGTACTATGAGGACAGAAAACGAATAGAAAAGAAGGCGCAGACTGCTTATTTCGTGTCTGTGTGTTGGACTCAAATATCGGATGTTATAATTTGTAAGACGAGACGAATATCACTTCTGAAGAAGGGTATGCGGAATCATGTATTGAACGTAAGTATCGTGGTAGATTTGATAGCTGCTGTGATCGCAACTTATTTGCCTATATGCCATGAAGTATTCAATACGGAGCCATTATCATGGTATGACTTCTTCCTTGCTGTTCCATTTATGTTTCTCATGGTAATTGGCGACGAGATGAGGCGTCACTTGATTAGAAATAATATTTCTAAGTGGGTTGAGCAGGAAACTTATTATTAAATGATAGTTGTTAGATAAGTTTGTCAATTACAGTTTCGTATATAAGTTTCACGTTACGTTATCTTGTTAAAAGAATTGATTGATATTGTTTAGTTTTAATTAAAATAAATGTATCTATTTATTTTCATTATAATCCATCTTATTAATAACAAATATACAACTCGGGAATTATTAATTGAAGTGAAAATAGGGATTACTAGCTGTGCCCGCGGTTTCACCCGTGTGAAATTTATAAGTCTGTGTTGTCTATGTTAAACTATATTAAGATAAAGTTTCAACAAAATCCGTTCAGTACTTTTTGTGCGAAAGTAACAAACATCCACCCATACTTTTTTTTGGATTACTCTAATGCTGTTGACCACATTTGGCCTTTACAGCTTCACCGGACGTTAGGGGGCGAGTGCAGATGGCGCTCGAAATTCGCGGAAGGACTTATGGAGCGGCTGAAGGCCAGCTCTTGCCTTACTGATACGACTTTAGTCTGAGGGCACCACTAGGGGTTCGAACCTGGGCTCAGGCCGTCGTAGTACCCATACTCACAAACTTTCGCGTTATAAACGTGATATTAGTAAGATTATTTATTATTTCGTTATTAATAATAATTATATTCGTTAGTTTATATCATCTGCAGTACAGAAAGAATATGAGTTTTAGTGTTGAAAATTTTCTACCACCAATAAAAATTATATTCTCCGACACTTTCACTAGAGGTAAAATAGATCCACTTTATGTAAACTGGTAAGAGTGAATACCACTTTGCAACATACTTGTTTTATGTATCTATTAATTTGTCTTTTTTAATCCTTAACATGTTCTACATATCATGCATTTTTTATGCGTATTTATGTATATGTATACTAAATTTCAATAAATTCTTCCACTCGCGTAAGCAAGATAGGATAACTAAATATCTTAACATCTATGTATATAGGTATCTGACTAACTGCACCCGCGGGTTCACCAGCCGTAAATCTATAGCCTATAATCTAAGTATCTATACAAATTAATAAAATTGGAGTGTTTGTTTGTAATATTGAAATAACCGATTTTTACTACATGCATATGAATATAAATATGGTACATATACCAAAATATCATTTTTTACAATTTTGACTGTCTGTCTGTTTGTCTGATTTTGACGGGACTTTTTTGGCATGTAGCTGATGCAATAAGGAGTAACTTAGGCTACTTTTAGTTTAGAAAAACTCTTTTAATTTATAAAATTAAACGGTCGAAGTCGCGGGAACAGCTAGTAAGATATATATTATATGTGTTATTCTGATGTAACATCTTGTATCTGTTTAATTCAATTCAGAGATACAAGATCATCCATCAAAGAGAGGAATGGACTAATATATTACCTCTCATCTCATAGATTACAGATTTAGCTTACATTTTTAATACCTACGTCTCTATTACCTATACCACAGATAATATAATATTACATACCTATACCATTAAGTTGACATTTTAAAGAGTAAATTAATGTGAACGTGTTAATTATAGGAACGTATTGAATATACATAGGCATACCTGCACTCATAATAATATTTTATTACCAATAAATAATTACATTTTACATCGTAAAACTCATAAATGTGCGAAATATCTGTGCTATCTAAAGCACTAGTTGCTCGAATTATGCTCTAACACAGACGTATGGGCGCGGCCCTGCCGATATTAATTTAAAACCAGCCTGCACATACTAGGTACCTTACCGGAATAACAGCGAACGAATGTGACCTACATTGCGCCAAAATACTGCCCTGTAATAAACCTAAACTAATACCGGTGACATACGGGCAAACTTTATGAAAACTATTTTATATACTACTAGCCTAGTCTACACATGTTATCCTGGCTTAACTATGAATCTTAACTCTACGCATTGTACATTACGCGCAACTTTTAAATTTTTTTCTTTCATAAGAACCTTTTGACAAACACAACAAACAGAATTATTACAAAATTTCTACTAAACTGTTTATTTTGCAGGTAGAGGTGAGATGTAAATAAATGTGGCAATGAAATTAGGTACAGGTATGAAAAAGTAACACCTTAGTCCTTGGAATGGTAACGCTAATGTTAACCACGTTCTTATAAATATATATAAAATATATAACATCCTCTATCACATTGAGAGTCACCAATGTAGCGTACATGGTACACTTTATCAACTACTATTTTATACTATGAAAGATATATCTTTCATAGTATAAAATAAAGTCTCTACGCTTAGATCTTTTAAACTACACAATGTATTTAATTAATATTCAAAGTGATTTCAGTGGAAGGTTTATTAGTATAGAAAAGCTAAGAAATTCAATTATTTAAAATAACCTGTGCGAAGACAGATTACACAGGTAACAGGTACAGGTACCGTTATACATATTTTTTTTATTAGATATAGAATAATAAATTACATCGCAATAAGGCTTTAGGCTCGTGTGTCTGAAATCTACAGTCGGCTCGACATTCTATCGATATATGTATCTATGTACTACTATTAGATACAAAAGCGCAGTTGTCCCCGCTTGTGTGTATTGTTTCTAATACTGCTCGCCTCGCCCATTTCGATTTACACATACAAGTACAAATAATATAAAGTTAACTTTAACAGAATTGAATTGGGATAAAGTTGACATTTCTTAGATTCCGCCCCTTTAACAGCATCTATTTCTATTTTAAGGCGATAACATAGGTTTCTACACAATAATAATAAATATGGCAAATATTACGAACTAATAAACGAATTAATTAAAAATGGTTTGTGGTTGATTTATTTATGCAGGTGTATGCAATTATATCAAATCTCTCTAGAACATCATGCCCTATCTAGAACTGCAGTAAATTATATAGGTACTAGAACGTATATCTAAAGCTGCACTACCAGGCTCCTAGGCAGTGAGTGTCGGCAAGGAACCCCTTTGACTTACACCCGGATCACAAGTCCCGGGAACTGCTCAGAGTTTTCCTCTCTGCCACACGATGGACTCAACTCCCGCAAGGTGAATGTATGGTATTCTAAGAAGTTCGTTTCAGGGCAATTCACACAACGTCATCTAGTCCCAAGATTAGTAAAACTTGTCATAGCCGCTACATAACTGTAATAAATATTTAAATACACCGAAAGCACTGGGACCAACCAATACAAACATATTATATTAACCTCACACAATGTTTGCATGGAGCGCCGAATCGAACCCGCGATCATCGGAATTGAGGAGGTGTAGCATATCTGCAGAACTACAAAATACAATGAGGCCTTATCATAGTCATTGTAACTTTAAACTAATATTTGATTGTTATGAGCCGTCTTCAAGAATATTAGACATCGATGTTCCTTATTTATTCTAGTTCCTTGTAAGCACGAAGTAATTTGTTAAATTGCCATTACATACCTATATCCAAAAGCGATTTCTTCGCTTTTAGAGATAGGATTACCCGTTGTTGTTCATTTCTGATCTTTATCCTACATATCCGATGACTGTACTTCCAAATGACATTATCCTAGGTTTCTTTTTACACAAATGGAAAACAAGTTGACAGACCACTTGATGATAAGTGGTAACCGTCGTTTATATGCATGAACAGTAAAACAGCTTACAAAGCAAGTTGCTTGGTGGTCGAAATAGGCAAGACTGAGGTTTTTTAAACCACGATGTGGTAATCAAGTGGCCCATCTGATGGTAATGGGTTACCGAAGTCCATTGACTCCTGAAATCCGAAGTATCTACGTAGACGCTTGTTTACAAAGTCTACTCTGGTTTAAGATATCGTGAATGACAACATTGCGGTTACGCTGTGATACTAGATAATTTGTGTCAGAGAATATTTGAATGCAACGTGACATCGAGCGAACCTATCGTCAAAGATGGTATCAGTTTTTAATTCATCGCTGGTTTTTTTAATATAATCGTAATATCCTTTGATAATTCACATTCACAGCGCCATCTAGTCCTAAGCGAATAGAGTTTGTAACAGTTAACAGTTAGTGTTATTGGTACTAGACAACCGATACAGATACAAATTCATGAATACAAATGTTCGTGCGAGGACTCGAACCCGCTACTCTCAGAAGTAAGGTGGTGTGCTAAACAGCTGTACCACCGAAACTGTCAAACTGGATGATAGGCTACTTTTTTTCACAAAAATTTAACTAATATTGTGCAAGTAGTAATAAGTTTAGGGTAATAGCTAGTATCTTTAGAAGTTAAAGTTCATATCAACTTTATCTAACCATATTAATTCTAGACCACATTTTGTGATAAGACAAGCCAACCCACAAATGAACCTAGCCTCAAATCTATTAGTTACATATTAAATTCTATTAGTTCATAGGGACATACGAGTTGAATATATTGGTTACGAAATGTGTATCAAGTGTGAGGTGGTGAACATTTATATACCTGCGCCCGCGCAGGATTCGTCACACGTGCTTTTTACAACTCGACGTGCGCACGCGACAGTCATGATCGCTAAGGTACGTTGGTAATTGTCCATTTGAAGGGTAGAACGGTGCATAATTGTGTATAATTAAATTGGTGAAAGGTTTTTAAACTTTTGTATTAATTTGTATATCATTTTCATTTACACTTTGAATGATCTTTATAAAATATAATTAAATTGTTGAACGGTTTTAAAATTTTTGTATTCATTTAAAATACACTTTTAATGATTTTTAAAATATATAACTAATATGTTGACCGATTTTTAAATCTTTGTATTCACTTATATATCAGGTTAATTTTAATTATGCCTTTAAAATACACTTTGAATGATCTTTATAAAATATAATTAAATTGTTGAAGGGTTCTTAAACTTTTGTACTCATTTATATATCATATTCATTTTAATTATGCCTCTAAAATACGATAATAAAATTAGGTGTTACATCATTTTTAATTATCTACTATATAGTATATTACATCATCATCATTTAATATAATAATTCATTTATATTTTTCGTTGATCGACTGGCATAAGAAAGGTATAACGTGTATAATTAATTGTATGTAATTAAATTGGAAAAAGATATTGAAATCTTTAGTATTCGCTAGTGATAACTAAATTTTTAATTAGTAACTACATCCATAGGCACTCCTATGGATGGATTCTATATCATCACATGATGAAACTCATAATTAATATAATAATTTGACTGTATTTTTAATCGACTGGCTTAAGAAGGTTTTAATTTCACTTAACTGTGCGTATTTTGATGATGATTTTTTTATATAATTGTTGGAGTAAATTTTTCGGTATTGCTAAAGTCTCATTTTGCAAGTATTAGGTACTAGACAGATTTTCTTTTTGTGAAAAAATGTGTTATTATTATTATGTCTGTGGCTGTCTATATATTGATTATATACCTATTTATTGTTATCGATTTGTAATTCCTTGTGATAAGGTTTTAGACTTAGATTTGAATCAGTTCTACAAATTTCATATCTTGTATCTACGAGAGTTTGAAATAGTTTACTCCGGTCAACCCCATTCTACAATGTTCTTTTATGATAAGTTTAAATTGACAACTACGAACTATTTGTATAGGAAAAGATGTTCAACAAAAAAAACTAATTCTATCATCATGAGCCGCTCTTAAATTATAATCCTTAATAATAAATGGCGTTGTTTGCAGTTATTTATGTTATGCTGCGCGTGCGCCGCCGCGGTGGCAGCGCCCGTTATCTACGGCGGCGTCGGCATCGCAGCGCCAGCCCTTGCTGCGCCCGCGTACGCCCAAGCCATTGCCGCCCCCGCCTACGCCCCAGCAATTGCCCACACAGTAGCAGCGCCGGCCATCGCAGCCCCCTATGTTAAAGCAGTCGCAGCACCTGTAAGTGTCCTTTAAATTGACGACCTCAGTGGTCTAGCGGTTTAAGGCGGTGTGCCTTACTTTCCGATGGTCGCAAGTCGCAGTCGCATTCCTTATGTATTTATAAAAATAAATGTATCTAAGTATTAATTTCAGTAGTTTAGCACCATTACAAAAGCTTTGTTTAGCTTGGAACTAGATGGCGCTGTATGAATTGTCCAGTGTTATTAATATTACATTTTATTTTTTACCGGGTTGATGTCTTAAGAGACACTGGAATGGACAGAAATTCTAATCTAAAGCGTTCTATTTATTATAAAGTTTAATCGAAAGTTCTCTATTAGATTACCAATATAAGTTATTATTAATGCTAAAGTTATTTCGTTTTCATTCCATTGCTAGTTCGTTCACTAGACAATTCCAATCCAGTAGTATAACGTCACTCTGGAAAAGACCTATTTTTCAATAAAACAGTCTTTACAAAAAGTTATATGTATATTCATATATCGTGTATGTACACACATATCCCAGTCAGAGGTGTTATGAACTGTCTAAGTCGAACGCAACACTTGACAAGATCCTGCAAATGTATATAATATTAGGAAATGTAGGCAACATCTGTTAATATTATAAATGCATAAGTTTGTAAGTATTAATGGGTGTTTGGTAATCTTTCACGCAAAAACTACTGAACGGATTTCTATAAAACTACAATAACGTAGCTTATACATCAGAATAACACATAGGCTGTAATTTAAAAAGATATTATGTAAATTGAGCGAAATATCATGATAAATGTCAAGTAAGCGTGATGTAGACAAAGTTGAGAGGGTGTACCTAATAATATAAATTTACTACTACATAGCTGTAATAATAAATATATCATATTATTTACCTTCGTAAATTTACTATTGTAACTTTGGTCAAATGTTATGAACAGATCGTACGAGCAGAACCTGTGGACCCGAATCCCGCCTACAGCTTTTCCTACGGCGTAGCAGATCCAACGACGGGAGACCAAAAGGATGCTTCTGAGACCCTGCAGAATGGCGTTGTGCAGGGCTCGTACAGCTTAGTCGAACCTGATGGTCACCTCAGAAGGGTCACATACACAGCTGATAAGATCAATGGTTTTAATGCTGTCGTGGAGAGAACCGGAGGCGCTCATGGGGTAAGAAACAGTTACTTTTGAGTTTTTTGATTGCCTTAATTTCTAAAATGTCTTTCACATTGACATTTTGGACATTGGAGATTTTTTGATTATGCTTTAAAGAACATCTTGATCAATGATAGAATATCACAAATAATTTGATTCTGCATGGTCTTAATTTAAGACAAGCAGAACAAATTCGAACTTTGTTTTACATGTCTTAAATGATAATCTGATTGTTAAATATCATAATAGTCTTATTCAGAGCAAGGAAAATTCAAGACTCTCTGTAATTTGTAGCAGAAAGGATGTTACAATTTATATAAAAAACGACTTTGTATAAAGTCTACCTTAGTACCTAATATTGATACCATAATACTACAATTTCCTTGATTGGAAATTAAATGACAATTTATTATTTACTAGCTACCCGCCCAGACTTCGCTTCTATATTATACATATAAACCTTCCTCTTGATTCACTCTATCTATTCCTAGAAACTGCAATAAAATCTGATACTTAGTTTAATAGATATAAGCAAAAGGACAGCGGAAACATGTTCATTTATACTATGTAAATAATTTTAATCAACAGGTGGCAGCACCGGTGGCTGTTGCAGCTCCCATAGCTAAAGTGGTAGCGCCAGCGCCGGTGGCAGTCGCTGCGCCTGTCGCTAGGTATACTCTGCCCGCGGTCGGCGTCGCCCACCCATGGGGTTAACCCTAACAGAAACCCTTATCTAGCTGTATTGATGACCGAGGTCATTTTAGTGGATGAGTATAATTGTACGGCTTGTGAAAGGTGCAGTACTAGGTTACGTATCATATAGGCTATTACATTCAATTATAAATTGCCTCATATTGGAGTAATTCCCTTTATTGTATCACCTAGTACTAAGTAGAAAGATAAAGGAATGAGTTTTAGTATTATTCCCGTTAATCAGCCTATATGAGTCATTTTAGAAAAATGTAACTTTTGGAATAATATCTAAAGCTTTATTTACAATGGCCAAGTATGGAATTAATATTTGTTTTATTAAAAATAAATTAAATGTTGGTTATCGAGAATTCTTTCGTAGTGTTTAGTCTTGAATATTTGTTATGCGCAGAGATTTAGGAGATGTCTGGGGTAGACTTCGATTTGTTTCGAAGGTATAATAACCTCGTTTGTCAATACAGCTTTACTAACGAACTAGCCTGGATCGGATTGAAGAATATCAGCTGTTTATATAATAACTAGTACTGCTTTGACTGTTGCCTACGGACTTGATCTTGACGTATTTACTTATGTACCTATATGTAAATATATTTTTGTAGTTGTTAATAAATAATACAAATAAATGCAATTTTTGCAGTATATTTCTACGTTTTATTTTTTATTATATATAAAGCATATAATAGAATACAATTTAAAGAAAATTTGTATATATCACAGTATCACCGGAATAAAAATCTACTTTGAAAGACTTTGTCCAAGTTCATATAGTAGTGAGTATCTCTGTTTACCTATTTCAGCAGCCAATCAGTTTGCTTTACAAGCTGTGTTTCGGTTTAAGGGTGAGATGTATAATGAAATATAGAGTATGATTGCAGGAGCCTACATCGGCCTGGTATACCTTTTAAGATTAACCCTGTATAAATTATGTAGGTACAACCACTTTCGGCGATGAGGGACTAATTAGCAAATGCTTAAGGATGATATATAAATTAACAAACAGTTTCTCTTTCTTTAATAGTTACATTTCTATATAAACATTATATATTTTTTTTTTCATAGCCAACAGCATTTTTTATTTTTTTCCTAGAGCTCGTTGCCGTGTACTTATTCGATTTTAAGACTGGACTTTTGAACCACTTCAAATCCTTTCATGGATCAGTGATCAACCACCAGTTAAGAACTATTATTCTATAGAATGTACATAGTACAATAGCAACAATTTAAAAGTTGTAATTTCAAATGACTTTAGAAGAATTAAAATAAGAAACATTATTCAGAGTTAAGACACGTGCCTGGGATAGGTATATTCATCTTCGCCTGCTGTCAGAGGGTAGCTCTCGACCAATATTTATTATACATCACATAAAAGAAATAAAATCAAAACTTAGATCATACAACATCTAGATTAAGTATAACAATAGTCACAAAAAGAATCCGAGAATTGTTACATTATATTTTTAAATTTAATTGTATAAGAATGCGTGCTTACTAGCTATTGTAATTAGATTAAACTTCAGTTTCGTCCTACATACATAATTAATATTAACGTAATTTCATAAAAAAAAAGAGTAGAGAAGGGTTTTCGTAAAAGCAATTCTTTTTTTATTATGTGATTTGAAAATATAGAGTAATAATGTTAAAGATTGAATTAGCATAAGATGTATATACTTAAAAAATATAGAATGAATAATAAATTGTATTATTAAGTAGGTAGTACCCATACTTAGGGGATGGATGAATTAGTTCAATGGAAGAAAAAATCTTTAATAAAAAATTGTGTAATCTTGCACATTATTCTTTAGATACGTCGCAATTAGCACTTTTAACAGCCTGTACCTACCTCTGTAACTCTGAATGTGTGAACCTACGAAATTTTCAGTTTTGGACACCAATGTTTCACTATTATTGATATAAAGTTAGAATGCCAATGGTACTGCTCCCAACCGGTTTCAGAGTGTCGATACCAGTCCATCGACGCAGCATAATGTAATTGTATTTAAGATCTATATTTGAAATTAAATATAGTCTTCCAATCTCAATTTTAATACATAACTGGTTAGTGTTTAGAGAGTTTGCTCACCAACAGGGCGACTACACTAACTACTAATTCTAGCAATCATTGAGCGTTAGATAAAATAGATCAATCGGGAAGTGATCGAGCTATACAGCTTGTATGTACTCGTAATAAATTCATGTCCGTTAAAGACTCGGAATATAAGGCCGCGTGATAGCCTTCGTGGTGGTGTCTCGAAGGCTGTCACGCTGTTATAAATACATTGGACCAGAAGATGAGGAGAATGAATGAATGAAGGATAGATACACTATGGTCGAAATAGCAATTCAAAAGAGCCGAATATGCTGAGGATCTTTCCTATTTTTGAGACTTATAAAACTAAGAAAGTGTGTAGTCACTAACCGGCTTCTCAAAGACACTGTCCCAAAAGGTTTCCCAGCACGAGTAAAGTTAACTAAACTAAAAAAATTAAACTAAAAGCAACTAGTATTCCACAAGCAGGTAGGAAACTGAGGATGCGTTATTACATCTATTGTCGTGTGACAATGTTTGACAATGTTCTCATTGGACTTGAAAATACTAAATTATACGTATTTCAAGTTGATACCTTTATTTCTATAGAATAGAATAGAAAATCCTTTATTGAAATAACAATCTTATATTGGAATAAATTTAACTGAAGCACTTTAGAATAGGTATAGGTATTTTATTAAATGGTAGATTATTCAGTCGGAAAGCTGACTCATCACAAGAAGAATGAGCAAGAAAGTTACATATTGCTCTTATAAATAATCACTGTAACTTTACAGTTTCAAGTCGAAATGTCAGCGCTAGTTGGTAGTTTGTATTCACAAACTACCAACTAGCGCTGATTTATATATATGGGTCACCTTTATCTCAATGGGGTTTAATTTTTTCGCTTGGTTGACTGTAAAAGGTAAAAAGGTCACTTTTAACAAATCCCTTTAATGGTATATAATTAATTGTCACCAGTCCACGGCTGTATAAATAACCATGTGTTGGAAACGACATTCCGCTGAAGTGTACATACGGGGAAACAAACTGGTTTCATTTCTATGACCCGTGCTTTTAGATTGGGTAACACGTCCGGAGAACTCTGGGCTTATATGGCGGCGTGTAGGTCTGTATTAGTACGCCTTTAATTATAAAGGTCACACTAAAAACTGTAACCCAGATATAGATAAGCGATTAGGAATCTGATTAATGACGTAAATATATAACTACATATATTTTCAATAAAGATTTTAATTTTATTTCTGTTTTATATGTATCGTTACGACTGTTAACCCAGGTAGTAGTCAGAGTCATTGTCAACTGTGTGATAGTGCGGTAAACGCAATATTTGACATTTTCACATTTCGCTCGGTATATTTCAAATTACACATGGCAGTAGGCGAGCCTACCATTCTCTCTCGTCTCGCGTCTCGCGAATTAAATTTAGTTTTGACGTCTGTGTTTCTTCCTTCGGAAAGTCAGACAATGATATAAATAGACACATAATGTTTTATTTTTTCTTGGTTAGCATACATTATATACGCCATATATGTTTTAAAGCCAAACCAATTTTGATAATAATTTTCTAAACAAAAGGAGACGTGAGTCCTAATAGTTCAAAGGATAATATTCTTAATTAGAAAATGTGTCTATTTGTTTGTCACGTACGACTGAACGGTCTTGTTGTGAAAATAGATTGAATTCGAAGACAAACATGCTATATTTTGTCTTTAAAAAGCAGAAGAGGCCGTGAGTAACGTTTGATATGTATCTTTACATAGTATAAAATCATTTAAACTGCGTAACGGATTTTAATGCAGCATTTTTTTTAGCAATAAATAGAGCAATTCAACTAGAAGGTATGTATGTATAACACTACATGTGTTAGTGCGAAGCTGGGTCTGGTATAGAGACACACTTACATCTAAAGACAGCTATATAAATTTCATTTCAAATTTCATATAATTCAGCTTAGGATAGCGGAAAAATAAACAAAAAATTGGAACATATAGAGACAGTAGACTGAGCATAAATAAATAAAAATGCATCTATGTCCTATATCTATCACTCACTTCTTCATTAAAAAACTGAATAAATGGACGACGATACATACGGCCAACATAAAACCAATTACACTCGGTGATCATTCAATTGTGCAATACTGTACGCACATTTTATAGATAAAAATGAAATATTAAAAATTCCCACCAATCATGTGTAGTTACCTATGTTTTATTGAGCACATATTTAGCAAGTATCTGGTATAGTATTTGATCGATGCCCCGATCGTTGGTCACATATGGCGGCCGGATGGCGATCAATCACTTGACAAATTACCCACACGAATAAATTACACTTGTCACAAAGTTGTAAGCTGTTATAAGAGTAGAGTTCGTCTATGATAGTTTATTTAATAGAATATAATGATAGGGTACAAAAATGCCGAATCCCAGATGACCCTGGACAGACAGTACTAGCGAAGACCGACCAGACTTGCTGACCCCAAATAAATGGATCTAAGGCCGAGCAACAGAAGGATATAATGATATGGTACACATTATTATATTCATTTTTTTTATTAATTTTTTCCGCCTTTTTTTATAGTATGGAAAAATCTTCAGAAAACCTTCTGACGGGGGCCGGAGGGGCGATAAAGGGGTTTATGTGATTTTTAGATACAAAAAAAACACATGGTGTATCTACGAGCGCTATTACCGGAGTCGCGAGGTTGCGTTAGCATTCTACCGCGACTCCGGTGGCATTGGCTCACCTGTATATGGTGTATAGGTTAGTGTATATCACTGGAAACATTTAGTTTTAATAAAAAAATCATCATTTTTAGACTACCCTATTATGTATATAATAACAATTCTATTCTGGACAATTCACACAATAGCATCAAGTCCCAAACGAAGCAGAGCTTGTGTTTTGGGTAACTGATAGACATCGTTTAATATATTTTAATGTAATTATATACTGAAATATACAAATAAAACAATACGATCAACACATTCAATCATACCAATGATATGAAAAAAATGTTGATATTTACTTCCTTGAAATATGGTATAAATATTAAAAGAATGTTAGTATTTATTAATAAAATAATGCACATGCCATAGTTTTGGAATGTTTTATTTTGAATACAAATAAATGCATCGTGTGAGGAATTGATCCCGCAACATCCCAAATAAGACGAAGTGCTAAACTGCTAGACCATCATGAGATTTTTGTGCGTAGTTCATATTCAGATCTCATTGTACGACTTAGCTTCTCATCAAACGGGTATCCGGTTTTGCTGCGCCCACTTCACTATTGGCCTGACTATATGGTCAGCTCTTGGGTGGGCTCTGGGACCTGGGAAAAAATGTTTTTTTTTACAAAAGCTTTGTAAAAAAACCTACCTTGGTAGGCCGGAAATCTGTAGTACAGGTTTCGACGTAGTACAGACTCCAGACTTTCATAAGGATTAACTTGAAAGTTTAAACATAATTATGTATATTGTAAAGTTTGTAGTGAGTAGTAAATATAAAAAAGATTATTTAATGTGTGATTATTATTGTATATATATATATATAGTGAGACGTTAAGGCAGGGGAGGGGTACAGTTGAATTTCACCCTATCTCACGTGGAAAAGAGGATTTTTCGGAAAATACAACACTTTTTTCTCTAGATAAAATATTACATGAAAATTAGGTTAAATTATGTAAAACTAATTTCTTCAATGAAATATCGTTGAATACTACTGTATTTACACGAAACGTCATTTCACGCACGTTTTAACGCGGGAAAGCCCGAAGTCCATCATGATTGATTTTGCATTTTACTATTTATCGTGTTCAACGCATGTCATGTTACTGCCTTTTAAAATTTCAATTTTTGTTCCATTTTTCATTTCCAAACACGTTTACAATTTATTATTAATTATGTCGTTACTCTATAGATGTATAGAGATACGTTAGATGTCCGCCATTTTGCAATGATAATTGATTATTTCAAAACGGGTAAAGCACGATTGAAGGACGCGGGGAATGCGCGAGCGAGCGGCGCGCGCAGTCTCCCTCGTTCTCTTTGTCTACATTAACACGCTCATTTTTTCCTGCGTGAAAGCTGATTCGCGCCTGAAAGAACTTACGTCCAAAGACAGCTATTTATGGCGGTTATGAGAATGCAAGTAGTACAGTATCCTCTTAAGTATTTAACTGCCATAGGCAAACCAAAAGCGAAAAATCACACGTTAGATTAAGACTGTATGGTCCCAACCCCTATCCATACAAAACGTAGGTACTAACTATTATGAAAAATCTACAATTACTAATTACATTCGATGTAATTTTGTCTATAGAATAAGGCAACTAAGTCCTAAGTAAAAATTTTAATTAAACCATGATGTGACCAGTTTTGGCGTAATATATAAAAATAAGTTCGCAAATAATAATATTCAGAATAATTAACTAATTCACGTATTTTATGGACGTTCATAAAAAAATTTTGACGTAGACACCTGTCTCATCTACAATCATTTCAGCTGTTTGCTTAGTAAGATATGTTTCGGTTGAAAATTGATGGGTACAAATTGTAAAAACCAGTAAACAGCGAAATTATAGGGTAAAGGAAATATGATGGGAAGAAAAGTACTCCTTGTACTTGTAAAATAAAAAAAATAACAGGCTCAAATAATTATGTAGACATTTTATTATTACAATATTGTATAATCGTGTAATTAATTAGCATGACATTCATATTTTCGGTATTGACCAGTATTTTATTATGTACTTATTATTTTAAAACATTGGATTAATAATTGATTACATATATAGTTACTATGGATAAAGAAAGTCATTATGTATGCCAGTGAAGACTAAATGTTCTATACTGATTTGTGAAAGTACCCTACACTATTACACTTTATTTAAAACAACGAATAAAATACACGATGTGATGACACGTGATATCTATTTGGTGCTGTTCCTGTACATAAACAACGGATGCCATTTACCATCAGATGGGCCGTAAGCTACAAAATACAGTCTTTTACAATTTAATGACTATCGCGTACAGTCTGCCGGACGACAAGCTGTTAATCCAGCTTGTTCTATACTAACTATATTATCGATATGTGTATCAAGAACGAGCCTAATGTCTATAGTAATACTATGAAATATTATATTATCTGTGTTAATACCTAAATCTTTAATCGTTTCTATATTATTGACAACAGAATTACACAATGTTTAAGAGAATTGTCTTATACTTCATTTTCTGAAGAAATTAATTCGTTTACATTCGGTTACAGAGTGTTCAGAGTAAGCGCTGACGTTAATCACTAACGATATATGTTGATATGCTGCTGAAAATGTTTATGATCATTAGTATTTAATGTCATCATGTCTTATAAATATAATAAAAGCGAAAGTTTGTGAGTTACTCCTTCGCGCAGAAAGTACTAAACGGATTTCGTTGAAACTTTACAGTGGTGAAACCTCGGGCACAACTAGTTATAAATAATTTCAATATTAACAATATCACCGCACAGCCAGATTACTACTAAAATATTAAGTCATAATTGTGTAACAGGTTATTCATGTAGGTATAAATTTGTGTAATTTTTTCCTCAAACCCCGACAGTTGTGGCAATAAACAGACATATATACTTATTTGCAATTAATATTGAGAAAATAATAAATAAGATAAATGTAACAGTTAAGTATAACAATGCATAGGTATGCTGTAGGCAAATAATTAACACTCGCATCGGATCACAATGTTTACAAACATAATAAATATGATCAAAGTTTTAGTTCAATAATTGGATTACTGATATGTTAAAAAATATACAGTACAAAGTACCATTATAATTATAATATAGATTACGATTTAAAATTAGAATATCTATAAGTAACAATAAATTCAAGCATAATATTTCTTAAACGAATCTTTAACAAATTAATAATTTGATTGTGTATTATATACACATACTATCACAAGTCCCTGTTTACCCACAATTTTATAGAAAAGACATTCGATATAAACATATCGTATAATCTGTTATTAAGCATATACTAAAAATAATAATGATTTATTGTATTGAACCGTGTATTCGAAATGTAAACATTATGGATATCTGCATACCTCACGAGATTTTATACACAATGTTGCAGATATAAAACTGTATATGAATAGATTGAAAGGAATCCAAGAACATTTATAATTATTGTAATGAATCTTATATACGAAAGTGACATAAGTCTCTTATATTATATTGGCTATATCGTGCATAGTTCGCACCGCCAAGACTCGTGAATGATCTGTTTTTCGTACCAAAACAACTCCTTTCTTAACCCAAACATATTTGTAATTATGATCTTTAGCCTTTTGTCTACATTCACGGAATAATAGCTTATTATTAACAGTTAAATGCTCGTTGACGTAAATGTATTGAACGGGGCCTGTTACTGATAATAGCTCAGTATTGATACGCTTACGACGGCATGCTACAAGTACGCTATCACGTAAGAATTTTGAGGCGAATTTGACAATTATATTCATGGGTCGGGTATCATCCCGCGAAGCATGCGGGACTCGATGTATAAACACAATGTCACTTTGTTCAATTTTTTGATTAATCACAGTACCCAAGGTAGTCGCGATTAGCATAAGATTCTCGTTGCGGTTTTCTGGTACATTGGACATCTCAATGTTGCAGTCTCTCCCCTGTTGTTCCATGTAATTAATTTTTGTTTCTAATGCTTTTATAAGATCCGAAGACTGGTTCAGGGATTTATTATTCACCTCGACGGCATTTAGGCGCTGCTCAAGTGAGTCTTGACGCTGATACATTGTATTCAGTGAGTTCACTATGTCGGAAAGACGAGCAGTGAAATTACTCACTGAATCTTCGAGATTGTTATTGTTTGTCTTGACTCTCAGTAAAGATGTGTTAATATCCGATAATGTGGCAGATATTTTCGGAAGTTCATCCGACATACTCGATTTCACCGCGGCCGATAATACTTCAATGATACCTTCGTCAATTTTATTATTCCAGGCACAAAATTTTTCATTACCCTTTTTACTCGTTTCGTCGTCCGGCTGTCTTCGCGTACTCTTTATATTATTTTCGTCGGTCACCGACAACGGTGATGTAGAAATGCCAGGATTCGTGAACTTCGACGGTGTACGTTGCCGGGACATATCGCGGCGTTCACTCTATATGCACAATTGCAGCGAATACACTAAACGTATGCAACACAAAGCAAGTATATGACGCCGCGTCCGCTCCAAACAAATGCGCGGAAACGAGAAATTGGTAATTTCGGGAAAATTCCACTTTGTCGGTCCAAACAAATGCGCGGAAACGAGAAATCGGTAGTTTTAGAAAATCGCACTTTAAGTCGTCTCTGTTTAGGTGTAATTTGGTGAAAACTGTCGAAGGATGTAATGCAAGTGAAGTGGCGTGGGTATGAGCGCACCTTTGAGGAGGGCGAGTGCATCGGCGAGGTGAGCGGCGGCGCGCGGCCGGCCGGCGGCGGCCGCCTGCGCGCAGCCGCACGCCGCGCCGCGCAGCCCCTCCCACATCTCCGGGCCGCCGTCTAGCCTGCCCGACCATATTTTTTATTTTATGAATGACTAGCTGTACCTGCGGCTTCGTCCGGGTGGAATTTAACTTTATTTTTCTAAAATATAAATAGCCTAAGTTACTCCTTATTACGTCAGCTACCTGCTAATAAAAGTCCCGTCAAAATCGGTCCAGCCATTTCGGAGATTAGCCGGAACAAACAGACAGTCAAAAATTGTAATAAATGTTATTTTGGTGTATGTACCGTATTTATATTCATGTGCTTGTAGTAAAAAACGGTTATTTCAATATTACAAACAGACACTCCAATTTTATTTATATGTATAGATAATAGAAGGGAGCACCCGCCTGCGCTAACGGTATACGCTGGCTGGGCATCAATGGAAGACGACAAGATGAGCATGAGGTCAGGTCAGTCTATCGTGACAAATTCACCAATACATTACTAGAAATAAAATTATGAATACACATTACTAACAATCCCCTTTACCACCATGTACCACATCACCACACCGTAAACACATGCACACCGTACCGGGACGTTATTGGTTTTTATTCTGGGGTTTGGGCTAGAAAGAACTTGTAGCGCTGCGACCTGCATTTTCGAATAAATTTTGCTCTTTGGTACGAGGACACTTATATATTTTTGTATGGTGTTTGACTTGTCAGAATCGGTCAAAGTAATTTTTGCACACGATTAGGATTTCTTGATGAATGATAATGAAATTAGGTTGAATTTAACAAAATCTTCATACGGATCCCTAACGGTTTTCGAAAATAATCTATATTAATATAACTTTGTTATTCAGGGATAATATGGTATTAAAAGATTATGATGGTAAAATAATTTTTCAAATCGGCTCATTAGTTTCCTGTTCAATGCAAACAAATAAACAATCAAATCTTTCATTTTTATAATATATATTAGTACAAGTACATATAGAAGCGCATATTTTTAAGGTTTTAAGATATTGATTCATATATTGGTAGCAATATATAGGTGCTTTGTTACATTACCTGTCTAACATGTGAAACGCTTTAGCAGCCACCAGAAACTGTCCCATACGGTAGCTGTCATTCGCTACCAGTTGCAGCAGCGCGAAGCTGTCCGGAGTTCCAGCTGACTGTATTTATATGTAATTTAGTAAGTAATCGCGATTCTTTTGGTTTAGTGTTCTACATCCCTCTACTTAGGTTATGAGTTCAAATATTTTTGTGCGTCAATTTTATGTTTGTATTTAGGACAGAATCTCCGGTGATGGAAGCACCGATAACACTTTCAGTGCTCTAGCGGTGTAATATATTGCATTACATTCGATCCGTTTACTATACAAACATCTATATTCATGAGTATGATCTGAATTTTTGTATTTTCCTGAGGGTTTTCTATGTATATTAAACAAATAAATTAAATTGAGTGAGAAAAAAAATAGTCGAAGTAGGACGAGAAAGGATAGGTGGTACATACTAAAAATATCATACAATTGCTCTAATCATAATTGCGAAAGGATAAAAAAATGCTGATGAAAGATACAGGCGGATGGAGTGGATAACCAAGTCCTCTTATTTATGCCTTTCATCCTGTAAATTCACTGCCTAGGAGCACCTTACAACCGAAACCCCAAAACACGCAGACGACTGTTTAAAATCTACCTCTAATAATACCGATAACATTTCTCTATAAACCTTCTATATCTTACTTTAATAACGGTAATATGGAAAATGAAAGAAGTAGATACCTTGACACAGATCTCCCAGGCAAGGTGAGCGTCCTTATTCATGACGTGGCATCGGCACAAGCAAGCCAGGTAAGTGAAGCAGCCGCGGATGTTCTCGTCGTGGATGCTAAGGAGACACTCCTCTGCTTCTCGGTAGAAGCCCGTCGCTACTTTAGCCTAATGTAGAACAAATATACTCTAACACAAGTTATGCTTAGCTTGGTACCAGATGGCGCTGTGTGAGTTGTCCTGGGTTATAATTATTATTAATATTTTAAAGGCGCTCTTTTCTTCTTCTTTTAATTGGTATAGAAGAAGGTAACTCATCCACTCGGGCTTTAACCAAATGTGGACGATGATTCCAATTACAATACATATACATACATATAATACAATACATAAAAAAAAATATAAATTTCAAATCGAATCTGTCGAATGAATGAATTAATATTTGCAAATATCACAATTATAATCTTATTAATTAGGACTTCCATTTAATGTAATTATATCTTCTAATTACAGCTAAGAATAAATTGAAAACCAAGGTAGGTCTCTTAGAATTCATTATTGATAGTCAATTATCACCTTTTTTTCTTTACTTGTCACGAGCTTTTAAGGTGCTTATGAGGGGGCCAGCAATATGTAGATTATATATGTAGGTACGAAAAAAATTACAAACCTGTGCATAATTGAAGTTGAACGTATCGTCGTTAACGAAGAAACTCTTGATCGAGTTAAGATACACGAGCACCTCCTCGAACTGTGACGCGAGGAAGTATGAAGACGCCATGCATTGTCGGCCAGGGATCGTGTCGCACTCCGACGCTGAACTACCCACCAAGTGAAAACTCTGTTGGGCCAACTTCATCTGTTCTTCCTAGTGGCGAAACGAGGTAGGTGGATTATGTAGTGTATTTTTTACAGCATAGCAGTTTACGGATCACCTAATAGTAATTAATACGTAATAAGTAATTACCACGGCCCATGAGCACCCGCAACATCAGGGGAATTGAAAGTGCGTTACTCGCATTTTAAGAAGGATTAAGGATCCCTCGTTTCAATATCGTATTGGTTAGGAAATACTGCTGGAAGGTGATTACACAATGTGGTTGTGCGTGGCAAAAAGTTTCTGGAATACGCATGGTTTATTTTAGATAATTAAGATATTTGTATATTATTAAGTAGTTAGTAGTTTTTTAATTTCGATAAGATCGAGAATCTATTTTTTAGAAATCCACTAACGAGCCCAAACTCCTAATTTCCTCCAACATAACTTTTTTCCCGATACAAAAATCTTATTAAATTTGGAACGAATACACCCAATCTTGAAAAACCCCACATCCGGCTTCTCAGCTATTCTTCTTGACACAAAAATCCCCCAACTTGTTAGAAACAATTTCCAATCTTGAACCTTGACAATATGTTATCACTCACGTCTCCAGTCTCGTTGTAAAGTCGTACAGCGACAACTGCCCTCAGTATGTAGTGTAGTGGTGAGGTCGGCTGCAATGGTTCAAGTAGTGCACGCGCTTCCAGTGGTTCACGGGCACGTAACCTGTACCCCGCTAAGTTTAGACGTGCCTCCGGAACTACGTCTACCAGCTCTGGTAGCACCTGAATGACGATAGTAATCTTAGAATATTGTATTATTCGGCTGTTGGAATGTTGGGCCGATAAACAAATTCTGGATTCATCTTGAACTTGTGGGCGACGACTGCTTTGGATATTATAAAAAGTAAATAAGCCAAATCACATAACGACGACGTAATAAGATCAGAAAAACATAGTATAAATGAAAAAATATACACACTAAAACTTAAACAAGAGAAACAAAACGAAATATATATGTATTTGAGAGAGATGTATAGATGGTATCGTGAGTAGTATAATGAATTGAAAGACAAAAACATAATAAGTTTATTAAATTCCTGTAAAAATATTGATTCTATTTCTACTATTTGCATCTTATCTTATATTGCAATTTCTACTCTACAAATTATATAGCAAATAAACCAATAATTTAAGCTAAAAGTTACAAATATAGTAAGTAATGAGTACGTTTTAGTTTGAGGCGAATAAAGTTCCGAGATGATTAGTTTGTAAGTTATTGCAACCTAACTGCAACCTGCTGATTTGCTAAACTAAATTGCTGAGTGTTAGCTCAGCAATACTCACTTTTAAAGCACCTTCGCCATTCCTGAACACAACGAGATTGTGTTTGACCAAGTCCTGACCGAACGTGTGCTGTTCGGACGATATTTGTTTTAGTTCGTTTTCAGCTGCTTTACCATTATATAATCTGAAATATGTATATGTAAATTTTATTTATATAGGCGACGGTTACCATTTCCGTTCAGTTGAATCGTCAACTTGTCTGCCAATTTGCCATGTACCTACCTGAACAAGTTACACGCCTTCAAATTGCCTGCGACTGTGGAGGTAGGGTGTTGGGCGAGATACACTCCGAGGACTTCTTGCGACACGTCATAGTAATCCAACTTGTAGTAACACAGAGCTACGTACACATTCAGAGCCATGTATGTGCTAGAAATAATAATGTTGCTTAATATATCTTTCTTTTTAATGGAATTTATCGTGCCTCCCCTACGATAACGGTGTATGCTGCAAGCCTCCAGTAAAGAATAGAATAGAAAGAATAGAATAGAAAATCATTTATTCAAATAAACTTACATTGAAGCACTTTTGAATAGTCATTACATTTTTTTTTAATCTACCGCTCGTTCGGAAAGCTGTCTCATCACAAGAAGAACGAGCAGGAAACTTGCGTGTTGATCTTTTAAATAATTTTATTATTACTTTACATTTTTAAGTTTAAGTGTGTGAATACAAACCACCAATTAGCACTAATTCAATTAAATACTCAAAAAGAAAAAATATTGAATACATAACCAACTGGTTAAACAATTAATAAGAGGAAATCAGTCATAGTGATTAGAGCAGACCAGTCCCTACAAGCAGCACCCGTTCACGAGTATGACGGATGAGCCAGCCATCACTGCGCTCGACCATATTTTAGGGAGCCCAATGACCCGGCCCACCACGCCGCCACAAGTCTGGACATTTTAGTGAGCATGACTACTCAAAACACTAGACCACGTCAAAGCTACTCACAATTGCCATCTGATAGTTATAGTATTCACATTTTACATAAGAATGCATGCGGCAATTAATACAAAAACCGCTACGCTTTCATATTTCTAAAATCAATCAATTAAATCAAGAAAGCAATGAGAAAATAAAATTATAACGTTGTATGCTAATAAACTAATTATTTACTTGATATGTTGTCATCTATGAATTCGTCTATCCTGTAATAGGCTTTCTTACATAAAAATTGTTTAATATAAGATTTGAATTGCCTCTCTGTCAGATTTAATGCAGATTCTGGCAGTTTATTATAAAATCTTATGCAATTACCATAGAATGAATTACTGATTTTGTGCAGACGGCATTTAGGTAAAATAAGCTTATTTATATTGCGTAAGTTTCTACTTTTACAGTCTTTGAGTTTTTTAAAACTCTCTAAGTTCTTCCGTGTATACATAATATTTTCATAAATGTATTGTGAAGTAACTGTGAGGATATTTGAGTCTTTAAAGCACTGACTGTAATGACTCTCTTGAACCCATACCATAAATAGAACGTATGGCTCTCTTTTGTAAAACAAATATAGTATTTATATCGGCTGCTTTACCCCACAGCAGTATGCCATAAGACATTATGCTATGGAAATAACTAAAATATACAAGTTTAGCCGTCGCTAAGGAATAAAACACTGTTGTGTACAGGTTTAGTTTTCGCTTTAATGTCGACCTAACATGGCTGATTCCTGGTAATCAGGCCAAAAGTCCTTATTAAGAATAAATCTCTTTGTCCTCTATGGCTAAGTACGTAACTATCATATATCTTTATTTGAAAATGTCTAAAATATTTTCTTTCTACCATGTCAGCACAGTATAGTCCACTATTATTAAGGAAAATTATCTACAAAAATTGAAGTTTTGATAGACTCTTGCGCAACCTCACGTAATTTATAAATCATATATACCTTCTTGATCCTTGATCGTCATGGTGAAACTAATATTTGACATACCCTCATTACGCTGAATACATTTTGTGTCTAAACGTGATGACGGAAATAATTTGGTGTATCATAAACAAAGTTTATACTATAACCATGTGAAAATTTTAGATAATCGTGTTACTCTACATAAATCAGGCTATTCTACGAATATTACAAGTTACAGAATTACGAGTTTTTCTAAACATATTAATTTCTGCATTTCTACCAGAGAGTTCTGTTTCTACTAACTCATTGACATAACTATTAACATGTACGGCTATTGAATTAAATTTTACCCCGAGGTGTGACATAGTATTTTAATCCAATCCATGTCGTCTGGTCCATATCGTTTATATCTGTAATGACAGAAACATTGTAACGCTCGTGTCGTACTCGTACGTTACATTTCTTGAAGACTGCTATTACCTACCCCGCACAGTACCGGATTCAGCCGGGACTTGTTGTAAATTCTTTAAAGAAGCCCACGGTTTAATTGGACCGCCACGAGTAGATTTTCTTTCAAACCTAAACTGCAGGAATACTACCTAAATTTGTAAGTTTCTTTTATTTTTCTCTCGATTTTTTTACTTTATATTTTTCTTTTTCTTTTCTGTGGTTTGACTGTCAGACTGTTTGGTAAGTATTTAATTACCTACATTATATAGCATTATATACCCTTTTATATATGTCGTTAAGGTCAGACGAGTGAGATCACGAGGCCGGTAGCATTTGCGACTCTTGCTACTAAGTTAATCCGACATTGTCCCCGCAATTTGAACTAATTTCATTGCTATATATTTCATAATCATTATGAAATGATTTTTATACAGTTTATAAAGAATTCTTATCATCATTACATAGTATAAAAACACTGTCTGTCTGTCTCTATGTATGCTTAAATCTTTTATACTACGCAACGGATTTTGAAGCGGTTTTTTTAAATAAATAGAGTGATTCAAGAGGAAGATATATATAAATAATACATGTACACCCGTGTGAAACCGGGGCAAGTAGTTAGTTTATTTATATAATACATAATTCAAAAGTACATATGGCTATGTAATATTGTGGTATCTATGATATGGCGGATTTAGCACTTTGTGTCAGAATGTTGCTAATGGTAGATCCATGATTGAGAACGAACTCTCCCTCTAGGAGATAAATTAGTTTTAAACACTAACTAGTGGTATGCCATAGCTCCAACCGGGTGTTCATCATTTTGAGGTTTGAAAAATATTAACATAATATATAACCTATGTAACTCTGAAACAATATACCATGCAAACAGTGAAAGAATTTGTCAAATAAGTACAGTGGTTCCTACTTTACTTTGTTCATAACAAAATTTTCTCTCTCGCTCTATCTTTATAATATTAGTATTTGTAATAGTGTTAGGACCGATTTTAGTGTCATGTCAAGTGCGTTAAATGTCTTTAAGGTCTTAAGCGATAAAAAACTTTATTGTAATACTTATAAGGTTCTAGCATCTTACCGTCTATCCAGTAACAATTTCTTATAGACATCAATAGCTTCTTGGTAGTGAGCGCGCAGGTAATGAACGGAGGCCAGACTGAGCTGGTCTTCGGGGACATCACGTAGGGACGCGTGGGCGCGCATCAGGGAGTCTTCGTCGCCCAGCTTATGCGACAGGTGGAATTGCAGCCTCGTCTGATAACATGTTTTTTGTCAAAGATTGACGGCCTTCGTGGTCTAGCGGATTAGCACACCGCTTTATTTCGATGGTCGCGGGTTGGATTCTTCGCACGGTTCAAACATTTTTATTCATGAGTACGATTGTTTGTATAGGTCTGGGTGTTATTTTATATATGTATTTACAAAAAAATATATCTCTATATCAGTTGTCTAGTACCCATAACACAAGTACTCCTTTCCTTGGGACTAGATGGCGTTGTGTGAATTATCGAGGGATATTATAGAGCTTATTTCTCCTTAAAAGGCTGGTAATGCACCTGCAATTTCCCTTAATAATTGGCTTAGGCATTTACCATCAGGTGACCCGTGGTGTAAGTTTGTCCCCCATGCTATAAAAAGACATAGTTCAGGTAGGAGTTGTATTTGGTACGCCCTCTGTACTCGTCCTTATTTTCGTCTGGTGAAGTCTTAAAGGCCAGAGCTACGGCATTAGAATAATTAGATTTTTATACATAAATAAAATCTGAGATAAAACAAATTAACGGTACAAAATTGTATATGAAAAACTCTATTTATAACTCCAAATCCCAAATTAATCACTAGGTACACTGCAAAACACAGTAAAATACAAAACCTCATCCCATTTCAAGGGTTGAAAAAAATAAGGACCGTTTATCAATAACAATATATCAATAAATTTATGACACTTACCTTCAATGCACATTTGGGGGCTTTTTCTACCGCTTGCTGAGACTCCTTGTACATACCTACAAATAATTAGTATTCATGTGAAATTGAACTTTATTGTCATGTACACATAATTTAATGCGTATAATATTTTTTTGCATAATATAAAAAAAACATTATAATATTGCACTCCTTCTCTATATAAATTATAAGTGTGTAAAATTACATACCTTCGTATGCGCAATTCTCATAAAAAGGGTTAAAAAGTTTTTGCTTCACGTATATATATGTATATATATATATCTATCTATAAATTATAAACACACAACATTTTTCATTTATAATATATCAAATGGAGTATTTACTTCCTTTAAATTGGTAAAAAAAAACATTACAAGGAGTAGTCGAATAGAGTATTTCCAGCTTTACAAGTTGGTAAAAAAATGACGTATTCTGTTCACCTAAGTAAAAATAGCAGACGGCGAGGTCCATGTCAATATTGTCTGCGACTCTCGAATCCAGATTTCCGAGAGCTTTAATGTGTTCGTACGCGTCCAGCGCCTGTCTGTACTCCCCCAGGTGGAACCAGCACCAAGCCGCCCACACCTCCGCCCATACCTCTTTATTACCTTCGTGTTTCAGGAACTAAAATGTTAGAATACTTATTCTAAAATTTTCGAATTTAGTACACATACACGCATTACACATATTTCTGCGTGGAATACTATGGCAGATATTTATATACTAACTGTACCCGCGATTTCGTCGGCGTGGAATTTTGCAACATTACTTTATTTTTCTAAAATAAAAGTAGCCTAAGTTACTCCGTATTACAGCTACCTGGTAATAAAAGTCATGTCGAAATCGGTCCAGCCATTTCAGAGATTAGCCGGAACGAACATACAGACAGACAAAAATTAGAAAAAATGTTATTTTGGTGTATGTACCGTATTTATGTTCATATGCATGTAGTAAAAAACGGTTATTTGAATATTACAAACAGACACTCCAATTTCATTTTTATGTATAGATGTATAGACTACATAATACTTATATACTACACAGACAATTCACACAGCGTCATCTAGTCCCAAATTAAAAAGCGCTTGTACTATGAACAGAAAACAACTGATAGAAATACATAAATACATTTTTTTTGCGTGCAATTGAAATTCATGAATAAGTAACATACATGATGTTTGTATAGTGCGAACATCGAACATGCAACCATCGGTTGTGAGGCGGTTTGTTAGAGCTAGACCACTGAGACCGTCCTAAGTCCCATTCAGCTGATTAGTATGTTTAGGCAAGTCCATATATATTTTTTAAAGATGTGACTAACTGACAATAGACTATAAAGGTAGCATTTTATACATTGTTACTTCTTTGACGGACTGTAACTGTTAGTTGAATAAAAATAGAAAAACAGTACCAACCTCGAGCATGGTGAGGGCACCAACATAATCTCTTTTAAGGATGAAGTCTTCCAGCTCAGGGAAATTCTTTTTAGCGGAACTGCTACCTGTGCTGCCGCGACTGTCCGCCGCCGGCTTTGAACGAGACAGTATCTAATAGAAAGAAAAGAAAGAAAAATACTTAATACACGATATATTTCAACAACATAATATTTATTAACAAATACTTACCATGTTAGCTAAATAACCAGTCAAAACTATATTGCCATAAAATTTATAGACTTATGTTGACTAAATACGCGTTGTCATGGAAACAAACAAATTGGCGCGAAACTTAAAAAAGAAAACATAAATGCGTTTTCGTTACTTAGTTACAAACAAGATAGAATTTGCTATTGTGTATTGATTTATCTACCTTAATATTTTATTGTTTTAATTTACTGAGAATAAAAGATAGGAATGTCGGAGTCGGCACGGTCAGACTCTTCGAGGCAATGCATTTGTATAGATGATAGCTCGTCATCTTCGTCTCCTGTGAATACAGAATGCGTGTGTCCAAGAGATGAACACGACATAGTCTTGCATGAGGAGACGTGTTTGTTGTACAAGAATGAAATAATATGTTTTCCTCATGTGAGTATGTATTTTGTGTCTGTAAGATCTATTCGGTTTGTGAATAAATAATTACACTTTAGTTCGAGATATGTAGATAGGACATTAATAATAAACAAAACTATTGTATATTCACAATGGAAATAATTGATTTTTATTTCGTGCCAAGGAAATTATTTTTAGATAGATTATATTTCTTCATGGTCATGGTGTTTGAAAGCGACGGTTAGGTACCGTTTACCTTTAGATGGGCCTTTAATTTGTTTACCATTCTAATTACATAAATAAATTGTAGTCATGGTTTTGTCAGTTACGTCCTAATTAGTTTACATATTTATTCATTAACTCTTCAAAATGTATGAAAAATTGAATAATATTAATTCTTTATTGCACAGATAATACATTAATAATATAATTTATAGACAATGTGAGCAAAGGTGGACTTATTCCTAGAAGATAACTCTTCCAGTCAACCCAAAACAGTAGCATAGGTGGTATTAATTGACAGAGTGAGAAGGCTTGGTTTTTTTAACATATTTAGGCGGTTTTTTCGCTTACACAATCTCTTCCAGACAGTCTATATTTTTTGTAAATTATTCAGGAACCGGATTCTTGTGAATGCGAGTCACCACCATTTGAAAGTGGCATATGCGAGTGCTGCGCATGCCCCGTCGACCAGTGTCATTGCAAGAAGTCCGGCAGAGAAGCCCTGGATCAGTATGTCTATTTTTTATATACTTACTACCTAGCTTCGTACCTATTATACATATAAACCTTCCTCTTGAATCACTCAAAAATCCGTTGAGTAGTTTAAAAGATCTAACAGCGGGAAGCGACTTCATTTTATGTTATGTAAAGATCGTTTACTGATCCTCGTGACATCGTACCAGTTTTTTTTCCACACTACTCTAATGCTGTTGGTCGCAGCTGGTCTTTACAACTTCACCGAACGATAAGGGGCGCGTGCACATGGCACTTCAAACCCGCGGAAGGACTTATGGAGTGGCTGAAGGCAAACTCTCGTCTGACGGATACGACTTTAGTCTAAGGGCACCGCTAGGGTTCCGAACCTCGGCTCAGACCGTCGTAATTTCGATCCCCGTTTTATGTGCTCATACGTACACTGGTGGTGCTCATGGTAGATTTAACATATCATAAGAGTCCGTAATAGATCTACATAAATAAAGATATTTTACTTTGATTTGAAATTTTTTAATTCATCCAGATGGCGCAGCAATTGCAATATGGGCTCCATGCCCGCGGTACTCGAGTCCACGCACCCGCTCATGCACAAGTTCCAGGATACCTTGAAACGATTCCTGGAGAAGGAGAACGCTATTGCTGAAGAGGAAATTCTTAATTTGGTAGTCAATAAAATCTATACTATTGTATAGTTTCATTTATTAGAGGAGAAACGTGATAAAAGATCTAAATAATTTGCAATACTAGGGAGTTATTACAGAAAGAAAACCAAAATTAATTCATTTATCGAATATATGGCAGTTAATTGAGTGCGGATTGGCTTTGATAAATTTGCAAACTAAGAATCAAGTTAGCTAGTCCCACTAAAATAGTAAAAAATTGACAAATTTTGCCATAGCCAGCAAATGAAGAGCCAAGTTGGTCAGTCCCATTCATTTAATAAAAATAAACTTACAGATTTCGCCATAACATTAAGCAAAATTAAATGTAGTATGAATAAATTATGTCATTGTGTGTGATTAAAATGTTATTCCTCTTATGTCTTAGCGTGAGGAGCTGAAGCTGAGCAAACAAGCGTACGAGAAAGATTTGGAATCAATATATCGCAGTGACCACGACACTAATGCACAGAGGGTATGTATACAAAGCTATGAGAAGAGCTTGAAATCCTAAAGATGCTATTCAATTGTTTGTTCATATATCTGGAATGAAGACCTTGAAATGCTAAGGTGCTTGAAATTTAATTGATTTTTTTGTGTCAATGGTAAACCACCTAATGGTAAGTGACTGCAATAATCTCTATACATGAAGAGCAACATGTCATGTCATCATGTCATTTCTATGGCACCCCTTTTGGGCTTTTATTGGAGAACTAAGATGGTATGCCTCCGTAGCTAGAAATTCAATATCCTTCACATCTTACTCTCCGAACTCAAACGTAGCTTGCAAAATAAGTTGTTTGGTGGCTAAATTGGGTGGAATAGATAAAAGGTACCCACTTACGCTGATGATTTTATGCAAAGTATCTCAGTAGAATAAATTTGAAGACATAAAATAAAGCGGCTGTGTGGTGAAAAGAAAGATATTGCCACCTACCTTGAACAAGGCACCGAAGTGTTTTTATAAAGTCACCTGCGTCGTTTATTGGGCATTAATAAATTTACAGGCTCTGATAGAGGAATATGAAGCAACACTGGGCCAGAAGACTAAGGAACGCCAAGATGCGGAGCAGCGAGCGCGCGAGTCCAATGAGAGGTACAAGAGAGCCACAGAGAAGTTGGAGCAGGACGTTATTTCTGGTAATCGTCCCACTCTTTTCCATTTTTCTTTTTAATTCCGATAACAAGCAACGGCTCTGTTCTTATGCCTTGTCTTTCTGTTATAATGTGCACTATCCTTTGTCTCCTTTCTTACCTATAGTTTATCTACCCAAAAAATGATTCAAAGAGATTGCGATGCGTTAAGATTGACTTTTGAGATTCCTTTCTGTATCTGATGAAAATAAAGTGTAGGAATAAAATAAAGAACGGGATAATAATGTTTCTGTATTACGTGGCTTAATACAAATGAATATACCTAATTCTAATATCAAAATGGTTTACAACAACTATAATACATTGCACACCAATCGGTAAAAGAGATATCAAATAAACAGTTAGGGATTAAGGATTACAGGGATTTAGTAATTGGATTACCAAATACATACATATTTTATATGAACATTATCACGATGATCACAATGATCGTCGTGTTGCCATTCTTAATTAATTGTACATGATACCTCAGTTCTCATAATCTAGAAACTTAATTTTTTTTAAATATGTAAATCAAAATCATAAATACATGGTAATTTATAATCACAATTAGAAAGAGAAGCAACAGAAGAATTAGAGGCACTGACTACTCTGTGCCGCCAATTGGAGGAATGGCGCGAGGAGACGGAGTCAGATCTTACGGTCAGCCAGCGCATGTCGAATAAGATGAGGGCGGAGAAGAAGACTTTGGCTGACGAGAAACGACAATTGGTAAGTTATTTTTTATTTGGAATCACAAACAAGATAACGGTAAGTAAGATATCACGATATCATATAACGTCAATCATGCGGTGTCATTCCGTTGGTCTGATATATGTCCATATAATATAACAGTTTTAATAAATCAAATATTATAATTTCAGGACATGATTATTTTCGGTCTTAGCAATGAGGTGTGGAAACTTGAGTCGAAATTGGAACTATATCAGAAACAGCTCGAGATAAAGAATAATGAAATGGAGAAAGTTAATGATAAGGTATGAGATAACAGTTTTATTGAGACTATAGGCGATACCATGCTTTCTAGTTTTGCCTTTATACTTTATACTTTATATTTATTTTTACTTTATACTTTTGGTTGCGCGTTGAGAGTAAGCTATTTTACAGATTGATGACTATGCTTGTAATTTAGTCACAGTAAAGCCAATTCTCTTTCGCCTCCTCTATTTTTGTCACTGCTGGTCACATTTTAAATAGTTAAATTTTCGTACTCTAAATAGAACTTAGAACTTAGAAACAGTAACTTCATAACGTCACGTCACAAAATCTAAGATTACTAGATTGCTTAATATTTTTGCATGAAGTTTGTCATTCAATCCATTGTTATACAATGTCACACCATGTCGACTATCCCCCTCGTAATGACGTCACAAAATCTAAGATTACCAGATTTAACCATATTTGTATATGAAGTTTGTACTTCAAACCCTTATCATAAAAAGTCACACTTTTGTTGACTCTCCTCTTAAACGGTATTGTAATTTATAAATTGGCCTCTTAGCTCTTATCCCGTTTTATTTTTAAAGTTTACTTATGTCATATTAGGTGACTGCATATGCAGCCGAGTTGGAGGACTTGGAGTTAGACAAACGTAGGCTAGTTAGCCTCTGGAACTCCGTGTTAGTTAACATACAGCAACGGGATAAGGTATACGACTCTGTGAGAGACGATTACAGGTAAGTTCATAACAAATGCCACAAAATATACCATATAGTCTTAAATAGTTACATGTCAGAAGAAGAAGAATTAAAAAGAGCTACATGTAAGTTTGTTGCTCGTTCTTCTTGTGATGAGTCCGTTTTCCATATGAGCAGTAGAATAAAAAAAGTATTTATATGAAGTTTATTTGAATAAAGAATTTTGCATTCTATACTTTGTCTTTGGTTTACTACCGTTCTTATATCTTTAAGGGCTGCAAATAGAGCCGACATCTATGTGGAAGTGAGTGAATTATGGTCGGTCTATCATCCTCATATTAGTCATAAATAAAAAGCCTATACCTTTGAAATTAATTTATTTGCTGTCACCAAACTTTTGGATACTTGGCCTTTGTCGGCCACGAATCTTAGTATAATCGGATTAAGAATGTCAACTTTCAGGTTCAAACAAGTACTGAAAATAGATCGCTCAATGCTATTTTATATTTTGACGATAGATAGATTATATTGGAGAAGTTTACATATTTTCAAGTTGATGAAATGATCTACACTACAAAAGATCGAAAATTTTGTTTATCTTAAGATACGCTATTGTAGCTCTTTCATATTTTTAGTAGATGGTTCTGTAACTATAATGCGAGTAAATATACAATGTCTATTAACAGTGAGGATATGAATTTTCTAAATAAATTAGCACTGTATGAAACATTATCAGTTTCTTATGCGCGCGCAAGACCTCTAGCCGATGCGGGGCTCCAATGCAGTTGGCTACTGTGCCTAATAAATAATCTGGTCCGAACGATGATGTAATAAGCAAATTGTTAATTGTCTATAGAGCTTTACAAGAAAATTACCGCACGTTGATGAACAACCTGGAGGTAACGAAGAAAGTAATGATGGAGGAGATGAACAAGAGCAAAGAGATAGCGATGAACAAGGAGAAGCTCACGTACGAATTCGAACACGCCACCAAGTTGTGTGAGTCGTATTTATAACTAGCTCAGTTGTGTAACTTTTCTATTTGTATGCAATGTTTGTATAGAATAAATCACTAAACTTTATAGTGCAGGTTACCATCCAAATCTCTTGCCGTTTCTGAGAATAGCGCGCAGTCAGATGCATAGACAAACAGATCCAATGAATCTATCAATACTAATAAATTTAAATATTAGTATTAATATAAAATAGTCTATTATTCTAAATTGATATAATTAGGTAGTTAGTTATTATAATGAGCAACGTGAGCGCAATCAAGATGGTACAGATCGCTACATAATAACATACATATCTGACCGTTTTACATCATCTTTCCTTATGCGAGCAGCTAAGGAGTGGAGCTCTCTCCCAGCGTCTGTCTTTCCTTCTTCTTACAACATTGGGTCTTTCAAGTCAAGAGCAAATAGGCACTATTTGAGCTTGCGCGTAACCGATTAGACCGCACCATCACTTAACATCAAATTTATATTTAAAAAAAAATACAGTAATTATTACTATCAAAATGTATTAGTAATTATTATTACATGAATTTAATAGTTACATATTCTTTTAGTTGACAACGAGGATGTAAAGAGAGTTAATTTCGAAACACAAATCGCTGAATTGCAGGAGGCCATCGAAATGACTGAAAGAGATCAGGAAATGATAAAATCTGTGAGTTGACATTCCTAGTTAATAGACTATTACTACTAGATAGAAAATAATACAATGCAACTTGACTCGTATAAGTGACTAAATTGTTCTAAATGGATTATTTTATTTTGAATTTCATGGTAAAACATAAGTTTACATATATATAGAATTCTAATTGCTAATATATATAATTTATAATGTAGTACCATCCTCCACTCAGTTCCACTTGGAAGTGGAACTAAGTGAAGGATGGTGTCAACCCATCGTAGTTAATTCCTAGTGAATACGCCACGATTAGCCGATTTTTTCTATGGATTCATACTTATTCTATCATCATTTGCTTATGCAGGCGATGCACCATTCCATTATCATCCATATGAAAAAGCCATTCACTATTTTTTTCATTTTATCCATAACAAACATATATAAATACAGAAAAAAACTTATGGACAAATTTTAATATTTTTTTCAGGTTTTGAAAATGTACAATCTTCTCTCGATATAGACGATTATGTTAAAAATATTCTCAAAGTTATTACATACATTTCAGGAGAATCAGACCATGCGAAACATACTGAAGAGTACAGAGAAAGAGTACGATCGTAAAATGGAACACAAACTGAAGTTGGAGAATGAGATACTGGCGAACCTGCAGGAGTGTTTGCTAAACGATAAAGCGGTCGAATCGATGGCGAATGGAATTAAGAAGATGCGAGAGATGTCCAGGAAACAAGTGAGTAGATTTTTTTTCACTAATATGACCACCTGAGCAGTATAAATATATACTGTAGGCAAAAGGAACATTCCTTTTTGTAGTTGAATTTTTCTTCCGTATACCTTCTATTTTTTACAATTATAAAACTTTTGCAATTATAAAACATTGCTTCTGGAAACATTCAACTGCGAGCAATGCATTAAAAGAAGAGACTCTTTCAGAAAATAAAAAGTGTTACATATTTTATAGATTTTTACAGATCCGCAGTTAGCTCAATTTTAATTAATTAGGTTCTTGTTCAGTGATTTCTAAAAATTCTCTAAACAATATTAAATGGAGTTATATGTAGAGGATTTATTTAACTTTGAAATCACAGATAAGATAATATTACGTACTTAAACTGAACAAGATGAATGGCTGGAGAAATAGGGAGACAGAGGAGAGACTTACTCAGCCGATATTCTATAAAGTCTACGTTAGTGGACAAAGTCTATATAGATTAAAATAAATTAGAATATTTTATTTCAGGAAATAGCATTAACGAACATGGAGAACCAGCATGCTGGCGTGATGCTGGACATCGAGGTGTACCGGAATCGCCAAGCGCGTAACAACAAAGTATTAGAAGAGAACTTGAAGCAAGTGAAAGCTAGAGAGAAAGAAATCGATCACCTCGAGGAAGAGTATGACCAGAAAGCCCTCAACTTAACCAGAAAGCAGAGAGAATTGGATATTATTATGAAGAAGTATCAAGCACTGAAAGAGATATTCGATGTAAGTTTACTTACCTAGTCTCTCTTTACGCCAGAACATTTTATAAATATTCCACGATAATTGTTCAGGCCTCTAAACCAGGCCTAAACTAAGCAGAACTTGTACTATGAGAATTAAATAACTGATAGAAATACTTTAATAACATTTTAAAAATACATACCTAAAAACACCCAAACATATTCAAACAATTATACTTATAAACACAATTTTATGTAACGGGCGACCATCGGAAGTAAGGCGATGCCCTGAACCACTGAGACCTCTTATATTTTAACTAGCTGTTATCCGCGACTTATGCTTTTTTATATATGTCCGTCCTCAAGTTGTTACACGTAACATTTCATTAAAATCTTGTGGGTGGTCGTCTATTCTTCCTAAGTGAATTTAAAAATGAAGCTGTAATTTTGTAAGCTCAGTTGAAAAGAATAAGAGCCGCGTTTATTGCTAGTTCTTCTTAGCTAGAAAGTACTCCGAACTGAGACTAGATTTGACATATCATAAGAGTCTATTAACCTACATGAATAAAGATATTTTGATATGATAAAGTTTTGCTACTTTATTAATTTGGGATAATTTCAGTTAAAGTCGCCGCAAGAACGTCGTATTGAAGAGCTGGAACAACAGATAAAAGCGCTCAGGGAGCGAACGGAGAGCATGCAACACGAGTGGCTCCGGCTGCAGGGCCACGTGGTCAAGTTGACCTCGCAACACCACAAGATTGTCTGCGACATCAATCTCATAAACAAACGTCAGTTATTTAATGCAGATAACCATTATGGATTTATAATTTAAGTCAATGAAGAAATGTGGAACAACCACTTAATGTAGGATCGGGTTAACCATTAAGTAAACTAGTCAACGGCCTAAATACTCTATATGGATTAGGGATACACAAAATTTTTTAAAATGTTATATATAGTATGTAAAATTTGTAGTTTCTACAAAAGATGTATCTTCAATGTCAGTAAGTATTATTGATTTGTTTTCAACACTTGGGGCCTATGGGCCACGACGTGGTTAATCCACCTTAACGTCCCATATTTCTCTTGAACACACTAATAATAAAAGGTCGCGAGAGGTAGTTACTACTACTACTAGCAAACTAGCGAAATTTCTCTACAATGTTCTAAGCAGTGTGTTCTATACTAACGTGTATATAAAGCTGCATTGGCAAGCTCTTTCTAGATTTGGCTGGGTAGGGAAAGAAACATGAGCGTTAAGGTGAGTATTGACGTACGTGGGAAAAAGGGCCCCTTAAACCTACACTCGGGTTAGTCCCGGAAACTGTACTGAGTTTCCTTCTCTGCCACACGACGGACTCGGTACCCGCACAGTGAATTCATGGAATGCTAAGAAGTTCTCTTTTGCAGAGATTCAAATCTGTGAGCAGAAGACGATGCGTATACAAGCCGAATGCGATAAAGTGGTGCAAGAGCGTGGATGGGTTGAAAGGTCACTTCGCGAGCTGCGCGGGCGGTTGGAAGTGGTGGAACGCGCGCGTAAGAATGCTGGCGACCGCAATCGCGGCGCGCAGCGCGGTAACCAGGCGCTTACGCTTGAATACGCAGCCAATCTCAAGGTTAGTTTATTTACTTGCACAATATGCAATAGAGTATCATTAAATAAATTTTAGATGATTTAGTTTAATGATAATGACAATGCACATATTGCCATCTATCTAGTTCCAAGCTAAGAAAGAGCTTTTGTTATGGGTACTAGACTGCTGATATATTATTTTTGGAAATATATACATGATATAAAAAAAACAGACCCAGACTAATACAGACGGTCATATTCATGAATACAAATTGTACCGTGCGAGGAATTGAACCCGTAACCATCAGAACTATCCAACCCTGTACTAAACTACGACCACCGGGGCCGTCAACTTTATAACCCCTGCGCTACATGCCATCCTGATGCCTTGAAAACATAGGTATTTGAATAATTTCCATACAAATATCGACATTGAGACGCGTATTTGTAGCCTTCCAGATAGTACTAGTGAGAACGCTACTAGAAACCTACGAAAATACTAAAAATATTCTGCGCTTTTGAAAGCACCTCAGATGACATATCATAATACTTCCGACTCTATATGCGCAGCGGTCCAAATATGAGGCTGATGAGGATGAATCCCTTTTACATAAATACAGAATACTTTGATTACAGGATGCGGAATCGGAAATAATTCAACTGGAAGAAGATATAGAAACAATGGACAAAGAGAAGATTAATCTTACTCAAGACTTGGATCGTGTTCAGAGAGAGGCCCTGATTTGGCAGAGAAAGGTGAGTGAATAAAATGAAGTACATTGTTTTCGGAAATTTATTCAAAGTGAATATTGACGTACGGGCAAAGAGCCTCTTAACACCCGAGTCACTGTCTCGAGAACTGCTCGGAGTAATTAGGGTCATAATTCGATATAATTAACGATCTCCTTCTCCCTGCCAGGGTGTTTTAGCAGTGGATCTCAAAAGGAACATCCAGAATGCAAAATCTGCAGCTGGTGAAATTGGTCAAATGAAAAACGAAATACACAGGATGGAGGTTTGTTATTATTATTTTTTAATAAAACATGTGTACATACTAAATTTCTAAGGTTATGCCGTAATAATTGCCGAAGATACAAAACACACTAAAATATCCAAAGGGGTACTCGTACTTTTTGAAATTCAAATGTAAAAAAATGTTCTAAATTTACTTTTCCAAGGTTCGTCGTGACCATTTTAGACGAACTGAAGAAAAGTTGGCCGAAAACTAAGGAAAATGTTCTAAATATCTAATTTTAAAAACTTTTCCAAGGTTCGTCGTGAACATCTTCGACGAACTGGAGAAAAGTTGGCCGAAGACTTGGCCTTGTACGTGACTCGTAGAGAAACAGCTATAGAGAAGACGAGAGCGGCAGCCGCGGTGGAGAAAGCCCACGGCACGGCTGGGCCTACCTCGCAGTCTACGTACCGACACAAGTTGAGGCTGGCACGGGCCGATGTTGCCAGGGTTACCAAGGTAAGTCCAATAAATGTTAGTATTCGGGTGGTAGGGATTCTTAACAATAGGGAGTGTCCCTATTGCTAGCAATGTTTGTTATATCAGACAGATTTCTACGCGGTTCCTCCTGGAAACCATCGTGATAAATTCCTAGTGAATTTATCATGTTGCGCTGACTGACCTGACTTGATGTTCATGTTCATATTATCATCCTCCACTAATGCACCGCCAGCGTAAACCTTTCTATTATCATCCACAAAAAAAATGACAATATTGGTGGTAGGGAATTATTTGTAATGTGTAGGGGCGGACTAAGACTAAGCGGGCCCTAGGCAACATACACTAATATGACGGTACTTTAGATTAAATTTTAGTAATTTTGATCGTCATGATATGCACTTTCTATAGATATGACTTTGGCAGTTGTAAGTTTTATACTTTTTGAGAAAATTTGATTGGAGTACAAAAGTAGCGGGTGGCCCGGTTTATTTGCTGTCCAGTGTAGTAATTCTGAGATGGGTATTACCAATTAACGATTCCGTATAATTTGGATACGTGTCGGTAATAATAATGCATATTACGCGTTATTCTGTTAAATACTATAAATATAAATTATAAAAATTAAAAATCTTAGTCCGCCCTTGGTAATGTGGACTGATATATGATTCTGAATACTGAACACCATTCCTAAAGTCACGCATTTTTATCTTATTTCGATCTTCACACTATGTCCTGAGGAAATGCAAAGAATATTTCGAATATTTCGCTCCTAAGAATATTTTTCAATTCTTGTCACTCTCTGGTCTAGGTAGCGAACTTTGAATAAGGGCGAGCACAATAGATCTGTACAGGTCGCAGTGTTACGTGTCTTAGCACCTGGCAATAGCTCAAACTCCCCCAATAAAAATAGAAAAAAATCTTATTCCGATCTGTTACAGAAAAAATGTTAAACTAATCATATTAACCACTATAACAACAGTGAATATACTTGAATTTATCCTGTGTCATTTTAAGGTTGCGATTAAAAAACATCTGTGTATAATTTGATTAAAAAACATCTGTGACATTTTATGGCTTCAGGATTTAACGGAAGCCAAAGCGCTTATGGCTCAGTTGCAACAAGAGCAGGAGAGGCTGGAGCGGGAAATGTCAGACACTAGCGCCACCAACGCACAACTAGAAGAGCATGTTGCTACTTTGTTGCGCGAGTGCCGCGACACTGAGAGACACAAGCAGTGGGTTAGTATCGGTACATAAATATTTCGGTATAAAATGGCTAAAATTAGGTAATTCGTATTTATGACTTTTAGGGTACGTGTTTTGGGCGGAACTAGGTTTGTATTTAAGTATTTGCTTAATTTGCTTAGGTTTAAAAAAATAAAAACAAAAATTGCGATCAGAAAGTGTATTGTGTGTACGAACATACTATTAAGTAGTATAGTTTGCCGAGAGTGGTATTGCGGGCGTCATATGATAGCGTGACGTCTGTAGTGCTGTTCATGTATGTAGATAGGCGATGGTTATCTTCAAATGTTTGGCAATCTATTAAAAAAGTGATGTCTGTAGTGGTGTTCATGTAGATAGGCGATGGTTATCGTCAAATGCTTGGCATTCTATTAAAAAAAACTTGGCCAAAAAAAATTATCAGCTTCATACTAGTTACTATATACCTATGCAATATTATGTTATCTGTGCTATAAAAGAAATAAAAGCCCTGGACTACAGCGTAGCTAGCGGAGGTTGTGTTATGGGTACTATACCTACCGTCAATTTTAATATAAACTGTTTACTTCTATGTGTTATGGTTGTTCGCTGTTTTTTTTTATTTCGATGCCATATCCCCTTTTGTAATAGAAATAGCAACTTTAGCGTAACTTTTGTAAGTCAAAAACGAAATAAATATGCCATATCACCAATAATTCACATCATTTTCCAGCTACTAGAACGCGTGGTACGCAGTCAAAGACTAGGAAACGAGCTGGCCACTGCAGTAAGGCGCCAGTCCATCCGCGTGAAGAAACCCAAAGCCAGTGTACTAGCGGAGTATTCTCAGGCTGTAGCTCTAAACGAGCGCATCAGATATATAGTGGAGACTCTCACTAAAGAGTACCCTTACATGACTGATAAGCTGGAGACCATATCTAACACGTTGAACATACGGACTCCAAGCGATTCCCCCAGGTTGATAGAAGAAGGCGGAGCTTGTGATGATGAAGAATCGGAATATGTAGCTGAGAAGCCGCTATGTCCATAGATTGTCTTGTGGAGATAATGAAGTCAAGAGTTTTAATGTACTTTTGACTAGTGTGCTTGAGTGATGTTTGCTAATAACGTATTTAAAAAAAATACAAGATAATAATAACCTGAGACAATTCACACAGTGCTATCTAGGTCCAAGTTAAGCTGAACTTGTGTTATGGATAGTAGACAACTGATAGCAATACGTAGATATTCTTTGGTGTTTTTAACACATAGAAAACATCCAGAGCAATACAAACAATGATACTCATGTTACCTACAAATGCTTGTACCGTGCGCGGAATCGAACACGCGACTATTAAGGCGAATATAATACTAGTAAGGCGGTGTGCTGAACCGCTAGACTACCGAAGTCGTCCTATAGGTAATAACTTAATTATAATCAAAATTAATATTAATTGGTTAACTCTTGTACGCGTCTTGTCCTGTAATTTCACTACCTTATCTCACCCTTTAACCGACACATATCTTTCAATGCAAGACAGCTGATATACATGAATTGAGGTTTTTATAGTCTACCTAGTCTATAGATGAAAAACTACATCCTCCGGAAAGCTAACGGATGATCGTATCACGAGCGTCACATGATAACGTGATATCGTAATGTTTATAAAACCGACAGAGAAAACATACCGTCAGATGGTACCTCTGTTTAGTTGTCGTCCTAGTTACATAAAAAATGTTTAGCTTCAGAAAGAATTTTTGTACCGGTGTGTATGGGTCCTTATGTTATTTAACATATGTTTGTATTTTGCGAGTGTGTGTTATATGCGTTTATTGTGTTTAATATTGGTTTACAATTTAATTAATCATGCATTGTTTGAGTTTATATAGTAATTTTGAAATAGAAATAAAAGTATTTGATAACATAAAATAAATTTATTTTAAACTTAATGAAAAACGTAACATTTCTATATTTGTGTAGGTAACAACATTGCCAGACCATTGGCAATATAGCCTTAAGTTTCTCTAGTCAAAATAAATTGCTTCTTTGATAAAAGCGCGGTTCAATTACTTATTATTAATTATTTTATTTTCGCTACCATTAGCATGGTTCAAATATTCAGTGCTGAAACCTGACCACCGCTGCTGGAAGCGTTTTCATTGGTAATTGACTAGAAAAACTATGCTATACTATTTGATATTCTAATCAGAAAATTCCACTTCAGAGTAGGATATTCAAAGTTAATAAAACCCGTTAAGTTCAAAATGAAACCCTTATTGTTACGCCATAGCATTGAATTTCGTTGTCTCGTGTCTTCGTATATAAAGATAAAATATGAACGCTCTGCCCTAATGATCAGAGTGTACTTTTAGTCTGGTTTTATTTCTGAAGATGATTAGATGATTTTTGTCTTCTATTTTGTATAATTTGTTCCGATGGGAGCTCAGTTTCTTAATAAATAGAATAAATTACGAACTAAAGTGTGTCGAGAATGCTAAAAAACTATTTAAAAGTATTGTATGAGAGTATAAAATTAAGTTTTAATACATTGCTTGTATCTAAAAATTTAACACCATATTACCAAAGTTTATACCTGCCAAAATTAAAACAATAAATATATGACTGAAATTCTATAAAACGTAACACGATTACAAAATTATTTTCAACTTGGTCCTTCATAATCTTTCGCATTGATGTTTTATAATTTTTTTAAACATACCTCCATGGTTTACAATAAATATGTATATGTACATTGCCTTAGACATTCAGTTGTACGTAAACAGCATCTCCAATCAGTTACTTTAACTAGCAATTTTCTACAAGGTTCCACTGAAAATCAGCGTTTGGGCATTACAGCCCAGACACAAAGCTGAGTGGAAACCAATTTGGTCGCAGCTGTATTTTTAAAATAATTTGTTATAATTTTTGTAAAATATTGTATGATTGTTTTGTATGCGCCAAATAAATATATTTTTCTTTCTTTCTTTCAATTTTGTAATAAATATCACCGTCACATAAAATCTCTTAAGCGTTACACTTGATCATAAAAGTCACAACAAGAACACAACATTAACTCTACAGTTTTATATCAATATTCTTTCGTACTCTTCCAAAGAACAGAACCCTTTCTATATTGAAAACTAAAACATTCTTAAACCAAGCCAAGCATTTTGTAAATAGTTTTAAAGTACTGCATAAGATTATAAACACAAACTAATACAATAAATTAATGTTAAGCAATTTTCTATTCTATTTTAAATTACTTAAGTACCAAAAGTAGAAAGGAACCTTTTCTACAAATCTACGATAAACTATCTGTAAATAAACCTATAATATTAATACTGCGTTGATTGCTCTTGGAAAATAATTTAATATTAAATCATTTACTGAATATAAAAAATTTATCAGTTATCAAATGTTACATGATATGCAACTATTATTAATATATGTATAAAAATGTGTGGGAGCACCATGTCTTACCGGTAGTCGTTTTGTCATAAATAAATGAATATTCGACGATAACAAGAATTACTTGGCAAGGACCAAGCGTTACTTGGTAACGAGCAAGTAACACTTGACCACGACCAGATGTTACTTGACGATGCGTACCAAGCGTTACTTGGCGAGGACCACGTGTTACTTGTCAACCAGCAGGCTGGCTGCGACTAGACGTTACTTGGCGAGGACCAAGCGTTACTTGGCAACGAGTAGGTTTTACTTGGCCATGGCCAGGATTTACTTGGCAATAGCCAGCGTCGCTAGGTGATGAGCAGGTGCCGTTCGTGTGCGGTATGCTCGTGCCGTTTACGATGATCGGAGCGGCCAAATCTGACTCCGCAGTACTTGCACGGGAATCGCTTCTCCTTGGTATGACTCACCATGTGGGCTCGTAAGTACCTGGTAATAATAGCATTCTCGTTTATTTACTTTGTCCATTTTAACCCTGCCGGAATTTTCAAGGTATAATCTCGCTTTATTGAAATTCATACCCGTCTCATACATACAGGTTAGCTTAGAAGTCATTAATGGTAACTAATCAATACAAGTTTTGAGGTTTTTGTAATGGTATAAAATAGAAAACCCTTTATTCGAATAAATTTAATTTAAGCACTTTTCAATGGTTTAATAAGTTTTCTTAAGATTGTAACGAAAATATGACATTACTCATGTTCCAATATGTGGTTACCTCCTGCAGATCTGATGTTAAACGATGGCCTATATACTTGTTTGTCAATATTTTGGTATAAAAATGACGTGTCATGTTGTTTGTCTGCGATGGACTCCTAAACTACCGATTGTAAATTTGATTTGCAAGTTGTGTGCAATTTGATACAACTTGAAAGATAGGTCAATTTATAGTCACAATATTATTTTATTGCCTTAGCCACAGCAACGCGTGGCCGGGTCTACTAGTAGCATTATATGATTGACATTTGATAACATCCTTGAACAACTGCACTGTACGTTCCATAAAATTTATAGAATCAGAACCTTACCAACTTATATAAGGTTCTGAATCGAGTAAACAAAGTTAATTACGGTAGAGAAGGGAAAATAGTAGAATAATGTATATGGAATAATAATAATATGTATTGTCTCGGGAATGTGTTCAGCTATGACAAGAACAGGGGGCGGGGTAAAAACATATCTTATTAATATTTTAAACACGAAAGTTTGTGAGTATGGATGGATGTTTGCTACTTTTTCACGCAACAATTACTGAACGATTTTTGATGAAACTTTACAGTAATGTAGCTTATACATTATAATAACATATATAGGTTATAAATTTCACGCGGGTGAAAGCGCGGGCACAACTAGTATTATTTAATTTATGGATGACCGTTAAGGAATGTACGTAAAATGATATTTACCCTGATCTAAGGAATGTCATGTCGCAGTGTGTACAGGCGAATAATTTGACATCTGTGTGGATAAGTCGGTGATTTTTCAAGATTGAAGTTGAAGAGAAGCATTTGCCGCACTCGGGACATTCATATGGTTTCTCCTTCGTGTGACTTCTGTTAAAACGATAAATGTAAATGTGGTTAATAGATGCTGTTAGTGAAAAATGCATTAAAAATATAACAATTGTCAAATTTCGTATTTCAGCACTTCTAAATCAACAATAAGTAGCTTTTAATTTCTATATAGATATAATAAAATTTTACAAATATTCCAATACCAATTCAGGGCTTTGGTGGCATATCGCCTTATTTCCAATGATCTCGGGTTTGATCCTCGCACGATACAAACATCTGCATTCAAGAGTATGATTGTTTGTCTTTAAAATAAAATTGTAAGAAGTAACCGTTGACTTATTTACGAGTATATATATATGTACATAAACAGTATCACAAAAATCACGTAATGGTATGACGACCCCTCATGATGGGTACCTTAGGGGGAGAACTACGATGTCCCTTATGATCCCGTACCCTGTAATTACATTATCATATATTTACACACACACACACAGTTAACAGAGCAAGCTGCGGATTAAATAATGAGACACAGACGACTTTTTATAAATTAGTAGTAGATTTTGTAAGTCTAATAATCTGAAGTAGGCATGTTCTAGAGTGGAGACCGCGAATTGGCAAACGTAGTGTAGGACGCCCCGCAGCTAGGTGGAGCGACGACATATGTAGGGTTGCAGGTAATAACTGGAAGAGAAGGGCTGAAGATCGTGTCCTGTGGAGTGCCTTGGAAGAGGCCTTTGTCCAGCAGCGGACCGCAGTGGGCTGATGATAATGATGATGACGATTTCTCTCATTTTCTTATTGCAGTACTTCTGTTCAGGCCTAAAGCGCCTGATATATTTTAATAGCACCAAGAAGATGCATTATATAGTCGCATTGCATATGCACTTGTTTTTTGTATACTTGCATATTTTTTATTTTTTTTTCTTATATAGACGTTCGTCGATTATTGAGTTCACTTCCTTTGTACTTACCTAATTTGTAAACGTTGTCGAAATTAAAATACTTAAATATATAAATCTGGGTTTCATTAGAAGCTCCATTATGTTATACAAGACATAAATTGGTGGCCCATGAAGAGAAACAATATTATATGAAGAAATCACACATTATCATCTGATCGAAATCAGGTGAATCGAATGACGCCGTAATATGCAAGTACATCAAAGTTTGGTATTTGAAGAGGAAAATACATGAATATTGACAAATAATCTACATACATCAAGCAATATCATAAAAAGGGCAGTGAGGCAGCTAAAGTTTCACACCGCAGCGCAGTATTACAAAAAAGATAAGTGTATTTCCTTTGTCCTTGCTTAATCATACTAAATTAACCTAAATTACAAATACCAATCTATCCTATACCTCTATTAGTACATGCTTTCGCAAGTCATACCTGTGATTTAATTGTTTATGCATATAAATAAGATCATATAATTCTGAAAAACAAAATTGAATCTAACCTAAAATTAAGTCAATAGGTAATTCTTTAATATTAGTAACATAATAATCATAGAAAACTCATAATAAAATAAATACCGTAATATATTTTACATACCTATATATATACCTATATTCATATATTCATACCTTGTTTGAAATATTGATTTTGGTAACAAAAAATTGCATAATACATATATATTTCTTTTAACACATTACAAAATAGAATACTTATACCTTAATGCATAATTAGTTGTATAATTGTATAAAATAGGTTTTGTTTTGGAAAAATAGTACTGGTCTTATAAATTAAAGATAAGTTTATTGTTTGGTGAAAATATTGATTTAATAAATTAGCAATAGTTTGCCATTTCTTAGGTTTTTATATCTTAACCGACTTCATAAAAGGAGGTTATCTATTAGATTATACTTTTGTGTTTACAGATTTTAATCATTCCTTCTATTTTTGTAAGTTACAGTACATATTATAGTTACTATAGTCGTATTAGTTTTTCTGTATTTTGAAGTTTGTATTCTAGCTATTGTATTTAATTAAGTTAAGTACAGTGTATTTATGCGAATTGCTGAACAATTCCAGGTTGTCGGCAAATATTCATCCTACAAGTGCAGCAGCACACCACTGCTGCTTCATTGTCAGCGCACGCCAAGTCTCCCAAGGGTTTGCAGTGAGAAGCGTGAGAATATCATTATTTTTATTTTTTATTTCAAAGAAATTGATTGATTGATAGTGAAGCCAGTTTATAAAAAATGTCGAATCCCACTGATAAACCGATGTACGGTACAGCAAAACTAAGAGATTTAAACATAAAGCGTAGCTCAATAAAAGGCCAAATTACTAAATTTAAAAACTATCTAAATAATTTAAACACTAAACTACAGTTATCAAACATCGAATTAGTTGAGTTAAAACTAAAACTTAGTAAGTTCGAGGGTTTATCCGTGAGATTTGATGATTTGCAAAGTGAGATAGAGGTGTTGAATTCTGATAATATGAGTATAGAATTGGATGAGCGAGAAAACATTGAGAGCGACATTATTATTAATATTGCAGCAGCCAAAACCTTAATAGAAAAATATAATAAATTAGAAAATGACCAAAGACGAGAGTCTATGGTTCATGAATCCCATTGTTCTCTCGATCACCATGAAATTAGTTTCAAATTACCTCACTTACAAATTTCTAAGTTTGATGGCGCCTACTTTCGTTGGTTAGACTTTCGCGATACATTTGAAAATTTAATTCACAATAACGACCGTATTAAACCTATAAACAAATTTCACTATCTCGCTTCCTATTTGGAAGGAGATGCTGCACGAATAATTTCAAATCTCGAAGTATCTTCAGCTAACTATGATGAAGCATGGAGGCTGCTTTGTGAGCGCTATGATAATAAAAGATTGCTTGTTAACTTCCATCTCAGTTCATTGTTTAGCATACAAACGCTTAATCGCGAATCCGAGAAAGGTTTACGATTTTTGGTTGATCACGTTACAAAAAATCTTCGTGCTTTAACCAATTTAGGTCAACCAACTGATAAATGGGATACATTGATTATATTCATGTTGTCGTCTAAAATGGATAGCCGTACACTTACAAAGTGGGAAGAATTTCGCAACTCACTTAATAATATTCCAACTCTGGATCAGTTTTATAAATTCTTAATAGATCGTGCTGATGTCTTAGAGTCATTGAATCGCAATAAATTTAATAATGTCCCACATAATAATTCGCCTACAGGTGCCACACTCTCGCCTCATAATAACAAACAACGACGACTCTTGGATACTAAGTCATTCGCTACTACTAGTGTAAATAAATCAAACGCACATGTGTATTCCTGTGTTGTTTGTAATGAAGGTCATCGAATATACGACTGTCCCACATTTAAGGCAAAATCCATAAAGGACCGATGGGTTGAGGTTACAAAATATAAATTGTGTGCTAATTGTCTTCGCCAAGGGCACCCTGTAAATAACTGCCGGTTAGGACCTTGTCGCGAATGCAAAAAAAGACATAATAGTCTCCTTCACAATAATACTACTTCAGTTGGTTCTAATTGTGCTGACCAATCTGAAACTATTGTTAATTTTTCAAAACAAAATAATACCACTATATTATTGGGTACAGCAGTTATCGAAATATGCAATCCTAATACTGGTATGACACAAAAGGCACGTGCTTTACTGGACTGTGGTAGTGAGTCCTCATTTATTACTAAAACATTAAAGGACCAACTCTCATTAGATTCTAATCCTATAGACGCGCTAAATGTTATTGGTATCGGTAATGTCTGCAATGATAAAGTAAGGGAAACCTGTATTACACAAATAACATCTCTAAATAGTCAATTTACTGCTAAACTGTCGTGTTTGGTAATGAATAAATTAACAAGTGATCTTCCAAAGATCCCAATAGATGTACATAAATTTGACATTCCTCAAGACATCAATTTAGCAGATCCTACTTTTAATCAACCTGGTACAGTTGATATTTTGATAGGATCTGATTTGTTTTGGGAGATCTTGGGAAACGAAAAACGTTCTCTAGGTCCAAATAAAGCTATATTAATAAAGTCTAAACTTGGCTGGTTGATAGCTGGCCCTACGCATTCTATACATAATTCATACAATAAATATACTAATTGTCATCATTCAGTATCGCATGTTGAAGTAGAATCTAATATTGATAGCATGCTCAAAATATTTTGGGAAATTGAAGAACTTCCTAAGAAAACAGTGATGAGTAAGAACGACAAAATTTGTGAACAGCACTTCATAGACAATACAGTTCGCCTAAACACTGGTAGGTTTTGTATTAAACTACCTCTAACAGATTCCACAGACTGCCTTGGAGATACCTTTTATTTAGCAAGAAAACGTTTTCTTTGTCTTGAAAGAAGGTTTAAAAGGCAGCCTAAACTAAAACTGGAGTATTCCAACTTTATTAAAGAGTATGCGAAATTAGGTCATCTCTCGGAGTGTCCTATACTAAAACCAAATCCAGCTTACTTTTTATGTCATCACGCTGTATTTAAAAACAGTAGTGAATCTACCAAGCTTCGAGTAGTGTTTGATGGGTCCGCTCCCTCTTCCTCGGGGTATTCTTTAAATGACATTCTGATGGTGGGTCCTAATGTACAGGACTCCCTCTTCTCCATTTTGGTAAGAGCAAGACAATACAAATACCTCTTAACTGGTGACATTGAGAAAATGTAACCATACCAGGTTCAAGTGAAATCGGAGGATAGAAACTTGCAACTTATTCTGTGGAGAGAAGATGAGTCCCAGCCCATCAGAACATTACAATTAAATACTCTCACTTACGGTACGGCAAGTGCGAGCTATTTGAGCACAAGATGTATCAAAAAATTAGGGGAAGAGCAGGAAGAGGAATTAATTAGTAATATTATTCAAAGAGATTTTTACATTGATGACCTTGTCACTGGATCTAATGATGCAGTTGAATTACGATATATACAAAATAGAGTTTCAGAGATATTACTATCCGGTTGTTTTAATTTAAGAAAATATAGAAGTAATTTGGAAAATCTGTTTGAAAATTCAAATATAGATACGCAACAAAATTTAACTATTAGTGAGTCTTCGAACACTCTCGGGCTTGGTTGGGACCCATCGAATGATTGTTTGCATTTCCCGATAAATTTTCACCTAGAATGCGAAACAGTTACAAAACGAGTAATAATGTCAAATTCATTTAAATTATTTGATCCCTTAGGTATCTTAAGTCCATGTATAATCAAGCCTAAAATGATGTTACAAAAACTATGGTTACAAAAGATAGACTGGGATGAACCAGTCCCATATGATATTAGGGAACAGTGGGTAAACTTTATCAAAAATATGCCTTGCCTTCTAAAATTACAGATTCCACGGTGGGTTATTTGCGACTCACCTGTATGTGTGGAGCTGCATTCATTCAGCGACGCTTCTCAAAGTGCTTACGGTGCATGTGTGTATGTGAGGTCAATAGACGCAAACAATGACATTACCGTAAGGTTACTTTGTGCCAAATCCAAGGTAGCTCCAGTTAAACCCATGACAATACCTCGTTTGGAGCTTTCTGCTGCACTTCTTGCTGCCAGATTATGTAGGGATATTGAGACGTCCATAAGGTACACACCAGATCGCATAATTCATTGGTGCGATTCTAGCGTAGTATTGTCATGGATCAATAATGACGTCACGAAACTAAAATCATTCGTAGCTAATCGCATTAGTGAGATCGTCGAACTCACTCATTCTTCAGCATGGCGATATGTCCCTACTACAGCTAACCCAGCAGATTTAATATCCAGGGGCTTGGATGGTAATCAAATTATTATGTCAAATTTATGGTGGACGGGACCTTCATTTTTATTTCAGAATGAGGCTGAGTGGCCAATATTAAAATCTTGTACTGAACCCTACGAAACACTATCCGAAATTAAGACAAATATAGCAATGCTTCCGAATCCAATAATTCAAATCAACCGTTATTCTAATTTAACCAAGCTACAAAGAATTTTAGCATACGTAATGAGGTTTATATATAATTTAAAAAACAATAAAAATCAACGTTCAGGAAAATTAACTATAAATGAATTAAATGAAGCTTTTATAATACTCTGTGGCATTGCTCAACAAGAAATATATCCAATAGAATTAAATATACTATCAAATAATAAGATGTTAAGTTCTAAGTCGAAAATATTGCAGTTGTCTCCTTTTCTAGATGATCGCAAATTAATCAGGGTTGGAGGACGAATACATGCGTCTAATTGTACATATGAACAGAAGCATCCTATACTTTTACATGCATCTCACCATTTAACCAAGCTCATTTTCGAAAGAGAACACATAAGTCATATGCATGCAGGCCCACAGTTATTATTAGCCGTAGTGAGAGAAATTGTGTGGCCTGTCAATGGAAGGCACCTAGCTAGGCGTGTTGTTAACAACTGTGTACGCTGTAGGCGTCTTCGTGGCAAAACACTTTGCCCTAAAATGGGTAATTTACCTTCCCAACGTATAACTCCCGACTTCTCATTTTTATCAGTTGGCTTGGACTTCGCTGGTCCTTTTCATATACTAAATAGAAAGGGACGTGGCAGTAGATTGATTAAAGCATACTTGTGTCTGTTTGTATGCTTGCGATACAAATGTATTCATTTAGAAGCGGTAAACGATTTGTCAAAGGAGTCTTTTATTATGACGCTCAAACGATTTGTCGCGCGCCGCGGTAAACCATTAGAGATATTCTGCGACAATGGTCGTAATTTTGTAGCCGTAGCAAAAGAATTAGGAGAATTTCTAAAATCAAACATTGACAGCGTATCTGACTTTGCAAATCATGAAGGCTTTAAGTTCATATTTACTCCTACTTACGCTCCTCACTTTGGGGGTATTTGGGAGGCAGGCGTAAAGAGCGCAAAGGGGTATTTAAAAAGAGTCATAGGGAATAGTCATTTGACATTCGAGGAAATTTCTACATTATTTTCGCAAGTGGAGGCTGTACTTAATAGTCGTCCTTTATGCCCTTTGTCGTCCTCCCCTAATGATCTACTTCCATTGTCTCCTGGTCACTTCCTAATTGGCAGACCCTTGACTGCGCTGCCTTCACCATCATTACTAAATTGTAACGAAAATCAACTGAAACGCTATGCCCGCCTTGAGAAAATTCGTCAACATTTCTGGAATCGCTGGCAAAGAGAATATATATCAGAACTACAGCAAAGGACTAAATGGCGATCTAACACAGCTCAATTGAATATTGGTGATATGGTTCTCCTACAAGAAGACAACGTGCCTCCTTTAAACTGGCGTCTAGGTCGAGTAGCTCGTTTGTATCCTGGACCAGATGGCATTTCCAGAGTTGCTGACATCAATACCATAAAGGGATGTGTACGCAGACCCTTGGTCCGTATCTGTCCGTTGCCAACTATTGAAGAACTTCAACGTTGAAATTCCTTTCAACGGGCGGGAAGATGTTCAGGCCTAAAGCGCCTGATATATTTTAATAGCACCAAGAAGATGCATTATATAGTCGCATTGCATATGCACTTGTTTTTTGTATACTTGCATATTTTTTATTTTTTTTTCTTATATAGACGTTCGTCGATTATTGAGTTCACTTCCTTTGTACTTACCTAATTTGTAAACGTTGTCGAAATTAAAATACTTAAATATATAAATCTGGGTTTCATTAGAAGCTCCATTATGTTATACAAGACAACTTCTTATTGAAGTTATACACTACCTTAAATGTATTTGTAGGTGATATTTCTTAAAGAAGCTCTTCGAACAAAATTGACATAAGTGTGACTTCTCTTTCTCATGCACCTGTCTCCTGAAAGGCAAAAAAATGTTATCAGTAAAATATTTGAATATGTATTTAATGTTTGAAGATTTAAATCAATACATAACAAATTTAGAAGTTCTGAAAAACCGAAAAAATATGGATGGACTGCTTGATGATATGCAAAAAAGGAAACTAAACTCAGATATGTGTGGAAGATGACATAACTGCTCCGACTCCAAATAATAAGATAGGACAATAAGATATATGGAGATATTAAAAATATATTCATATTACAAAAACGTGCCATTCGAGCGATCTACTGTATGAAGAGTCGTGACTCATTAAGAGAGAAATTCAAAGAGGCAAATATTCTCACCGTTGCTTCTCAATTTATATATTTACATACCCTATATGTTCATAAAAATCTTGACTTATTTCCAAAAAACAGCAATATTCATAATATTAATACTAGATTTAAAGACAAACTTGCTGTCCCCAAGTATCGTTTAGAAAAAGTCAATAGGTCTTTTATGGGAATAGGTATAAAAATTTACAACAAGATACCAAAGAATATATTGGAATTACTTTTAAATAAATTCAAAACATCTGTTAAATCATATTTACTGAGCAAGGCCTATTACTCACTAAACGATTACTTGAATGACGAGCGTGCATGGCAATAGTTTTCATGTTTGGGATTTTCATTTAATGTTAGACATAGACACCTATATAAATACTTATGCATTGTAAATAAATTGGATTTAAAAAAAAAGTAATTCAATTGAGTTTGTTTGAAAAAATATAATGTAAAAACTTGACGTTCATAAGCGGCTAAAATGTCCTACATGAATAAATTATTTTTGAATTTGAAAACTTTTTAAGGCCTGGTTGAGTCCTTTTCTGTTGGAACAGTCTTTTTACAGTGAAATTGATGAATTTTTTAGGCACCAAAAATTGTATCATTTGAAATAAAATGTAAATTGTTACTGAATAAATAAATATATTAAAATATTTAATTAATTTACCTGTGTTGTAACATAGTAATTTTAGTGCGAAACGATTTCTCACACATACCACAACCGAACGGCCGGTCCTTGGTGTGTGTGACCATGTGGACGTCGAGCGCCGATTGTGATATAAACCCGCGATCACACGACACACACTTGTGTCGCAGCTCTTTCGAGTTATGCATGACCATCTGGTGCGCTCTTGCGTTCACAACATCTTAAAATAACATCTTGTCAGTATAATTTTTTCAAATAACTTATATTACGCAAATGGTATACATTGGTCACCACTTTTCGAAAAAAGAGTGAGGATAAAGTTAAGTCATGGTGTCCTTCTAGTGGGGACGACATAGTGACCTGATATGGTAAATTGCAAACAATGAAGTTGCTAGGCTTCTCCCACTCGCAAATTCTTATCAAATTAATCAGAGAATTAGTGATAGGCTCACCCTATGTCACATTAATTTAAATATTGTGTACAGCATATCACATGTTAGGTTGGGTTCATCACAGTTGACAATGGCTCTGATAAAGAGAATTGTTAGTAAGGTAGACCTATGGCCCCATAGCTAGTAATGCACCATTTCAGGTAGACTTCCACGTGTCAACTTATCTGACCTCGTGTTCATTTTATCCAATACTGGTGCCACACCAGCGTAAACAGTTAGCGAAGGCAGGTGTACTGTATTCCATTAGCATCTAGTATAAAAAATGCCTCTGATTTTATAGATGGGATTATAATAATAATTATGACAGTATAATAATAATAATAATCTCAGGTCAATTCTCACAGCGCCATCTAGTCCCAAGTTAAGCTAGCTAAAAATTGTGTTATGGGTACTAGACAACTGATACAAAAAAATTATCTATGTAGATAATTTATTTTCGTAAATTCATATATATATTATACATAGAAAATACCTAGACCGATACAAAGAATCATACTCATGAATACAAATGTTTGAGCCATGCGAGGAATCGAACCCGCGACCATCGGACGTAAAGCAGTGTGCTAGACCGCTCGACCACTGAGGACATCAGTCAGTATGTTTGTCTTTATATATATCACATTCATAAAGTTATGAGCACCTGGACAAACCTTTACAATATAAAATTGTATGCTTACATTTGTTACAAATATTACATCTTTGCTTAATACCAAGATGGTTGATCTTGTTATGTTTATATCTGGCACTATGTGATGCAAATGTTTTATCACACAATTTACATGGAATTCGTTTACGGTCCGCAGCTGGTTGGTGTTGAAGTAAATGGTGTTTTAGGTTGCGAACTGTTTTGCCACATTCCTCGCAAACTTGAAGCTTGCCCTGACCTTTTAACTTTTTATACTTCTTTTTATTTCTTTTGAATGGATCTGGAATGATAAATAACAAATATATCCAGTATATAAAATAAATAATCCAGTATTATCAAATTTTGATAAATTACATGTATTTATGTCAACAAATATTATCTATTAATAGGATTAAAGAAAGATAATGTTTACAAAGTAATAATAGTTAGTTTTTTAGGTATTTACAAATGACATGAAATTATAACTACATGATAATCATTAACACAGACTATGTATAAATGAAATTAGTAGAATGAAGTAGTGTATGTATGAACCACTATATATTGATTCCACATGCAATCAAATGATCTATTTAGTCAGAAGTACCATAATAAACTCTCTGTGTATAAAGTAAAATTTTTTTAACTTGCAAATTAATGATTATGAATAATGAATGAATATGAATAATGAAAAAAAAGTACATGGCGTGTAGGCAGAGCAATTTTAATCCTTAGTTTTAAAGATTAATATTAAATAAATATGTTTACCATTTTCCTTGGTTTCCTCTGTAATATGTTCATATTTAATTTTTTTAATAACACTCAAAAATTCATCATCTGATATATTATCATTGTCTTTTATATTATCATCAACCTTCAAGAACAAATCATCCTTCACATCACTCTTTTCATCAGGTAAATCAGGAAATTCATCACTGCTCTCCGATTCAATCTCAGTCTTGATATCATCTCTTACAAATACCTCATTTTTTATATCAGTGCCTGTGGTAGACTTCAAATAGGTGTCATTTTTCAATGCCAGTGTCTTAAATTTATAAAAGGACACAATTTTTTTATAGCATTTTGAACATAACTTTGTGGTCATTTTTGAATCTTGTATCACCTGTAAATAAAATATTGTGTTTAGTAAAAATAAGCTTTTTTTCTTTTACATCATGCAATAAATTCTCCAGACTATAAACATTTGAATTGTTGATCATGTAAAATCTCATGAGAGGTAGTTCTCCATTGAGAATCTAGTCTCAGACAGTTTATGCCAGGTTGTTGAAGTCTGGTACTTTACATCACTTAAGACCTGCCATATAATCAGGCAATATCACTTGAACGGCAAGTCCATTCGGATGTCTGTCCAGTTGGTTTTATATTTTTTAATTGTCTGTGAGATTTCCTCCTTGACAGAGTTGATCCCCAGGTTCTGATGAACATCCAAGTTACAAATAAACCAGGGGGCCATAATTAACACTTATTTATTAAATAAAGGTAGACTTTGGACATGGGTACCTCTGTTTATCAGTCGCTCAGTAGCTTGCCTTATAGGCTGTTTTGTGTGCCATTGTGGGATGAAAATAGGCAGTGAATTTACAAGATACGAAACATGACGTCTTAGTCCTGTGTAGTATCTTAGGCGCCACAAGATAATGTGATGTCCGTAATGCTGTTTATGTATATAGGCAACAGTTATCACTTTCTATAATAAAAAAAATGTGATACGTTTAATACTAACCTGAATGTCTAAACAAAACAGTATTATATGTGTATAATTTTTTGAATGTCCATTATCGTCAGTACTCAACTGAGTTATATCCTTATCAATAGCATTGCTCAGACAAATTCTACAAACTTCCATTATTATTAAAGATAATCAAGAAAATTATGAAACAGATGCCACTTAATACTGTACTTTGTCGTTTGTTTTTCATAAATTTATTCATGACAAAGTTGACAAATAAATTCTACATTTTATAAGTACCAACTACTAAGAAATATAAAAATTAAAATATTGACACTAAAACATTATAAAAAATCAATTCTCAATAAAACGACGTGAAAAATGTAATTTAAATTATAATTTCACTGTCTCAACACAAGTGTTGATTCTGAAAATGACAAAAGTTAGCTTGAAACACTGTCATTTATGACATTTGACAGTTGGAGACGTTGAATAACGAGCAAATAATCACTTCGTAGCAAAACAGTAGGTATCTAACTATAGAATAGATACCTTTACAATAAGACCGATTTTTGACTGCGTAATTAATAGATTACTGTAATAAAATTAGTCGCTATATTTTAAATCAATTATGTATTAATTTCAGGTGGTTTTATAGAACAATTTTCACTGACACTGTAATGTATACCATGTAAAAACTTCTATTTGTTTCTTGCATTGCTATTGTCGCAATGTCTATCGTATATCAACCTTATTTGGATTTTCATTTATTCTTTAAGCTACCAGTAATACTGAATCTAATTATTTGCTCTGTAATGGCATCTTATAGCAATGCCAAGCATATTTACCTAATGTTAATATGTATAATAATAGCTAAGTAGGTATATTTTAAGTTGGAGGTTCTCCGTTATATTTATTTGCTGATGAAATGACGAACGTTTATTTTTACCTTCGTTTATAATAATAGAAATATCATAATCATAGCAGCTTTTTCATGATGCTGTTTTCTAGAGGTCTCAGCGTATCCTTACAGGATTGTTATGACAATGTATCAAATAGGCATATATTTATTGACTTTTTCTTTTCTTATCTTAGAATGATACTTTTGTTAATGAAGGTAGGTATCTAATCTAAGGACAAACCTTGTTCTTGTCGTCTCCGCGCGTCTTTTATATCCGAACACTGAACTTGTAGAGATGATTGTGCTATTACGTGAATTTAATATTTCAACCCCCAGACTTGGTGGATAATATGGGATCATGATATGGGGTAGATATACGTTAGGAATCTGTTAGAATTATATAAACCAATTATTGAATAAAACAACATTATCATTAATAATAGCTTTTATTCTTGCAAGAATGTTGGATACAAATTGTAAGTTTCGTATCAAATATGTATTAAAAATGCCACAATAGATAGAGAAAATGTACAGTAGTCAAAACAGCAGACGTGGATGTCACACGAGATCCATCCAGCAGCGCTACCTACAGTATAACAACATACAGTACCCCAAATGCTTTTGTCCTTAAAATGAAACGGGCAGGCACATCCAACTTATAACTAGAAATTAAAATATAACATATATAATATAATTCAATCCCCTTTTATCACAAAATGTGATGTAGATATAAGGTGTGCTACAATTATTTAATGTCATTTTTTTTTAAATAATGGTTAGCTGCCATTTTAATTATCTGTAGAGTGATATAAGGATAATGATATAATTAAGGCTACAAAGGAGGGCGAACACCGTACACCAAAGCTGATGCCCTGGCCTTCTAAATAACCAGGCAAAGAATATATATAATCTATAATCAAAATGCATTCGTGCTAATACACACATTAGTACGAACGAGATAGTAACATTTCGTTCCTTCTCACGCTTGTGGTAACGAATATATCTATCAATAAATTACTTTACCACAGATTGGTCAATTTTGTAATACAATAAGTTTCATGTGTTCATCGACCTTTAATTGGCGACACAGCACTAGTTATGTGAAATACTAAAATATAAAATTAAAAAACTTTATTAAAACGCTAAAAAATATTGCATAAAACATTTCACATTGATTCATTAATTATATTATTATTATTATAATTTATTAAAATTAATATTTACTGAATATACAATTCAATTGAAAACTTAAGACACGCCGTACGAACGAATATAAAAATTGCAATTACGAAATGAATACGCTTGAAATGATATTTTATCAATAAAAATATACTCTAGTCTCAACTCTAGTCAATTGCTAATTGTCAAAAATGTACTATTTCTAATCTAAATGTTCTTATAATTACTTAAATACAATTATCTTCATAATTATTAAACAGAATAAAAAAAAGAAATAAATAGGCACATCACGTTCACTCCGAATGTTGGAAATAGTAACTTAACAAGCTAAATTGGTAAATTATTTCACATTGTTCACTTATTTAATTAAAAAAATACTATAAAACAATCTACAATTATATTGCAGGATTGTTATTACAACAAACGTTGTTATGGCGCTGGTGGTCCAGATTTTGTACTCGAATACGTTTCAAAAATTAAAAAGAAAAACAGTTTATTTTTTAACTTTTAAGTACTATGTTGATTATATAAAACATTACATATTATCCCAAAATGGTTTTGCTACCATTGCAACATGCACGCATATTAAGCGATTAATACAAATATTTATTAAAGAGCAATAAAAATATCTTAGAGCAAAAAATATGTTGGTACATGTGACCCTATTTTATAGCTCTGAGTATAGCGATCTTCATTTACAGCAGAAAACGTGGTCACCATGCACTCGAACATGGCAGTACTTTTAGCTGTCTAGGTGTCCACAAAATTAACAATATAAAACAGTAAAAACGAAATATATATATTATTATATTATATTTTATTCTACAAACAATATGTCACGCTCGTATTATTTATCTATGCGCCGGAATTCGATGTGGAGTATCGGTGGACAGGGATCGAATGCCGGTAACATATCGCAGTCTACATACAAACCGATCGATATTTGTGAAATTATGATAACGTTTATGCTTGTGCACAAAATAACAGGAGTATAGCTACACCGGTTGTGATGGTATTCGGTTCTAGATATGTGTTTGCAGGGCGGAGGGCGTGGTTCAGCCCTAGTGCGCGTCGGCAGCGGGCGGCACGGGCACGGAGAGCGGCGACCGTTGCCGGTCAAACATCTCGAGGATCAGCTTCGGGTCGGTCCCGGCCGGCACTGTCACGGTGCCTGTCTGTGTGTACATGCCTTATGAGTACCACTTCACGCTCTTCTCTCTGGCAACGCGTGGCGGTCGCGCGTGTTTAGGCTGTGCTATTAAATTGATATCATCTTTAATTTATTAATCCATTTACTAAACATACCACGATGTGCGGAGAATGGGCAGATGCAGCTGGTACAGTGTAAAATAAACCTTAATAATATACTAGTACAGTCCATCTAGCAGGAAAATAATAAATATGTATTTTTATAGGTGTACGATATACGAATTTGATACACTTTGGAGATTTTAAAATAATATATACCTATTGTTGTAATCATTAAGAGTAATTTATTTATAAAGTAATACAGAAATTATATTGTTCGTTCTCAGTATTTATGGCAATGTTAAAGAACTAAACAATTATACAAGTCCAATTTCAGCATGAAATTATTTTACCATTCAGAATTATGTTTTAACACCGGCACTCTGACCAATGGTAGCTGCAATTTGCTGCATTCGGACGGATTGACTAGTGAAACCATATTGAACTCTATACTTGTAATATCAAGGATTATTTTACAAAGCACTCGCAACTTCCGCTTTCTTCATACACCGTATGTTTAGGGCCTTACTTCTCTGGTACCGCGGATGAATGATGAGACCGATAGACATTTACGTACACGAGCCAACGCCACAACATTGCACAGTTTTTTCATATATTAAGTAAGTTAGTTAGCACACAGATTTAAATTAGTCATTATAAAATAGATATTATAATTCAGGTTCTGAAAAAAATTTGCTAGTGTGTTTGATAGATAGAATGAGTATAATAGAAAAGTAGAATACTTGATAGTAATAAAGAGCAGAGCATGCAATATTATGCTCTAATAATATTTAGATAAGGTATATATTAAAGCAAAGTGTGGGGTACCTCGATGCGGGTGATGACTCCTTCCTCGCGACTGTGCTCTAGGACTACAAACAAAAACATAAAGCGCCCGTCAAACATATAAACGAACAAACAATAAACATATATGTAATAATGGCATATGAAGCAAGTTTACATAACATGGTTATTCAATTGGTACCGGTTGTTTATGTGTACAAAAAAGGCAATAAAATTATATCTATCACAGATAATATAATTTATTATGTAATTTATAATCCGACGTTTTTGCTAAAGGAATATAGTCCATGCTAATAGTACTTAGAATAACAATAAACATGAAAGTATTGACGAAAAGCTTATTAAAAATTTAACTGATAGCTTTATTCAATTAGACATTTTAGCAAATAAATCGGGTTATAAAATTAACATACTTTAATATTACATGCTTCATATTAGGTTTATTTAATATGTGTATGATATTAAAAATATTTCATTGTATTGTAAATTAAATAATATAAATTATAATGGAACTTGGGAAACATTTTAAATATACAAAATAAATTGTTGATTACAAGCCATTTCAAAGCAAATCACTTTCATGCAATAAATTCATGTAATTATGTTTGTGGGCTAAAATGCTTGTTATAATAGTTTGTCTTCTGAGCACTAAATAAGGAACGATATTTTTAACAATTCTCAGTTGTACATGCCACAATTTAATAGATCCGTAAGTAAATTTTGAACAGTTGTATTCGTAATTATCAACCGTAGAATTTAGCTCACATCGCCAACTCTCAAATGGATGTCAGACGAATCTGAAAGAATAAAATTTATGGGATTACCCATAAATTTTATTCTACCCATAAATGAAAACCAAGGATCTAGAAAACATACAATGAGAGACAGAATAGAAGTGTTTTTATTTTTTATTCGGATTACGCTAATGCGGTTGGCTACAGATAGCCTTTACAGCTTCACCGGACGATAGGGAGCGATCGTAAATGACACTCCAAACCCGCGGAAGGACTTATGGAGCGGCTGAACACGTTACCAACACGTGCCGTGCTATAATTCTGGGAAGGACAGTTACAAGGACTAAAGGTGGCACGTGTAGAAAGTATGTTACTACAGTTGGAACAAGCATTCCTGATGGTCACAACCCTCAGCCTTAAGGAATTGACAAAGAAGAAGAATTTTTATACTACGATCAATCGACGGAAGCAGGGGCAGAGGTAGGGCACCTGCACGATGGACTGATTCCGTTCGAGATGTCGTCAAGCGAAATACTCAATGTCTACTGGCTGTTTGAAGATATTTCGAGTTTTTTTTTTACTTTATTATTATAAATGGGTTTGCGCTTGGTCTTACCTCATCTGATGGTAAATGATGACAAGACTTAGGATATAGCGCGATTATCCAGAAGAAATCTATTCACAGTTTTGGTTAGAAGAAGTGTTCCTGGTGGTGACTACTCTCAGAATTGAGGAATCGACCAAGAAGAAATTTACAATTGAGAATTGTTAATAACATTATTATTTACGATTAAGCCCCAGATTACTTTTATAAGATATGCTAAGAATATAAACATTCTGTATTATTTTGGTAAAACATATATTTTTCATTGTTCTCAAGCAATCTAGTTCCTATATAAAGAAAAAAAAGGAAAAAAAAATTAAACCAAAATAATTGTATGATTACGGTGTTAACACGTAATAGTTTAATTAAATTTGCTTTTCCATTATTTTTGTATATAATAATACAAACGTGATAAATAAGTGAAATTTGAATTAAAATATTGAAATATCTATTTAAATAATTTTCAGTCAGCATCAGATAAATATTAACATCAATAAAAGATCTATTAGTATTTATTCCTTTAGGACACATCCAATGATAGTATTTGGTTAACAATATATTAACTAGATGCAGTAGTTGATCATTCCTTTTTTGTACTCGGTTAAAAATCAAAATAAGAAACGTAATGCCTACTATATAGTATAGCAGTGGTTTAATGCTTACGTAACTGTGTATGACTATAAATTATATCATATATACATGTATTTACAAAGAATGTATATTATTAATTTCAAATTTAATGAGATTATAATTTCATTCTAAAGAGCACTAATTAATACTGAACCCTTTGACACTTCGAGCCGGATATTATGAATTAAAAAAAAATATAAAATATCTGTTGCTGACTAGTGCGAGGACAGGACTATTGTCGTGTACTTACTGTTCTCGGAGGTTGCATTCGTGGTGGTCGTTGTAGTGGTGGTGGTCGCATTGCCGTCGCTGCTACTACCGTCGTTGATTGTCGTTCTCGTCGTCGTTTTCACAACCATGGAACTCGTGTTTACTTGCGAGTTCTATTCATGTTAAGAATAGATTTTACTTGCTTAATACATATTACTCAAATTGTGTAATGAATTACATGTTGAGGTTCACTAGATACTACAGCATGGGGTTTTTCCAAAAAAGTTTCTTAAGGAGACGCAAGGCGTATATGACACTCATAGTGCTTCAGAGGCCAATATGCTATGGTAACCGTTTACCATTATATGGACCATATATTTGAACGCTACAATTGTGGTATAAAAAAGTCTTTTATGTGAGAAAAAAACAGTACCCAGCATTTTGGTAAAGGTGATGATGGATTGGCGAGTAGCCAATAAATGCGCAAATAAGCTAATTTTTTTCAGTATAGGATTTTTAGGATTTTCAGAATAGGGTGAAAATTATTTTGATGAAGTTTGTAGAAACTTTGATCTCTTATAGTTATATGGTCATAATGGCAACAAATAAAACATTATATAATGTTTTATTTAGCTTTATACCTTTAACCTCTATACTCCCCTGAATAAGGATATTATCCATTAAAAAAAATAATTGCAGTAACACATTTTTGGAAACAAACGTATACAGCTTTTGAATTGTTTATATATTAATTAATACCTGTAAATTGATGTTGAGCTCTGGCGGCTGTTGTTGTTCCGCATTGGTGTGGTCCCTGACGGAGTCGACCGTAATATCACCCGATGCGGCTGTGACGTCGTGAATAGTCTCTGCTGTCTCCTCCTGCTGTTGGCAAATACACATATCATTTAGATTACAGAAACAAAATCGATAAAATTTCAATTTCAGTACTTTCAAATGACAGTATTTAGTAATTCTTTATATATACCTATAACGATAGGTCCTGTTATTTTAAGGTGGTTTCCTAAAATAATTTTTATGTTTGTATTACTCAATTTAATCAGAAATCAAACTTAATTATTGATGGATATTATATCACACTATTTATGAATGAAGCTCTGTTTTTAATGGTATTTCTGTCTCCCATTTTGCGCTCAAAATAGGAACAATCGGATAAGAATGTCGCACTATTGTTATTAAAAGAATCGACAAAAATTGAGGGTGTCACCGTGTTTACCTTATGGTCCCCATTGGTGAGTGGTGCCGCCTCTATGGTCCCTCGCAGCGCGGCTGCCCAAGGCGATAATATCACTTGACATTGTGCAATTGTCACCTGGTTGGAACGTGATAAAATATTAGGCATAACAGATAGAAAGATAAATAAATAAATAATTTGCATACAGCCTAAAAACAAAAAAAAATCGTATAAATACCAAGTTTCAAATTTTTAACCCTATTAGCTAAGCCTGACCATTATGAATCAGAAATGATTGAGTACTAGATTTTGTAATAAGTCATCTGTTGAGCATATTATGATGTGATGTATGCCATTTCTATTACTTGACAGAAATATCCTACTAACCTTTGTAGCAGACAGTGTGATTCGCTGCAGTTCAGATGACGAGTGTAGGTAGAGAGCTTCGCCTCTCTTTGAGAAGCACATACTTGAAATGCCACTGGAAAAAGTAAACAAAGCCTTTATAGTTCTCACCATATCTAATATTAAATTCTCATCATTAGTTGCCTTTACACTTTTAAATTTTCTTCAATATCTGCCTTTACATGTTTAAGTTCTCATCATTAGCTGCCTTTACATGTACAATCTTTCATGTACTTAAAATGTGTATGTAAATATAGACAAAGAGAACAAGAAAGACCGAGTGCGCTGAGAGCTCGCGCACAGCGCGTGTTGTTCAATCTTGAGTGCTTTAGCTCCTTTTTATAATAATTAATTATCATTGCAAAATGGAGGATATCTCACTATAGAGCAGACATATAAATATAGAGTATGTGAGCGCTGGTTTTCCCGCGCTAAATCAGGCTCGCTCCTGATCGCACGCAAAAGAATATGTCATATAAATAACTTAACACGAAACCAGCAGAACTCAATATGGTATATATTGAGTTCTGCTGGTTTCGTGTTAAGTTATTTAGTAGATATTATTAATCGAAAGCCTAAACGTTTCGCGTTATAAAATTTGACTGAGACTACACTTACAACTACAATATATAGAAAAGAATATAAAGCGACGAATAATTCTGTGTAATAACTACAATAGTTATTACACAGAATTATTCGTATACAATTAAAATGTAGTTTTAAGCGCTTTTGCTGCAGACAAACTGCTGAGCAGTTATGCGGAAATTTATACAAAAAGAAAATATAATCATCAAGATTATTATTATATTTTTTATTATATATATATTGTTTATATTTTTGTGTAAATAAATAAAAAACAATTATTAATAAACTTAATATTATGACTATGCCCAGTTACTTACGTAAGAAAATTAAGTCAAAATGATAGAGCAGAACAATACATTATTGTATATGAAGTAATTAATACTACATATACAATATATACAGTATATTGAATACACTATATTGAACCGACACTGTTGTCGTTTCAATATAGTGTATTTATATGGCAGAAGAATAAAAATAGTCAAATAAATTTTGATCCTATTCTAAACTCTAATTAGTGTGTGTGTCTTGTCTGTGTGTTGGAGTTTAGTGAACTCACTTGATGTCCTCCTTGCGGACGGCGGCGGCATTGAGCTGCCGACGCAGCTCTGGACTGAGCACGAGGCAGTCGCCCAGGTTGGTGAGGCACAGCAGGCACCACTCGCGGTATGCGCCGCTCGTGAAGCACGCGAAGGCCGTCCGCCGGACCTGAGATATGGCAACGAATTGAATTTTTTGCCTAATGTATTAACCAAATAAAAAATTGTATAAAGGTCTAAACCAGTCTTCTTTGAAACAACAAAATTATACAGAAATATCGCAAATAAGTATAAAATATGCACATCAGTATAAAATATATAAAATACTAGCTGTGTCCGTGGTTTCACCTGCATGAAATTTTAGACATGAATTTTTTTTACAGGAATATTATTGTAAAGTTTCAACAAAATACGTTCAGTAGTCTTTGCGTGAAAGAGTAACAAACATCCATCCAAACTCACAAACTTTCGCTTTTATAATATTAATAAGACAAATACCCAGATCGATACAAACAATTAAACTCATGAATACAAATGTTTGCACCGCGCGAGGAATTGAACTTGCGACCATCAGATGTAAAGCGGCGTGTTAAACCGCTAGACCACCGAGGCCGTCAAGTATCTCTATATATTTAGTTTTTTAAATGCTATAACAGTAAATAGTATTAAATATCTAAAAAAAACTATTTACCCTAGCGCCCTCGTGCGCGGTGAGCTTGTACTTGTGGTGCGGTTTGAGTGACGGCAGCGTGAACACCTTGAACTGTTCCTCCGAGGTGATCACCACGCGGTGAGTACCGGCTTCCGGCAACGCCGCCACGCCGCGCTCCACCTGCGTCACGAGATCACGTCACCACAAATCATCACAACTCACACACGTCATTGAAGAACACAGAAACCGATAATATATATTTGAGTATTTATTGTCAACATGTGAATGTTTATTTATAATAAAATTATTCGTATTAAGACCATATAATTAATGTATATTAAATACAAAACTTAAAAAATAACATGTGAAGAGATATTAATTGACATTTGTAGAAATTATATTTATTGAGCAAAGCACTTACTAAACGATTACTTAAATTACAAACATGCATGGCAATAATTGTTCATGCACGAAATTCTAATAATAATTGTTCATATAAGTAAAAAATTTAAATACACTAGCTTTTAAAAAAATGGTTGATATTCTTCCCAATTCTTCTCAATTGAATCTGACATATATACTTAAAAATTTACGTTCATAAGCGGTTAAATTGAATAAATGATTTTTGATTTTATTTTATTCTGAAGACAATAAATTGAAGGGTATATTTGTGGTAGATTACTGCCGAAGACAATGGCTGTACGGGTTGAGTCCTTTTCCTTTCCCAAAGACGCTATAAAAAACCAAATAAAATCACACACGTCACTAGCTCGTCACATTCGTATCACATATATTTAAATACTTACTATAACTTTTAAGTTATATCCCTTTAATCATATATTTGACATTGAAACATTGATTTTAAGCATATAATACAACATAAATATACACAGAAGCGAGCATAAGCGTACAACAGCCCGCAATTATATTAATGAAATTAATGGGGAATATCAACCTTATTTTATTATTTTTAAATTTATAGAAAGAAATATAAATTAATAATATTGTTCATTAATAAGTAATGGAATATGATGAGCCCATAAAATTCATGTATACCACATTTTTAGTTTATTTTTTATTACAACTTAAGTTACGTTATTAAATTGTTAATAACAAAATGACTATGTTGTTTGATAATAAATTATTATTCTAACACTCAATAATGAGTGTGCGGATATACAGATGATGCGGTAAGAGATCTGGGTGGATATAGATGGTATAGTGGGGAAAGACTGTTAGTCTTCTCATACACAAATTATCTGAAACTATTTTTCTTACTTTTAAAGAGTATGTTCGAGATTACTATTAATTATTCTTATCGTACATACCGAAATTATGCGTATTTTAAAAATTAAATATGCTATATAACTAAAATATATTAAACAGGTATTACAACAACGATCACGCCTTACTTTAAACTGTATAACTTCTGCTTATTTTACTGCTGAAACAGCTACAGCTAGAGTGTAGTTGCATATACATATATACATCTATATAAATAATAATGCCAAACAGGGTCAGTTGTAATGTGCTTCTGTCCTGAATGCCAATTATAAATTATAACTAATCCTGTATAAGGTAACATACAGTTATACTTTAAGCCCGAATAAGCCTAGCTATAGATCGTGACGGATTCTCACCTCTGTATTCTCTTCAATTTGTTGTGCCACTTCGGGCTCAGATTGCTTTGTTAACAAGAAAATACACTTTATGACTTTGAGGTAACGCATATAATTTAGTGGCACTATGAAGAGGAATGTGTATGATGTCTCCTATTGTGTGTTATTCTGAATGAATATTACAAAATAGTTCTATGGATGCGGACGAGGGACTTTTGTCCGTGTAGGCGTGTAAGTGCGTGCATGATAAGTCGTACACGCTCTGTCCTCAGCGAACAAAAGTCCTTCATTTTTCACTTTTATTCACTATAAATACAATTGTGGATTAATTTTATTGAACATTTAATATGGTCTCGGTTGCGTTATGTAATATACTTCTAAGTTAAAATAGATCACAAAGACTTGTCTATCGCTTGTTCTCAGAGGTTACTATATATCAGACCTATATAAAATGTATATTTAGGTATACTATAATACCTATATATGCATCGTATGGATGTTACCTAAATCTGAATGCCTTTGTTTTAATTTAAATAACAGAAATACACGTGCACAATAAATTTGTAATACAATTTTGTGTATGTATAATGTAATAATCATTTAATGTTCAGTAATAATTAAATGATGGCGGGGAGTGAGGGAGATAGTAAAGCGAATAAATACCTCTAATGGGTCGGGTAGCGGTGCCGACGCTCCGTCCAAAACTGTGATGCCTATAACTGGAGCCTTGTGCTTCAACTGGATCTCTTTTGCTAATTGACAGGTGACCTATAAACAGACACAGTGTAATACTAGGAATTTATTCGCAAATACTAGAAATATTTTAAAACAGATACAGTAATACTAGCAACTGGTTTGCGATTATAATAAACAATTAAAATTTTATCTACTTCTTTATAAAAAAAACCTAATATTCATTCTATAATGTATAACGAAGTATGAATCAGTAATGTTCATTTTATTTATATGATTATTATAACAGTTTGTAGAAGTAGAATATATCGTAGTTACGTTTAATATAGTAGAATATATAGAAAAATCAATTTCTGTCTGAAACTACAGCACATAATGCTGTATAATAGCGAAATCACTGAAAATGTAATTTCAAATTTAAGCCCTTTATTTAAATGAACCTTAATTATTGAACTGTGGTGAACTATTATTACAAGCTAAGTATGTGATTAATTTAAAAGAATGTCACAAAATAGTAATATTTAAAATTGACTTTATAGGCTAAGATAAAAGTTTTTATGAGTAAGAGAGTACGACTAGTATATTGAAAGCTAGATATATTTACCGCTTCGTCTTTTCTCTTGTTATTGTTGGGTACGTGTAGTGTGAACGCGTATACTGTGCCGCAATGAGTCCCCGCCCACAGCGTCGGCGCAGACGTTTGTGCTGCAACAATCAAATTAAAAATAATTTATTTGCCCCTTATGCAATATAGTTTTTATAATTTCATTTTTAAAAATGAATACGACTTGAGTTTCTAGCCAGTTGTTATCATCTCGAAATCATTTCGAACTGACGGTAGCTTTGACATATCATAAGAGTCTGTAATAGACCTACATGAATAAAGATATTTTGTATTTGAATAACGATTTTAGGACAGTTTCGCTGACAGTTTCATTAAAATAAATTATATTTGATTTAATTATGCTATTTATTTCTTCATGAATAATTTACAATGTCTTGTAATTTAAAATTAAGATGAATATTAATACATTATCGAGTTACGATAAATAATTATAAACATTGTCAATTAAGTAGATATTTAACAATTGAAGTATGTAATGTAAATTATGTATGTTACATAAGAATTTTAAAAAGGCTAAGGTGGGGCATGGCCCAAAAAAGATTGGGTAACACCGGTGTACATAAAAGTTTCACTTCAAATAATCACTGCGCTATCAAGCACGATCACGGATTCGTGTATTAGACATGGTAAGTGTCAAATAGGTGGCGTACTGACCGTTGATGAGGAAGGTGCGTGCGAAGTACAGACAGCGCACGACGGGTGCGTTGGCGTCATCCGCCGAGCGAGCTTCTACCGCGCGCTCCACAGGCTTCACGTCCGCATCTGTCTCTGACGCTGCCTTGTCTGTGGGTTTCTTGGGAGGGGGCTGTGGAATATAAAATATGTATATATTAGAACTAGCTATATCGCACGGCGCTACCCGTCTCGAATACAGCTCATTTTTGTTCGCTGATAATGCAAATTTTCTATAGTATTTCCTGTACATTTTTTAAATAATATTCTTATATATTTTTTAAAATAAGGAAATTAAAATTCATAATTGTTTACTAATAGCTAACCTGCACACGTGTTGCTGTAATTTATAGTCCCAAATAGAAACATAGGGAACCTTAAATTAGTATAGAAAATAAAAAAAAAAATATTTAAGTAAATATTTTCACATAAATAATAGTTTAACAGTTCTACATTTATATATCAGGGATATATAGATTGATAAGATTATGACACATAATACCATACCTGTGTGGGTGAGGTGGGATTGGACGTGGTCTGACGTCTCTGTGATCTGCCTTTCCGTAGTCGTCTAAACGATTCTCGCAAGGACTTTTTGAATGATTTCCGTCTTGAAATCGGCGTATCGCCTGCACCCGAATGATCTGTGAAATTTAAATTATATTACACTTGTACTTATTAGAAGAAATGATAAACAATAAATAAGAATAATGATTAGCTGTTATAATTGGATAGATATATTTTAATATAACCAGTACTATGAAATGTAATTCAAGATCAATTCTTTTTTATTTACACATAATCGAAATATCAAACAAGCTAACGGAAACCGTCGTCTATATAAATGAACAGCACTACTGATATATTTAATAGTGTTTATATTAAGTTTTCTTGAATATCCATTATTTGTAGTAGAGCAATGTGACATCCTGGTGTTTCAGGCGTCCATAATTACGTTAAACGTTTGCCACCATCGTAGTATAAACAAAAAATGCGTATGGAGTGCACGAATCGTGTATCGTTTGCTAATTGCAATAGCCCTTATATTTGTCTGCCATCGCCTTAGTATAAAAAAAAACAAAAATATACCGTGCGGCTTGAGCGTGCACTTGTGCAGCAGCGGCGTGGCGTTGATGGCGTCGAAGATGGCGAGCCCGTGCGCCGTGCCGGCCGCCACCACGCCCCACTCCCACTGCGCCGCCAGCGCGGACACCGCCGCCGGCGGGGACACCTGCGCCACGGACGTCGCCTGCGCAAACATATCTATTCTATATACTCGTATAATAATCATTTACCTTTCTATATATCAGGACGAGCCCCTCACAAGACGAGACAGACGCGTTCCATAGTTCACATACAAAATATTCTCACGTCATCCGTCACACGCCATACACAGCTATAATTATATATATATAATTTTCTATCAATTTATGTAATCTTCGTTATTAATTTACATTCATACATTTACCATTAGTCGACGCTATATTTTATTTGTACATTTATCTACTATCAACCCAACAAACATGTCATTAGCTGCTTTATACGTACGCTCTTTCACGCACAAATACGCTACCATGCAGGTAAAAATGTGACAAAGAGAACTAGAAAGACAGCGCGCGCTAGATACTGGATTCCAGCGGTCTTCAATCTTGCGTGCTTTAGTACATTTTTTTAAATTTAATTCTCATTACAAAATAGCGTACTATAGAATAAAGATATAATTATAAATCTTATGTGTCTCTGAAAAATACAATTTGTGAAATAAAAAGTACAATTTTAAAAGGAAGTGAATTGTTCTATATCTTACGAGCTAACACGCGCGAAAGAATGAACAAAAAACCCAGCAAAAAGCAATCCCTCATGATTGCGCACGTTGGTTATAGCGCATGCTCCTGATCAAGCATGAAAGAACGTGTCGTGTAAAGGTGTGTAAAGTTATTGATAACCAATCTATATACTAAACTCCCTCCTCCCTCCTCAATCAACAATCTATCAGTCCTGATTTCGTACAGGTTCGTTCATACCCTCTCACTTCGTTGATGTCTTTTATAGCGTTATATGACATATACAACACTCATTAAAAAATATGTGTAGTATACTTTAATCATCAATTGTAAATAATCATTCTGCACAGTGGAAGCAAGTAAGTCTAAAAATTTTCATACAAACATTAACATTTCCTATACTAAAAAGAGTATATTATAAAGAACTTACATGGTATCCATGTGGAAACGTAAGTGGCCCGGGACGCAGTGTCAATTGGTCGTGACCCTTCCATACGAATCCATCGCGATCTGACACGATATTTGCTGCCATAGTCTGAAAGAGAAATTAAATATCTTAACAAACATATATTATTTTTTAAGTTTTTCTTTATGTTACTGGAATATCAAATAAGTTGACAGCCAAAATGGGAGTAAGTGGGTATCGTCGCCCATATACATAAGTAGCAAACGCCCCCAGAATCTTGAGGCGTTGCCACTCTGTAATACTAGGTTGTTTGAAAACAGTACGAGCTGAGTTTCTTGTCAGTTTTTCTCATCTCGAATTCCGTCATTCTTCGCATTCCAACTTACGGTAGATTTGACATATTATAAGAGTCTGTAATAGATATACATGAATAAAGATACTTTGATTTGTTAATTATCCGTATGCTGTAATTTCACTACCATAACTCACCCTCCAAGCAGTAATTCACAAAGTCTATCTCTGGTAACCCAATAAATACATTATCAAGTGCTAAATACCTTAACTTCCCCGGTGCTCGCGGTGTTCTTGAGTGTTGCAATAACTATGTGTCCGGCAGCTCCGCCAATAGTTAACATGCCGGAGAGGGGGCAAAGTATTACCTGTGTACAAGAATCAGTTAAGTTTTTAATCAAAATTCTGTTTAACATTTTTTATGGTTGTTTATAATTGTACTTGTTTTATGAACAAAATACATATTCACCTACTATATAGGCGCAGTTACAAACGTTCTAGGTAGGGTTCGTCTAGTATCATGCTAAATATTCCGTTTATTTATAAGTAAAATTTAATCAAAAATGTTACTCCATTTAAGGCGTAAATTCCAAGAAGTTAATGTTTCTGCAAAAGAAGAGAAAGAAAGAGAAAGAGCCTAACCAATAATAATAATAAATAACCTTGGAGAATTAACAGAGCGCCATCTAGTCCCACGGTAAGCAGAACTTGTGTTATTGGTACTACATAATTGATATAAACACTGAGATTTTTTGTAGTATGATGAATACAAATGTTTGTATACTGTGCGAGGAATCGAACCCGCGACTATTGGAACAAAAGCGGTGTGCCGCTAGACCACCAAGACCAATGAGTAGGTAGGTGATGTATTTACCCGTTTGATGGCAAGACGCGGATCATCACTGTATGGGTCGAAGGTGCCAACTCGTCGGAATGGTGGCCATTCTTCCTCGTCGTTTTGACTGTCATTGTTCTCACATAACTCTTCACCACTGCATACAGAACAACAAAATGTTTAGGTTTTATTTAGTTCACAAATTTGAATATATTTTTTATAATTATGTACAGTGACCCCGTTTAACGCAGGGGACACGTTAAACGAAACAGCGTTAAACGAGGATATTTTAAAATAATGGGGTTAGGAGAAGATGGGTAGATAATTAGTTAAGTATTAAATTTAATAAACACAAATTTGGCGAATCCTCGGGCCGAAATAAAGGAGCGCTAAACGAAATAGCGGTAAGAGGGGTTTTAGTACAGAATAAATAATCTATAAAAATGGCATTCAAAGGATAAACAACCCAAGTCTGTGTACATATAAAGAGCAAATTATAATAAAAATTACGTTAACATTAGTTTTATTAAAATATTACCTGGTGGTAGACCTTTTCAGTCCGCTTCGTAACGTAAGCAATAAGCAGAGATAAACGATTAACGCATGTTAGAGCAAGCTTAGGCTTAACACAATTTGGTATCTTGGATACTTATCCATTTATACTTATTGATTGAAATAGTTTAATCAGCAGAGGATTAATACTTTTATGTCTCGAACGTTTAGTAATTCTACTCTTATATTGTGGTGAGTACTCATACAAATATACTACATAAGATAACTGTAGTTAATAGAGTTATTGTTTAATATTTTTATGTGATTTACTACTTTTTGGTATATCAGCTAGAGCTATATTGTACTGAAGTTAGATGATATACTGAAATAATGTCCCATAGGAAATAAAAAGTTATAACATCTACTTTTTATTGTAAAAAAAATATATAAATTTGTTTGTAGATTATACAGGGAGAACATATAAAATAGATCAATACTGTTACAATATTATTGTTTTAAAAAATAAAGGAAAAAATGATTTATTTTATTAAATACATTTTTATTTATATATTTACTTATTTATGGATAAGTGTTCAAGCACCCATAGCGTGATTGTTAGCGTTAGCTTGCTAAGGACCGAATTAACATTTTTTTTAATAGCCTACACGACTATCACATTGTTTTATAAGGAATTATTATATTATCAGTTCTAAAATCTAATGAGTTATATGCCTAATGAGACTTGATTAGACCGTTATTAGTAACGTTCTGAGAGTGAGTATGTCAGAGAGCAAAAAGCTAAAAAATGCTGAGCTACTCATGATTACAGTTTCTTAAATGTCGGATGATATATACGTGTTAAACCTCAAGCTTATAATGTTCAAGCTTTGATAAACTGCTTCGCAATAAACTCGATATAAAACTTACGACAGAATTAGGTTTGATAGATTCGCAGAGAAACATACAACATTGGTGAAAGAATTTTCCTAACACAATGAAAGCCTTTGGAATGTAATTTTACGTCACATTTACAATGTAATTACATGGACGAAATGACATATATTTGAATATTTACGTTAAAAACAGAACGGTTGATGATACTTATATACTGAATTTAATTACATGGTACTAATTTTGTCATCTAAAAATTGGTTTTAGCCAGAGCTAAAGCATGTCAACAGCGACAAAAAAGAATGAATAAAATAGCCAATAATTTGAAGCCTAGAAACAAACATGGCGGACTTCAGGGGCGTGGCCAATCGGTTGCGAAGCAATGTTTGGGTTTGATATCTACGTATCTAATATTATTTGAAGTAATCAATGATGATGTAATTGTTCCGTGAATTTTAAGCTATCATTTTGATAAAATGTATAAAGTATATTACATATGAGTACCAAATTAATAATGACGTAATTTGTTCAATATAATCCTTATACCTGAATTTTAAGATAACATTTTATATTGATAAAATCTAATCGAAATATCGTAGGTCTATTACAGACTCTTATGATACGTCAAATCTACCGTCAGTTCGGAGTGCTTTCGAAAGAGCCAAGCACTCACAAGAAACTCAGCTCTTATTCTTTTCAAATGTACATGTTTACAAAATACAGATTCATTATTAAATTAAATTAGAGATAATACATTGACCACCACCATATGTTATTGTATATATTTCTGTCAAAAGAAGTAAGTAATAAAACGTATAAAGTAGCTATAAATTGTATATGCGTACCTGAAGAGGGGGGCTGTGGTGTATGAATAGAGGGGCGTCATGGCGACTCCGGTGACGTCCCAGAAGCGCACGGAGCCGTCCTCGTGTCCGGTCAGCAGCAGCTGCCGCCCGCCGGCCTCGGGACTCTCCGCGTTGCCGCCGGAGATCGGCCACGCGCTCTCCGAGTATACATTCTCAGTTTGTTGCTCCCCTGTTGTTAAATTAATCATATTGTACAGTCGGGTAAATAACATGCAGAGCATTAATATTTGGGTTGCTAGCTAAAATTTAATAGAATAGAAAAGCACTTTTGAGTAGTCATACATATTTATCGGTTTATTGATTATATTTGTCTAATTTTTTTTATCTATTAAAAATGCAACAGAACAAATCAACCAGGCTAAAGAATCTCTCGGTGGAAAATGGCAACCGTCGCCAATAAACATTGAATAGCACAGAACATCATTTCATCCCGTGAAACCCGTTGCACCTCACACGCGTTCCCATTAAAGTGAGAGGTATCATAATATCTTCAAGGCATGTCATAACATGCCTTGAAACCTAATTAATATTATAAAGGCGGAAGTTTATGAGAGTGATGGATGAATTGTTTTTATTTTTTTCACGCAAAAATACTGACTGGATTATAATGAGAATTTACAAAAATATAGATAATACGTCAGAATAAACATATAGGCTATAAATACGCGAGTGAAACCACTATAAAATAATGGTGTTCACACTAACCGGCCGCTACGATGTTGTCGTACACATTGGAGGCGACGTTGTCGACCAGCTGCGCGGTGGTGACCGCTGACGCGTGGATAGACACCAAGTACGGAGGTCGCAGTGGCCTCCACTTACTGTCGCACAGGTCTATTACTACCAACTCTTCTTCCGCTAGTACCACCTGTCAATAGTAAATGTAAATTAATACATTGTACCTATAATAATAATTATAATAACATACTACTAATATTATAATAATTTTGAAATTTTCGCGTTTGTTTAATTACATAGTATAAAGTAAAGCTGTCGCTGCCTGTCCGTCCCTATGTATGCTTAAATCTTTAAAACTACACAACCGATTTTAAAGCGTTTTTTTCTAATAGATAATATGATTCAAGTGAAAGGTTTATATGTTTAATACATGTACACCCGTGCGAAGCCGGGGCCAGTAGCTAGTGATCAATATAGTAAACGAGTTTATTAGTATAGTTAAACTCGAGTCACTTCATGACCACGGCTCGTGCATAATGCCATATAGTCCCACTCTAAGCAGAGCTTGTGTTATGGGTACTAGACAACTGATATTATTTACATCAGATGTCTAGATATTTTTATAAATACATAGAATACACTCAGACCTATACAAACAATCATAATGAATCCAAATGTTTGCACCGTGCGAAGAATCGAACCCGCGACCATCGAAAGTAAAGTGATGTGCGAAACCGTTAGACCACCGACCGAAAGAACGAACGTAAAGAACTGTGTAACTATTATAAAGGAGCAATACCAAAATCCAGCTTACAAAGTAAGCTGCTTGGCGGCTGAACTAGTTGAGACTTTTCACAGTTTACTTCTAGTTTAAGTGCCTTTAAAGTCTAAACTGATAACTCACCAGAGCAGCGGCTACTTGGTTGACGGTCTGTAGCTGTATGAGTGATGGTGTTTCAGGCCGAGCCTCTTGTAGCGGTGTGCCGTCAGGGGGCACTGGAGTTGTGGTGAAGAAATCTATTACCTGTATAAATAATGTATTTAATTGTATATTTTGTTAACAAGGATTATCAATAAATGCATAAATAATGTTTCAAATCCTATCATTGTTATAAATTAAAAAAAAAAAAACAGATGAATTGAAAATATTTTGCTTTAGGCAGACATTTCAAAACAAACGTTATCGCCTTAAATATAGAGCACAATTTAGAAAATGCTAAAAGAAAATAATATTTATGCAATATTTTTTCTAACGTGCGATACATAAGTATCCATGTAAGATAAAAAATATATTAAAAAATATATGGGTACCTTGAGGATAAAATATACGAGATTTTTTCTCATATTAGAAACATAAATATAAATAATTTTTATTCAAATAAACTTAATATAATCACTTTTAAGATCTATTTTAATTTTACCACTCATTCGGAACACAAACTCATCACAAGAAGAATGAGCAAGAAACTTGAGTATTGCTCTTTTATATGAATATTGTTTAGAATTACATTTTTAAGAATTTTGTTTGTATACAAACTGTCAAATTACGTCCTCAAAATACTGAGATCAAATAATGGTAAAATAAAAAAATACTTACACGGCTAGTAAAATCAAACGATACATGCTTCTCCCCCTGTTGCACAGTTACTGTGTATTTGTCTGCATACGAAGCTCTTGGCATGCCACCTGTAACAACACTGTAATTATAATAAAGCTAGTACATAATATACATAGAAAACACCAAGACAAAAAAGCAATAATAACATATAATGAATATAATATAATATAACGAATATAACAAATGTTTACATCTTGGGAGGAATCGAACCGAGATCATCGGAAATAAGACGGCATTCTAACCCGCTAAATCAGCGAGGTCGTTGCATCGTATTTGTCATAACAGATTCATACGGTATAGAGTAAATCCTCCAAATAAACAGTTATTCATTAACTTAAATATGACTCACATTGGTACATTTTTGTGAACGTTATTAACAATAATTGAATAATCAATTATGAATATTACTTCAGTCATTTTAATTAATGATTAAGTTTTAAAACAATTTGTTGAATGCTAACTGAATTAATTTAATACTAATGTTAAAGTATAAATAAGGTGATTAGCACAGTGTGGCGAGGCGCCGCGCCGTTGTATGGACAGACTCATATATTACAAATATACACAGGGCCGGAGTTTCAATGATTGAGCTGATTAGAGCAGGAAACTGGCTAGGAGCCCTGCACGCTCACAAAAGCATTTAATAGCTGTTGCAATTAATGTTTTACAGAGTGAAAATTTAACTAAAATACTACTTTTTAATCTTTCGCGTTTAGTACACATTATTAATATAGTTAACTGGGTTTTAACACGAATCAATTTATGGTAAATAATTTACCTTTCTCGACGTTTGGACTAGGTTGTACTACCCGTGATGACAAACTGACTGAGAGAGAGGTAAATATTTTTATTTATTATAAAATTATTAGTGTTAAAATCCGTTTAATTATATTAATAATGAATTAATTGGATTTTTATTATAATAATTAATAATGATAATTCACACAACGCCATCCAGTCCCCAGATAAGCAGAGCTTGTGTTATAAGTACTAATATAACAGCTATAAAGACTTTGGTACCTTTTTTAGGAATACATACATAATAATAGAAAACATTCATATCGATAGACACAATCATTCTCATGAATGTAAATGTTTGAACCGTGCGAGAAATCATAACTGCGACTGTCGGAAGTAGTGGTTGATGGTGGTCGGTTTAGCAACCGCTAGACCGCCAAAGCCGTCGCTAAATATTAAATGACAATAGGTAGTTTTATTAATTTTTACCACTCCTGCCTGTCAAGTAACAACAAAAATAAACAAGTATATATATCGTTTATTTTTTTGTAACTAATCACACACAACATGTTCATAAGAATAGACAATACACAAAACATAAGATTTATAAAATTGTGTTATTATGTGTGATCTGTAGCAATACAAAAAGGTCGAAGCTCAGTGTGGATCATTGTTCAGGGAACAAAACACTGATTTTCAGCTTTAACCCATTTGAGGGTACGTGAAATAATAATTAAAATAAATATAAAATAAAAAGAGCAATATTATTGGTGATTGTCGGTGCGGTGGGGGTATAATAAAAATAATGTAAATAGTTCAGAGTATAATTAGATATAATTTTAAATAAGTGGTAAGGGTTAAACGAAAAAAATAAATTATTAATAAGAAAAACATAGAAAAAAAATATTAGATACACAATTACATTTGTTAGTGAATAAAATATTATACAATACAGGTACACAAAAAACAGTGTGAGTAACGTAGTGTATGCATAGTCCATACGCAAATAACTTTGACGGACTCGGTGGTCTAGCAATTTCACACACCGCTTTACTTCCGATTGTCGCGGGTTCGATTCCTCGCACGGCACAAACATTTATATTCATGATTGTTTGTGTCGGTCTGGGTGTTTTCTATGTATAATATGTATATATATACATATTTACAAATATATATATATATATATATATATATATATCTATATATTTGTATCTGTTATCTAGTACCCATAACACAAGCTTAGCTAGCTTAACTTGGGTCTAGATGACGCTGTGTGAATTGTCCTGAAATTATTATTATTAACTTACCAGCAAATATGAGTATCTCGTCACCAGTGACACTAGTACGGTTGAGTATCTTCGAGATGGCCTTGCACGGGTAGGGTCCGTATGGAGTAATGGGTTCCTTGAGGGGACGATCGCTGGACGCCCCGCTCACCTCCCAGGATACGTACGATCCATCATTGTGTGATGACGTGAAATGATCACCTGGAAGTGTTAGAAATTTATTAGATACTGTCGTCTCGGCCGGGCATCACAAGAGTACTAGTGATATAAGAGCTTCTAATATATTTATTATTGTATATATATATTATTATTATTTCTGATAGATTATATATCTAATATATTTTTTGTAAATACTCATTGTATATCACTGAGAATAGTTCATAGATATTAAATAAAATTATTAACAAGGGTCACATTGTATTTGTAAGATGGAAGATGAAAAGTAATGAGACGAATTTTTTAATTGGTTAAATATTTTTTGAGCTTACTTATGTTTGCTATATTCATAATATTTATTCAAATTATATAAATGCTATTAGTGTCAAGAAGCAAAGAACTCGTTTAGATTATACAAATCTTATTCGAATAGCCATTTATTTAATACTAGCTGTACCCGCGCCTACATCCGCGTGGAATATAACTTTATTTTTCTAAAATAAAAGTAGGCAAATTAGTCCTTATTACATCAGCTACCTGCCAATAAAAGTCTCGTTAAAATCGGTTCAGCCATTTTAGAGATTAGCCGGAACAAACAGACAGACAAACAAAACTGGTAAAATTGTTATTTTGGTGTTATTTTGGTGCATGTACCGTATATATTCATATAGTAAAAAAACGGTAATTTCAATATTACAAACAGACACTCCAATTTCATTGTATAAAGAGAGATTAATTAAAATTTATTATCGGGTGATTCTTTTAACAAATTAATATAAATAATTACACAAATCATTACATAATTTTAAAGTCATTATGCAAGCAAGTCTTATGTATTGTATTATTAGATTAATTACTAAGAATAAACGATTTTATATATCACACTTTTAATAATAAACTGTATTAACTCAAAAAGACACAATCGGAAATTCCACTTAAACTTAAGGCTATGAAATTGTATTTCGGAAAATTTCTAACTTTGGACTTAAACCTGTCTGAAATGTACGATATATACAGTAATATGGTATGATTTGAAAAAATACTGGTAAAATAAAAGAATGAATTTACCCTCATCATTCCAGCATAGGCTCTCCAGCTGCTGGTTGGACACGCAGGTGTAGATGGGCTGTGCGGTGGTACGGTCCCATAACACGACGAGGCCCCGGTTGTATCCGATTAACAGGCGGGTTGGTACCTTCGGGTGCTCGCACATTGACTCCACGGCACCTGGGTTTACTTTGAAGTCTTCTGGACAACTGGAAGGTGAAATGGATTATTTTTAATATAAGTGGAATAGCAAATAAGGCAATGGAGACCACCTGATGGAAAGTCGCACGTCAATACGTCACGCATTACGTCAATATACATGAACAGCACCAGTGATATTTCGTCTTCATGTGACGACCGTTGTATGCGTTGCCATTCCAGAGAACTGATGTATACCTCCGTACCTTATTATTTTACTGCAATATCTCCCTTAATATTAATTAAACCGGAAAACACCTTCCAATGTGCTTAGGGCCTGAATAGATAGATAATAACAGGTCAAATGAGCCAAAACAAAGTCCAACATAGGCTTTATTTATACACTTTTATTTTAGAAATGTTATTTATTTTAATAAAATAGTTTAATTTGACGCAGACGAAGTCACGTGTAACAGCTAGTTGTAAACAAGAATATTTGTCGTAATTTAATACTAACGAACAGAATTTCATATGAATTTCATACATAAATAAGAGTGATTCCTGAGGAAAGTTTTAGATTGTTTATAAATTAATTGAAATACCTGTGCGAAGCAGGGATGATCTTTTCATATAATAAATGATGGGGATTTCTAGTGAAATAGTAAATTGTAGTCTTACTTTTGCATAACTAAATCCTGGTAGATAACGTCTTCGCTCAGGGAGAATGTGTTCAAATCTAACGTATATATATTCCCGCCTTCTGTGCCAATAAGCAAGTTCTTGCCGGACGCTTCGATGCATGTCGCCGATATTTTCTTGTTCTTCCCTTCAAACGTGTGTGTTCTTAGTTCTACAAGGGATTTTTCATTGATCTCCCATAAGTGGAGACTGTTGTCGTCACATAGTGAAATTAGACGGCCTGTGCCTGAAACAAGAAAAGAAGTAGAGTTAAGTACAATTTTATAAAAAAAAATACCCTTACGTTGACCTTTTTTCATTTTTTGTCAACTGAAGTCACAAGCCGAACTGGATGGTAGGTTTAACACTATATAAACATATGACGTGCACAAGAGGCCGAATAGACTTGTAATTTGGATTGTTGTGTTGCAACGAGGATTATCCAACATAAGGTTCGCCTTATATAAGCAACACCTGAGAGTATGAATCGTTAATACAAGTATTTTTTTGAAAGCATTTAATATCTTATCATTTCTGAAATATTTCTGCTTGGAATAAGGATTGGGAGAATCCATGGGAAAATTGTCTTTTATTACAACTGAAATAATTATTTAATTTAGGTATTTAGTTGTTTATTAGGTAGAACATATATTATTGGATAACTGTTGACTTCAGTGATACAGTGGTAGTATTTTTCTATCTCTCTTTATATATAAAATTTCTGTCGACACTCTTAAATTTTTTTACGTGGAGACGTACTTAGATTTTACTCCAGTAAACTTACTAAAGTACTACAGTACAATGATTATACCTATACACTTACTACCTAGATAGTACAGGAAATAAATTAAGTAGCGACATATCACATCACATATAACGCCACAGTAGAGAGGTGACACCCATCGCAGTAAATACTCATAGAAGAAATATCGAAATAGGTACTTTCTTCTAAATCAGTTAACTATGTTGACTTACCTGGAATGAAGAGTATTTGTATGACAGGTGAGTCTGGGTTTGTGTGTTGTCCGTAGAACTCGACGCCTGGTCGACCGTAAACTTTGAGAGCGCCCGTGGCCGTGCCAATTGCGGTCAGTCTGAGGAGTGGGTCCCATGCAAGCGCTGACGCTCTGTGTGGGAATCCGTGTTGTACTGTCTGTGAACAACAAGAAATCATATTAAACATACATTCTTAATGTATAGAGAACGGAAAAAAAGCTGATGGGTCATTTCATGGACAGTACACGACTACGTCATGTCCATAGCACTGTATTGTCTATAGGCGCCGGCTACGTCTATAGATACGTGCAGTGTAGCATCCTTTATACATTCTCATTCCTGAGGACTAAGAAGTGTCTGCAAATTCGTCTGTACCTTGTAATTTCACTGCTATATCTGTGGGTCCAAACCCAAACGGAAATTACAAAGCAAGCTGTATAGAGAAAGAAATAATAACATTAATAATCCAGGACAAATCACACAGCGCCATCTTACAAGGCCAGGTCTATTAAGAACTGGAACACACTATCTTTTTAAATATTAAAAGAGAATAGTGCCTTTTATTGAGGTCACATTTGCCACTTACTTTATTGTTGTAACAGTTCGTTAAGATATGTGGGTGTTTGTTACTCAATCATACTTAAACGGCTGGACCGATGGATAAATTTAGAAGAAAGATATATTTTGGTACTTAAAACTGAATGGTTATTGTTATTTTTTAGGCAAATTCACATGAAAAATCGAGAGTTACAATACAGTCATATGTATTTATTAAAACTATAAGAATTTATTACATAAGGCGATCTTATTACTATTAGCATACAAGTGCCAGCTCAGTAACTACCTAATTTCTAATAGTACTTTATTTCCTGAACATTTTTTCCTTAAGACCATCGGTGTTAAAATAAGTTACTTTAATAGATAGTTGAAAGACAAGTAGTATAGTAAGAAAATTGTGTTCACATTTATAATATCGATGAGATTGATAATAAACCTTATCATATTAATTTCGTTGCTCATTAGTTCATCACACTGAGTAAGTAATAGTTATCTCATATTTTTTGCAAATTAACTATTTCGTTAAAAAAAAAAAGATTAATTATTTATTGTCTTAATAAATTTATATTTAATTTAGGTATTTAAAGTACATTGTACTTTACTACCAATGGTTACCGGTCCTTTGTATTCATGAGTAGCATTGTTTGTCTATGTGTATATATTTGTATGTCTATGTGTATGTATTTACAAAAAATAATGTATTTAAGCTGCTTAGCTTAGGACTAGATTGGGCTGCATGAATTTTATATGTTTATTAATATTATTTATTAAATTTTGTCTTAATTATGTTTCAAGAGAGCAGTAGAAATAGATCGTATAGAAATCAACATTGAGATTTAACTCTACAGTTCAGTTGCTGGTCAGCTTTACAAGTGATAAGGTACGTAAAGCTTTTTGCTATCAAATAGCGACCTGACGACAAACACAAACCAGTGACGAAACAAACGTACAAAAAGCTCCTCAGCTGTGACTCAACACAACAGCTAGTTTTTGTGTTGCTGTGATTGGTCTAATTTTAATTTACGCAACTGAAATACTATGGGGAAGTGAATAATGGAGAGTTGGTTTTTACCCGACTGCGATGAAACCAGAAATAGGTTAATGATGAGAGCATAGTAACAGAAAATGTTGATATTACAAGTTTTTATCTGCGATTTCGACCAGTTCGTTTTTAGTTGGGCGAAAATTTATTTCACGGAAGTACTACATATTTATATACTGTATGTATATTGTTATATTTAATATCGATTGTTCACTACACATAGTGAATATATAATATTGTTTATTTTAAGACTAGGTGGTTCTTTGTGTGGTGTCCTTGGATATAAACATACATATTGTTGGTTTCAATTATTTTTTTTTTCAACAGTCCACTGGTAGTGACTCGCCATCTAGAGTTTTTATCTATTTAAATCCTATATTATGCATACTTGTAATGGATTTAAATATAAATAACTTAAAATAAATTCATAAGATATCATATTAAAACAGAAGCTGTTCTTCATAGATTCTTAACAATTTCAAAATACGAGTCATCAAGCTCTACTGAGCTTAATGAGTCTTACTCGGACAGACGGGGAGAAAGAAATAAGTCTAAATCCGGGGAACTTACATTGTGTAATGCTAACTCTTATTATGGCATTACGTAAAAGTATATAAATATAACTGTTATTTTAAACCTGGCCGCCTCACTAAAACAGTGGCCATTACATTCGACGTTAAAAAACTATATTGTTGTTTGTTTACATTAAAAGCACGTGTTAATTTAAATCTTAAAGCTACACGTGTTTATAGACAAACATTAAAATGTTACCTCACGCTCCATTGTACAGAGTAACGGTTCAGTGAAAGGAGTGGAAGTTACAACACTTATATTCCCCGTCCAATTCAAACGGGGATCGAAATTACGATGGCATGCGCCAATGTTCGAATCTCTAGAGGTGTCTTCAGAATAAAGTTGTATCCGTTAGGTAGGTGTTGGCCTTCAGCCGCTCCATAAGTCCTTCCGCGGTTTTGAAGTACCATCTGCACTCGCCTCCTATCGTCCGATGAAGCTGTAAAGGCCAGCTGCGGCCAACAGCATTACAGTAGTCCGAAAAAAAACCTATACCGAGGTATAAATGGTAAAAAGTCGTCTGCGGTACCTCAGTCTTACCTATTTACATACCAGCTTACTTTGTAAGTTGTGTTTCGATTGAAGAGTGAAGATAAGGCATAGAAATTACTGGATAAAGGCATTCTTGTAGTGCTATTCATGTCAATAGGCGACGGTTCCCACATACCTATGTGAAATTGTTCACCATTCCGGTTATATAATATAAAAAAATATCGACTATCATAAAGATCAAAAGTTCTGCAAGAAATATAATTACGTGTATTAGTGGCTAGAATGTCCTGCATTAATAAATACTATTGATTTTGAGTTGACATTTTTCTGGCAACAATAGAAGAATAATACTGCTAGAATCTATTAGAGTAGTTTTCCTTACTAAGTTCCTTAAAAGTGCGATAGTAGTTTCTACTCATTTGTGGGGAAGGAAAATTGATGGTCAGTGTGGTCAACGAAAATTAATATAATTATTTCTGTAGTACTTACTAACAAGTCTAACCGACAAGGAAAAGTTTACGGTAACAGCTTTCGACCTCAACTTGAACGAACTACCAGTACATATTTCATAACGGTTTTCCAAAGCGTAATTGTACGTTTCTTGAGACGTAGATACATTGATGATAGTCAATATATCATTAAGAGAAATTTAGGTCACCGTGAAAGCATCATACTATGCATACAATGAATGTAACCAAAAAGCGTTCCAAGACCACTCAGTCGTACGTAACAGGCTTGTTGGATCCACATTACGACATATCTGTTTCAAGTGTAGAGGTCATAACAGCAACGAGCTATTCTAATACGTACGCGTATTAGAATAAAAGTCACTTTTGCATTTGTTTCAGTTTGCGGTTCACCGCCCAGCACTATGAAATGATGGTCTGAATTCCATGCAGGAATTAGCGTGACCGATGTTCTATTATTTAATGATATTTAATAGTCGAAAAGAAATAAAATAGTCAGTAAAACATAATAACAGTTATTAACTAACTAGCTGTACCTGCGACTTCGTCCGCGTAAAACAGTGACCTTGACCAAATAAGGAAAATATATCTAGTAAACTAACCCAAGAAAAAGTTTCATCATTCTTATATCATCAAAAAGAAAAATTTCCATACAGAATTCTATACAATTCAATCAACAGTCTAAAAAATAAGTTTCAAACTTCTAGCTTTGAAAGTGACGATACTTCCATACAACTTTTCATCTCCCCTTTTAACCTCTTACAACCCTTTTTTCACATTAAAAAGTATATATCCTTCCTCGGAGTCTAGACTATATGCTTACCACCGATGCGTACCGATTTAAATGAAATTCATTTAAATCGGTTCAGTATTTGTCGTGAAGTTAGGTTTTGTCGTGAAAGTGAGACAGACAGACAGAGTTACTTTCGCATTTATAATATTATTAAGTAAAGTAGTAAGGATAATTGTTCCTGTCATTTATGAACAACAACAGTATTGTCTGTATTGATAGAAAGTTAACAAAGTAATAGCATCTGTGTCCATAAGAAATCTGCAAAACACTAAAATATCAAACTTCAATTAGAGAAACCTCTGCGAGCGACTGCTATTGCTATAAGTTATGATTAAAATGCGAAAACGAATTAGTTTCTGGGCGAGTGAAACTCTTTTCTTCATTTAAAAGTGCAATTTAATTTACCTCAGATAAGTCCTCAGGAATTTTGTTCAATAAAATGACTGATTTTAATATATATACCATAATAGAGAGTGAGAGAGAGAGAATATTGTTATTAAGGAAGTACAATTGAAGGGTATATTACACCTGTTACATGTAAATTATATTAAACTAATACATACAAACACGAACAAAGTTATAGGCAACGATGCCAGAATGAGCCATTAGTACTACATGAAGTTCTAAATTTGCCCACGAAGTAAGAATAACATGTGTTAGAACTGATTTTTTTGTAATACATAGTAAGAGATCTCATATTTGCTTGCTCTTGTTTGCTGTTGCAAACATCAATGAAAAATAGGGAAAACCATATATACTACTTTCCTGATCTACATAGAGTTCTACAATAATAGCATCGAATAAAATAGTATACGATGTAGTAGTAGGACACTTATATTTATATTTAATGGGGAAATCCCGCGCCCAACATAAGACTCTATGTATTTTGTTTTTGTAAGTTATCGATAGTTATTTAGGCGTCTTGTCTTCAGTATTTGATACAGGTTTACACTGATATTTGTAGAAGAATTTGTTAATAGTGTTGATCGTCAAATATCATTTAATAAGATATTGTAATTTTAAAATCAATCAGATCCCAATTTGAATATTTTTAAAACGTGATTCCATAGCTGTCTGTTTTTGACGTCCCTTTTCAGTTTAAATATCGGCTGGGTGTTGCGATAAAGCTAAATATTGTACCGGGCAGAAGGAAGTGGTGTCAAGATACATCATTCTCCATACAAGTTGTGCTAGTCGTGTAATTATTTTCGCATGGGGATATATAATTGATG